GTTGCATCGGAGAATTTTGCTTTTTCCTTTATGTATATTGAGACCTACTGCTGCAGAGGCTGCTGCTACACTAGTCGTCTTCTCTTGCATTTGTTGTTGCGTGTGCGATAGAAGAGCCAGGTCATCTGCGAAGTCCAGATCGTCCAGCTGCGTCCTAACTGTCCAGGTGATACCGTGCTTCCCTCCAGACGTCGACGTCTTCATAATCCAGTCGATGACCAGGAGAAAGAGAAAGGGTGAGAGTAAGCAAACTTGCCTCACACCGGTCTTCACCTCAAAAGAGTCTGTCAGCTGACCTCCGTGCACGATTTTGCAGTTGAATCCATCATAAGAATTCTGTATGATGTTGACTATCCTCTCAGGCACACCGTAGTGTCGAAGAAGCCTCCACAGTGTTTTCCTATCCACGCTATCGAATGCTTTCTCGTAGTCGATGAAGTTGATGTAGAGTGGTGAGTTCCATTCAATTGATTGTTCCAAAATGATCCGTAATGTTGCAATTTGGTCAGTACATGATCGATCCTTACGAAATCCGGCCTGTTGATCTCGAAGTTGGGCGTCTACGAAGTCCTTCATTCTGTTTAACAATACTCTGTTGAAGACTTTGCCTGGTATTGAAAGAAGAGTGATGCCTCGGTAGGTCTCACACTTGCTGAGATCGCCTTTATTTGGTATTTTGATGAGGTATCCTTCTTTCCAATCTGATGGTACTTGTTCCTCATCCCAAATCTTCTTGAAGAGGATGTGAAATATTTTCGCAGTTGCTTCTACATCTGCTTTCATTGCCTCTGCTGGAATGTTGTCTGGTCCTGCTGCTTCCCCGCTCTTGATTTGTCTGATGGCCATACTGATCTCCTCAATCGTAGGTGCGCCAATGTTAATTGGGAGACCTTTGGATGCTGCTTCGATGTTGGGTGGGTTCAGTGGAGCTAGTCGATTCAATAGTTCCTTAAAGTGCTCTACCCACCTATTTCGCTGTTGTTCAGTGTTGCTGATTACTTTGCGTTGCTTGCTTTTCACTGGTCGTTCTGGTTTACGATAGTTCCCGGCGAGCTTCTTTATTGTTTCGTACAATTGTCCCATGTTTCCTTCTCTTGCAGCCTTTTCCGCCGTCATTGCTAGATCTTCCACATATTTTCGTTTGTCAGCTCTGATGCTCTTCTTCACTTCCCTGTTTGCTTCTGTGTATTCAGCTTGTGCCTTAAATTTCTCTGTTCTTGTTCGGCTGACATTGATTGCTGCCTTCTTGTTCCTCCTTTCTTCAACTTTTGCAAGAGTATCAACAGAGATCCATTCCTTGTGATGGTGCTTCTTGCGACCAAGGACCTCCTGACATGTTGAAGTGATTGCCTCCTTAATCCCTTTCCAAATGTTCTCCAATGTTGTTTCCTCTCCATTGAGTAGATCCTGAAAGGCCTGGAACCTATTAGTGAGGGCTAACTTGAATTCGTTGAGTTTTACAGTATCCCGAAGAAAGTCTGTAATAAACTTGTGTGATGTTGTCTGCCCCGTTGTCCAGTGCTTCTTTAGTTTCAGTTTCATTTTAGCGATCAGCAAGTGGTGAGCTGAAGCTATATCAGCTCCTCTCTTGGTTCTCACATCCTCCATGGTCCTTCTGAACGTTTTGTTGATACAGATATGGTCAATTTGGTTTTGAGTAGTGTGACCCGGTGAAATCCATGTGGCTTTGTGTGTGCACTTTTGTGGGAATATTGTGCCACCGATGACCAGTTTGTTGAAGGCACATAGGTTTGCAAATCTCTCACCGTTTTCGTTCCTTTCTCCCAGTCCATGTCGTCCCATGATGTCTTCATATCCAGTGTTGTCCATTCCAACCTTGGCATTCAGGTCTCCCATAAGAATCGTCAAATCCTTTGGTGAACATTTCTCGACAATTGACTGCAGCCTTTCGTAGAATTGATCTTTAACGTCGTCATTGTAGTCATTCGTAGGTGCATAACATTTGATGACGTTCATTGTAATGTCCGCTTTCTTTGTTTTGAAGGATGCTTTGATGATCCTCGGTCCATGAGATTCCCATCCTATCAGTGCCTTTTGTGCATGTTTGGACAGCATCAGTGCAACTCCTTGTGTATGTGAAGCATTTTCCTCTTCATGACCAGAGTATAACAGCAGTTCCCCTGAGGCTATTCTCAGTTGTCCTACCTGTGTCCAATGCGTTTCACTGATGCCGAGCACCTCGAGGTTGTATCTTTTCATTTCTGCCGCAACTTGAAATAGTCTTCCAGTCTCCCACAATGTACGAACGTTCCATGTACCTAAAAAAATGGTTGCTGTGGTTGTTATCCGGGCTTGGGACCGGCAGTAGCCCCTAAGGTTCTACTGGCGGAGTTCTGTGCTTAACTACGTATCTTCAATTCAACAACAGAGTCTACGAACAAATAAAAGGAACACCAATGGGATCACCGATATCAGGACTCATCGCCGAAGCTGTTATGCAGAGACTGGAAGCGTCGATCCTGCCAGTGATCAAGCAAAAAATGTGGGTCCGCTACGTAGAGGACACATTATCAAAAGGAATGAGCTGGAGAACATCTACAATCGGATCAACAACGTCTTTGATGACATCAAAGGAATCAAACAACAGCCTATCATTCCTGGATGTACTAATCACCAGAAGTAACACAGGAAAACTAGAAACTCAAGTATTTCGGAAGCCAACCCACACAGACGTATTTCTCAACTACGACAGCAACAACCGAAGAACCCACAAGATTAACTGCATACAAACTCTGTTCAAGAGAGCGAATACACACTGCAGCACATACGAGACATTAAAAATGAGGAAAAACACCTGATGACTATCTTCCAAAAGAACGCCTATCCACGCAACTTCATCAGAAAACATCAACCGAAACCATCATCAGAAGCGAAATCAAGCACAGAAACAAATAAACGCATCATCCTGCCATACATCAAAGACATATCGGAGCATACGGCATGACTACTGAAACCATTTGGAATAGGTGTGGCACACAAACCAACAGAATCACTTCAATCAATCTTATGTAGACCAAAGGACAAAATGACAAAGGAAGAAAAGCCAAATATCATCTACAAAATAAATTTCTCAGACTGTGAAAAACACTAGATAGGACAAAGTGGACGACCTCTTCATCTCCGTTTACGTGAACATCAATTAGCAGTCAAATGCCACGACAAAGCTTCGCTTATATCAATACATACCGACAATTATGGACACACATTTGATTGGAACAATGTGGAAATACTGGATAGGGGGAGGAAAAAGAACACTAGAGAATTTTTAGAAGGTTGGCACTCAGGTCAATCAGCAATCAACAAACACATCGACATTGACCCAATTTATCAACCAATCAGGAAAATCATAGGTGACACAAGATCAAGAAACAGATCAAAAGGGAGAGGCAATCAAAACAAAGTTGCAAACAACGACAGGTCAAAAGACAACAGCAACCAATCAAGATCGAGGTTAGCAGAACAAGCTACAGGTCAAAAGTGGAGAAATTCTAATGCTTCACTTCTATCTGAAGTTCGTGCTGATGATGTTGTTCAGAAGAACAATGAAAGCTCCACAACCAAAACAACCAGCTCAGAGAACGAAACACCACCACAATATTACGAGTTCACTCTAGTAGGTGAACGAGAGCGAGGATCGAGGATCCGGCGACACAACGGGCTACTCTAATCCGAACGTCCAAACCCCCCACTGATTTAGGATTAAAACAAAAGTGGACTATCCAGCGTATATCCGTTGACCTCCTGAAATAGATAGACACGACTGCTAATGAGTAAAATTTCCATATAAATATGCTTTCTTGGTTTATCCAAAGTCGTCATTATCCAAGGAGAATATAGTGAAATAATTTTTAGAGCGTCCTAAAACTTACTTATCCTAAACAGTGGCAAACCATAATGCGTATGATGAATTTTTGTGAAATATCCATTATGATGATCCTGGTGATTCACGTTTCATACCATCCGTCGTAGAAAAGTACCAGGGTATTTCTCTGTGAGGAACGCTTGATGTAATCTTATAATACAATGGTGCCACACGGTTCTCATTTAGAATCTTAACATGATTCTCAGATTAATCTCTAGGTCACCCACGTAGATGAGTGTGTCAAATGGTTACGTGCTTACCGAAGTTTTATAAGAATGAAATAACCTTCTAGCTTAAGTTAAAGTCACAGCTAATTCAAAATATTCTGTCGAGGTCCCCAGGTGACTGGGAGGATGAATAGGTGACTCTGAAAGGGCTGTGTGCCGGATGATTTTGTATCCATCTAGTGAAATTTCACTGACATAACACATGAGACCGTTTCTGGCATTTATTTAGGACCTCGTGTGAAGGAAACCCCAACAGTGGACAGCTTTAAGAAGAGACTTGATAATCACGTACTCATATAGGGATTATCATCTCTCTCGTGGACCATCTGTACCTGATGCATGTATCGAGACTTGCTAGTTGTTATATTGCCATCTCTTCCTTAATCAAACCCGCTTATTATCTATGTTTCTTCTACCGTGCTTGCACTTCAGTCCTCTGACACAATCTCGACTTCCAATTAATAAACTAAATTATCCATTTATTCACTTATTTATGATATATTCTTATTAGCATTAGTCTTCTCTTTATTATTCTTCTTACGGCAACTAACTGATCTCCGGCCTGGTAATGTGGTAGCTCCTGGTTTCCAGAAACCCTAATATCCCGAAACAAACGTACTCATTGAAATCACGGAACATCCAAATTCATAAAATGCTACCAACTGACTAGAATTAATGCAGTCGAGTGGCTGGACCTCCATCCATTGAACACTACCAAAAACCTGAAATCGTACCGAAAAAGCAAGTATCAAGCTCAAAGAAATCCACTGGTTTATACAAGCTCTTGAAAAAAGATATTGGAGATATTTATTTAATTGGACTGTATGGTGGCGGTAAGGAAGGTGTTGAAGGTCAGTTTTGGTTTTCTGTTATTTTAATATCCGTTTCTGATGTCTAAATTGGTTCGTAAAATCATAAATACGCCAAAGGCACCAAAGTCTATTGGACCGTACAAGTAACATAAATCCTGGATTTCCATTTTGTAGTCAAGGTGTAGTTGTGAATAACGCATTATATGTTTCAGGCCAGTTGGGTCTGGTTCCTGATACAATGCAGTTTGCTGGAGATGATGTAGCGTCACAAACTCATCAGTCTCTTAAAAATATCAAAGAAATTGTCCAGTCTGCTGGCTTCACTATGCAGGATGTTGTTAAGACTACTGTTCTCTTAGCCGATATGAACGATTTTGGAGAAGTTAATAAGATATATGAGCAATGTAATTTTCTGGTACTGATATTTCTACTCTCTTTTAGATTTTCCAGATCCATATCCAGCTCGGGCTGCTTACCAAGTGGCATGTTTGCCGAAAGTATGTTGTATATTTAATTAATCCAAAGATCAGAATGGGAAAATAGAAATTGAAGCGGTTGCAATTCAGGAGGAATCATTATCTAAAGAAAATTAAAGTCTGATATAACTCGGATTTTTAAATTCTTCAGGATATTTGTCTATTAAAGTTTCATACACTAGTAATGAATAAAGAAAATCGAAATTCTTCACAACTTTGGAGTATTCTTGCTCGTGCAGTCAAGTATAGTTACAAAGAAGGAAAGATTAAACTACCTTACAGCGGATTCTTGGAAACCAATCCTTTAATGATAAAGGTTTTTGGAATCCACGTATTAGAACATTTAGCGGAGGTGATTATCATGTGTATTTATGATTTAGTAGATGTCATCTCGTAGTTTTTAATTCCTACTGTATGCATAACTGAACGCGTTAGTTACCAACTAAGTTTAGACTTGACCAGAATATTTTAGAGCACACCACCTGACTTCCCAAGCGGAAATGGTCTTCCCCAAAGTTCGGTTACTGTACTTTCGTTAATCATAGCATTTATTCGTAACCGGTATTTCACAGCGGTTTGTTGGAACCAAAATTTTATTTTTGTTTTGGGGAGTGTTAGAAGTTGTAACTACACTCTAGAACATGTTTTGGAGATTCTCGGTGGTTTAGAAACCCAGTAGTTTGTCGTACGGCCTAAGGTATCTCAAGAACTCTTCTCATAACTCTAAAGTCTTGCGTAATGACGATCGGTCATATTTTCGAAATACTATATATAATATTACTTCGCGTCCATCTGCACACATTATAGATGAAAACTACAATTTCGGTAGGACGAACAGTTTAATTATTCTTTTTGTAACCCTTGAGCTTTTGGGCAACGGTGTTTTCATAGGGAAAGAATAATCTTTATTTTCCAAGGTATTTCACAGCATATCTTACATTTAGATATGGCAATAAACCTCTCTAGGTTTATAACTACGATGAACTACTGTGTCTTAGTCATGGGGACTTCGACAGTTCCTCAAGGAGTAAAGCTTAAAAATAATGGAGTTATCCTTTTGCTTTGTTTGAAATATTTTCGATTCACCTTACTTGTTTGCTGCAAGTCCACTCAAAGAACAATCAGATTGTTTTAAAGTTGCTATTTTAACATTAAATTACTCATACTGTCACTTTGTGTGTATATGCCAATTTGTTAATAACTCCAAGCCCTCTTGGCTAAAATGTTTAGTTCACATTTCCGGACTTAAGTGAATCAAAAATTTCGAAACCATTAAAAACGTTGTTTATTTACTTCATTATGTGCAGTGATCTATCATATCTCGGAACGGTTGCGAATATTTCCCAAGGTTTCTAGTCACATTCAATTTGGTGACGAGTTATCGATGTGTGAGGTTAAAATAACTGTTAGACAGCTCATCAACAATATATCTTTGGAAAGTATCATTTGCATGAGATCTTCAAACTTACGAAGTACACCTCCATCTTTCCAAAGTGTAAAACCTAATACACATAATTTGAGTACATTGTCGCTTTGTGAATAAACACCCAGGTATGAAGTGTGAAATTGCGCTTGTATAAAATTTTATTTGATAGAGGTCAAAATACTAGAACCAAGTTAAGTAACATTTCTTAGGAAACTATGTCTGTCCAATTAATGTTTGAAACTGCTTACAAAGAAACATACAACTCACATTCGAGATTGAAATACAATGGTCATTACCACAAGCCGAGAATGGATTTTTATGTATGGAAATATGTGGAGCAGTGGCCTTTTGTTCGATGCACCTGTCACTCAGTAAATTCATTTCGCACTGGCCAGTATCACTAGTCTTAGTATCACCATCACCCAACAAAATCATTGACTCAAATACGAGAACATAAATCTTGTTGAAAAATACGTTGTACTAAATAATTGGTCAGTCAGTCACCAACAACGTAGAATTTCGTATGTACGTACATCAGTCCAAGTTGCCATACAACATTAGCACAGAGATGAAATTGTAAATTCAAATCCCATAGTGGTTGATGTAGATGTAGTAGAAGTATGAGATATAATCGGAAAGATTGGGGTTAGAATAAATTATTCAAGAAGTATAATTCAGTCAAATAAATTTGAGGCGAGAAAGATGGAGGTGATGAGGAATTCAGATTAAAATTTGGGAGGACACAAAGAATGGGTGCACCTGCGCCATTGAAGACGATTTTGAGCCATGTCATTACAAGTCTCTAACCATCGGTCACTATTGTCTCTCGGACCCGGACCAGTTAGTTTAAACCTACCAACATGGATCAGTCCAATTGTCAGTGACTTTGTGGATTTGTGCGACGTTTTGGTCTCAGCGCCTCTAGCTTTCTTCCAGCCCACCAATACACTAGGCATCATCGTTCGCCTAGGCAATCGGTGGTTAGGGATACTTAACACATGTCCCAAACACCTCAACTGATGAACAATCACTACTTCATCGATTGATCTGCCATCCTTACCGTGTACTCATTTCCTAACAACAGCATTGCTTATTCGTTTATCCCATGGTATGCGAACAGTGATTCGAAGATATCTATGATCGAATACTAGAAACCTACGAATATCCTCTACTCTTACTGGCAACCATACTTACTCGCAGCCATAAATTAAGACGTAGCAAAGTGCTGCGCAGTAGACTCGTCCTTCGGTTAGCAAAACGGGTATCTCGTCCACGCCATAATTGATGCAGGTTGGCAAAAGCCAGTCGAGCCCTCTGCATCATTTCTGGGATTTCATCACACGCCAGGTCATCAGCACTGATGCGACCCCCGAGATAAGTGAGGTGGTCGACACGTTCAACTACGTCTCGCCATATCACTAGTTGAGGTGGCAAAGGAAGCCAATCGTGAAGCAACATTTCGCATTCCGAAGGTGAAAACCGCATCACAAACATGCTTGCATTGTTGCTTAGGGTAGTCAGAAGAATCTGCATTTTGTCAGCAACTTCACCAAATAGTACTATGTCATCGGCATATTCTATGCCAACCAGTGAATCTCCTGGTAGAAGGTCCACTCCTGAAAATTCAGGCGAAGATAATGTTATTTCTAGAAGCAGGTCTATGACAGAACCACACAAGAATGAAAAAAGTGGACAGCCCTGATAGACACCACTTGAAGTAATGAATTCTGATGACAGTTGGCCATAAGCTCTGACTCGACCAGTAGTATTCAGGCGGAGAGCTTGTATAAGGTTGATGTACTTCTCCTGTATTCCTTTTAGTGACAGACTACCATAGAACCTCACAATCAACAGAGTCGAATGCCACTTTAGGGTTGAGAAATACTACTATCGTGTGACGCCTGAATGAGTGTCTATGTTCGGATACAACCTGCGTCACTTATGGCGTAGGCGAGATATCCGTTCGCTAACCAAAGGACGGGTGTACTACGCAACAGTGCGCTCCGTTCTCCTATATGGATGCGAAACATGGCCCTTAAGAGTAGATGTTCGTAGGTTACTAGTATTCGATCATAGATATTTGAGCAGCATTGCTCGTATACCGTGGGACAACCGAGTAAGCAATGCTGTCGTTAGGAAACGGGTGCTAGGTAAGGATGGCAGATCAATAAATGAAGTAGTGAAACTTCATCAGTTGAAGTGGTCTGGACATGTGTTGCGTACGCCCAACCACCGGCTGCCTCGTCGAGCTTTCTTTTGTAGTGTAGGAATAGGTTGGGAGAAAGTTAGGGGCGGCCAAACCAAAACATGGCAGAAATCCATGAAGTCATTGACGAGTGGACTAAGCCATGTCGGTAATTGTCGACTACCTGGTTGGGGTCCGCGAGATGATAATAATCGATGTTTAGAGACCTTGAAATAACATGGCTCAAAATCGTTTGCAATGGCGCAAGTGCATGCACTCGTTGAGCTCTCTCAAATCCTAATCTTCTGGAATCGTCAGCATCTCTACCTTTGTCTTTCTAACCTTATCTCACTGAATTATACTTCGTGAATAATATCTTCAAACCGTAGTCTTCTTCATTACCATTAATACCTCTACTATCTTTCTCACTATGGGATTTGATTTGACATTTGCGTCTCTGTGATAATGTGGTTTGGCAAAATGAACTTATGTACATACGTACGAAGTTCTACGTTGCAACTGACTGACTATGTTCTAGCACCTGACGTAGTGTGAATTTGTGGTCTATACATCCATGTCCAGGTCGGAAACCGATCTGGTTTTCTCAAGTCTGCTCTTCACGAGCTCTAGTTAGACATCGGGGTATTACGGAAGCTAATATCTTATACACTATATTAGTTGAACTGATCCTTCTGGGATTGTCACAAGAAGACTTTTGTCCTTTCTAATAGACTTGGACAACCAGTGGTTGACAACAGTCGTATGGGATTGTCCAGTTTCCAGATTCTACCTAAGATCTCAGTCAATCTAACTGCTAAAACTTGACCAACATCCCTAGAAATCTCAGGGGTAAGCCTGTCAGGACCAGATGCTCTCCCTCGCCTTATATGTCCTATAGCTTTTCCAACTTCATTAACAGTCCGAGGACGTACATGAATTCGTCATTCAGGTTGACTGGAGATTGTGGGCGATCAGTTGAATTGATCCCTAAAGTGTCCTGCCCATCGATCCAATTTTCTGGCTTCAGAATGAATGACATGACCATCATTTCCTGAGATGGTTTCGTTAACAGCGAAATTCCTAATCCCGGTTTCCTTGATAAGTTTAAGTAGTTATCTACTGTTACCTGTCACTAATGCCTTTTCCATCTCCATTACTTTCGCTACCCACCACGGCTCGTGATCATTGCGTACGCTTTTTATCAGACTGCACTCGAGCTTACTCCGCTTTTTATCGTGTTCAGAGCCAGATGGGATGTGTTTACAAACATACATCAATTCGACAGATGCTACTGAGATCCACTGTTTCTCCTTGAACTTGAGGTGGTTTAGAAACGTATCTGTAAAACTCATCTTTTAACTCGTCCGAGCTGCAGTCAGTTGTGGCGTAGGCAGAGACAACGAAGAGGTAATTAAATGTCCCCATCTTTCCGAGTCCTCACTGTCCCGTTTTAATCGGACAGCACCCAAGCGACTGTCTACTGGGATCCAGAAAGATATTGGGTGGCTTGTTCTGCCTTAGAACTCAATGCTTCATATACACCAGCGAGGTCACAGGAAGCAGCATCTGGGCTCTCAGATTCACGGAACGTGTATCGATGTGGTTCTTTATTTTGACATGGTGAGGTCAAATGAGTGACACTACTGGGTTCCTGTATGCGCGTTTCGGAGACGCAGCACACATCGATGGCACCATATTGCAGAGTCCTAGCTAAGTCAGGCAGTTACAACGTAGAACTTTGTACGTACGTACGTAAGTTCATGTTACCATACAACATTAGCACAGAGACGCAATTTTCAGTTCAAATCCCGTAGTGGTAGAGATAGTAGAAGTATTAGCCGTAATGGCGAAGATTAGGGTTCGAATAAATTATTCAAGAAGTGTAAGTCAGTGAAATAAATTTGGGAAGAGAAACAGGTAATGAGGAGAGTCCTAGCTAAGGAAGCATGTTGTCCTACTTGGCACAAGGTTCAAACAATAGAAGCTCTAATACATAGTTTAGAACGGGGTTTCAGGAGACCAGGAATAATGTTTCGTGAACTCGAGACGTTTGTATTAGCGGCTCGAGGTAACAAAAGAAAGTAAGGAGGCTTGGTCATGGAGGTAAGATTTTTATTAAAAAGTATGGGGGCCAATTGATTGTGACTAGTTCGGTCTCGTGTGTTGTTACGAGTATGAGGGCGGTTGTCACTTCCTGGCTGCCCAAACCGTGGAAGGGTATTTCTCGAAGAACCCGGAAAGGAAATCGGATTAGCGATGATCTGAGCGACCTGGTAGCGTGACCGCACAGTCAAATGGACAACTGCTTGAGGCCGGTCACGCACTGATGTGTTGGCTCCGGGGCTTCAAGTGGCCTTACCGCTGGAGACGGTAATCTGTGTGGTAAAGTGAGGTGTGAAATTTTTAGTTTCGAACTCTTCTAACCCTTACTTCCATTGTGAGACGGCAGCATCGCTTCAGATTTTGGTTGTCTGAAGGAAACACCTTGTTGCTGTTACTCCTCTACAGTCAGGATTACGACCACTTTCGGACCTTCAGTTGGTGTTTTTGGTTCCACCGTTCTCCAACCGACCTGCTTGGCATGGTAGAACCCATAGCGACACGTGTTCCCGCTAATATAGCTTAGTTGTGTAATCACGACAGGGAAGCCTGACCACCTCGTCCAGGTAGCAGCTATCGTTGGGACATAATTATTGTATTATCGTATTACGTGGAAATATATTACGTTATGTAGCAAAAGAAGTGTAGAAATCGTATCACTTAGCATTCATTCTGCCTCAAGAACTTTAGTACTTAATTTTGGCGATCTATAACTCCAGTCCGTCATAATTCAATGGATTTCGTTAAGGTTATCAGATTTAATTATCTTCTAAAGACTCGTCGCAACTACCGGCGAAATGCAAGATGATCCATAGAATCTTAGAAACTTGCTTTAACTGTTTAAAGTGAACATTTTAATGGTCGGAATACTTGTTGGTTTGTATTTTTGAATCTGTGCTAGTGTGTGGTACACAAATTATTTGGGTATTATTTCTTCTTAGTTTAAATTTCAGGCAAGAAGTGTAGGTTATCTGTTGGGATTGTGAACTCGCATTGACTGAGATGCCCTAATTATGTACTGACCTCGACATGGTTATTGAATATGTTAACGGATTTTGAAATCAGTTTGTCTGAGCTGTGGTTTAATTGTCAGTGATTAATTTTTTTCTAAACAACACAAACTTCAAAAACAAATATGCTACATAAGTTGCTGTACAACTGACAGATAGGATATTCCATAGAAACCTTGTTTCATTAGTTATTGTCAACACCATTTCCTTATTATCTGCATATAATTTTTGATCCTTCAGACCATTTGATTGCTTTTTGCTAAACTCTAAATTGGATCTGTTTCAATATTTATTAATTACTAAGTAGTTTGTTTGTCGACCTCCTAAAAATATTCTGGTTGTTGTCTTTTTCAAGATTTTGACATCTACCTAGTTGGAGCATAACTAACCGGATCGGAGCATTTGTACCAGGTTCTTTTCATGCTATATTAAAGATCTCTATATCGATACCGAGGAATCTTCAGAAATTTAATCTCTCAATGTTCCATTATTTATTAAAATGGGTGGTTACCTGTCACATTTTCTTATGATGTTTATTTGCAAACCAATCGATAAAATTTTGCCGTCTTCCATGACCTTTGGGAAGACATATTTTTGTTTGAAATACTTAGTGATTAGAAACTGAGAGAAATTGTTTAGTTTTACGTTCGCATTCCAGTTCATTAAAAAAACATCAGTTCTAAAAAACGAATCTGTACAATGATTATTACAAAAATAATCGTCAGTTATATGCTTAACTTTCTAATGTCATGTGTTATATGAAAGGTCGTATTAGATGTCAGTTCTGCTATTAATTACTTAAATTAGTATCAACGCATTGTGTCATGTTTGAGTGATTTGAATCACTGATGAATTGTGATTAAGTTATACAACATTCTTTTAAAGTTTTCATTTTCATGTTTTCAATTATAAATAAAAGATTGATGAAAATACATTATGGTTGGAGCTTGTGCCACGTCCAGTTATTTATCAGTCAAATAATTCAATTGAATTACCCACCATTGTTTCATCTTTACATATACGAGTCTATGAAGCGCTTAGCAATACTAAAACAGCTGATTCTTCTTGTATGAATCCATTATTAGATGTATTAACTGGTTTCGATAACACAGGGAATGTTCATTTATGGTCCAGCGAAATTTTATTAGCTCATAGTATGTTTTGTGATTATCTTTATCCTGGTCTATGGAGTGAATTATACAAAAATTTTAATGATCATCCAATTGAAAATGTCTGTGAATTATGTGCTGGTATGACTGGTGCTGCTGGTCTGGCTATTTCTGTACGTAAATATTCCAATATATTTAAAACATCCTATGTATTGATTACTGATGGCAATGATCACTGTGTTGCATCAATCTCCTCTATTGTTGAACATCATTCTAAACGTTTATTGGATAATTGCAGTCCTAATCAACCTTTCCTGCTACACATGGATGTAAAGAATATACGATGGCCTAAAGATGTAAGCTGCATATTGCTTAGTATTTTACAAGTGACTATTGAGATAATTTAACAACCAACCTTTAAAATTCTTGTATTTAGTACCATAAAAAATCAATGAATAAGGCTCTAAAAACCAGAACAATGTCTTTCAATTCTTAGCATAGAATCAGTTATTTCACAATGTATTGGGAAAGTAATCTGGATCGGTTGATTAGTCTTTTTCCAGCTAATCACTCCTCACAGACAATGTGAAGCGACAATAAAATCGTTTTATCAGTTAAACTTGTTTATCTCATGGGTTTTTTATGTAAGTCCTACATAAAATTTGGTGCTTTTTATGCATCATAGTTGTCCTGGCTGACATTTTCGATTAGTATTCCAATTTATTCTTACTATTAGGATCGTCAAAACAATAAGAAATGGTGTTAGGAAACCTCTACTTCCACTAAATTTTGTTTACGCCAGTGATATTGAAATACCTATCGACCATAAATTACGATCTGGTTACTCAGGTAACTGAAGCAGTTATGTAAACCATCGTGTTGTTGAAAAACTATCGGCGAACAACTCATTGAGCCTATGTTTATTGCTCTTACTGGCATTCACCACCAGTCTTCTTCAAAACGTTACTGTTGATGAATTCAAACAATACTCAGTTATACACAGAATAAAAAATATACGTATGAAGTACTATTGATCAGTGGTCGAATAGTAAACACATTTTCAAATTATTATTTCTTAACAAAACTAGTTCCATAGTCGAAAATTCTTTAGTTTAGTTACAAACATAAAGCTTTGCTTGATAACATTTTTCCGATTGTATTCGATTTGCTAGGTCGGTTTTATTCATACCCTTTAACGATTGACTTAATTCTTGTTTTTCAGTCGTCACAATCATCATCGTCATCGATTGCTCAACTAGATGAATCATTGGTTCATCGATTTGACTTAATTATAGCTGCTGATTGTTTCTTTGACCAGTTCTACCATTTTAGTATGTTGAATACAATCAATAAATTATTGTCTTTACAATCTGGATCAACATTTCTAGCCATTTCACCTTTACGTGGTAATAGTCTGCATAATTTCATCAATTTGGCTCATCAGACAGAACAGGCTTATAATTGGATTGTGAAATTAATATCACCATCAGATTACTTATCGTCGCAATTGATCAGTTATTTAATTGATGAATCGAATCGTATTAATTTGACCGACAGTGAATTAGATAATCGAATTGGTCATTTAATTACCTTTACACGGACTAATTAGTTCGTCACAATTTTAGAAAAAGGAACGTGTACATAACATAATTACAGTAACCCATTATCGGTATTTGTAAATATTGTGAATAATAAATGATATTTTTCTACTGACTGCTCGACATTTTTGTTTGAATGTTTTATCTGTGAATTAAAGAAATCGTATCTGATATATATATATATACAGTTTAATGCTTACATTAGGTAGAATAATTATGGTGCAGAAATAAGATTCGTTGAACATGAAACTAAGTGGTCATAAGAACAAACAAGTCCCAATAATCTATTAAGAGCAGACGATAAGTATACTTGCTCGTCTATCGCTGAAGATAATTACAACAACTTACTCTGAAACGACCTCCATAATAGTAGTCTGTAGAACTAGTCGGGGTCATGAATACTTCGTCTTGTTGTAGCCATAGTCATGAGAAAGTTTAAGCTCTTGTATATCACTAGGCAATGGTCATTATAATTCTATCGAACCAATTCAGAGATAATTGATTCTTAAGAGAGATGTGAGTAATATTATTAGTTTTGTTTTACTTATATTTTAATTTTTATAGATTCGCAGATTTAATTCTTAGCTTGTTCATCTTATTTTCGCTATCTGAATAATTGCATATTATGGTGTGGAGTAGGTCTTCTTTCGAATCAGTTATCCCGATATTTTCCAACGGTCGGCAGTATATAGTTTCATCAGTCTTCAGTTTATATTTAATGCATCAATCAATAACCTTATATCATGGAGATGAATTAACAAGCTATGATCTTGAACAGTGTGTGGATAGCTTGAAACCATTCATATAAACTAACAAGAGTTTATGTATTCAGCATTAAGCACTCACTTGGACCGATATTCAACCAATAAAACATGGTAGAATTTGCTTGTACTGTTTGATTTTGCTTTGATACTGTGTATAATTTTTAAACACTTGAGAAAAACTACTTCAGTTTGTCATAGAATGATAAGTAAGGGTGGCGAATAAGATCGAAACATAAACTTTGCGTTTAACAGCGTCCACAATCCTATTCAATCATGGGATATGAATCCAATAATTCACATTTCCGACTCCAGTCAAACTGTGGTGTAAACTTACCATCGTACGATTTCATATCATAACTGTCGGCTGAATGACTTTTGATGGATGTTTTGTTCTTCCACTGATTCCTAATCATCCTGATGAGATAATCAATCAGAAATTTCACAAGTGTTGCGTATTTTCGAACTTGTTATTACTGACATAGTAATAGTTAGACATACGTTGATAATCGGTAGTGTAGGAGTTTAACATAACATTTATAGCTGAATAAAATGGTAATGATGGCACTAAGATGATTCCTTTTTTACGCTTTTGTTTTTAGTATTTGCTTTTAGTGGTCGGCGGCCTTGCGTTATTTGCAACAGCTGTCTTCATTAGATTTTATAAAGTAATTAAACTCTCGACCTTTTTATGCTTACATAAATATTTTATTGCTATTATTAGTATTGGACTTGGCAGTAACTTTCAGCATTAACTCAATTCAGTTCAAACGTTATCGGATACTAAAGTGTATCAAACAACTATCTAATTCATATGATCCACGTTTATTCAGTAATTGATGTTCCGTAATTAATTCGATGGATTTCCGGATAGAATTCAATTGTATACGCCCCATGCTTTACATGGTTGAATCATAGGTTATAAATCTTAAGGCAATCTGTTTACGACAGGTCTAAGAATCGGCTTAATAGTCATAGTATATAAGTTGGTTCATAAGCTTGACTGTATTGTCACCTTTTATGTAACAGCTATACTGTTAATGTTTGGATTTATCAGGTGATAAGCAAACGAGTTGTGTGGTGTATGTCAGTATAAGAAAAAAAATACAATATTACGTGTCTTTGTTACAGATTATGTATAGAATGCTTCTTGATATTATTGTTGGTAGGTAGAGTAGCGGTGAAGTGAACTGGAAGAGTATTATTCATCTAATCCAGTAAATAGTGCTTTCAGAAAATGGTGACTTACATTTTGATGCAATTAGTTTTACTTTTTGTTAAACTATTTTCGTATGATAATGATATTAATTAGGTTACTATTATGTGGCCAATGAAATTTGAAGAAAATATCCGATTTCTTCAAGGCAGATTACCTAAATTGTGTGCACCAAAATTTAAAAGTAGCATACTGCTACATTTTTCATCTTGTTCTCATTTTAACTTATCACGTAAACGTATTAGATATCTTATAGACAACTATTCTCTCATCATTTAAAATGTTTCGTTCATTTTACTGTTAGTCAACATGGATTCTTGGGCTTAGGTACCGTGCTTTTGAGCACTTGCCAGAAGGCAACCTCTAATACTAACGGACTTAATGCTCGGTGTGAACCAAGTCCTCATCACCTAGCTTCGTAACATATTATGAATATTATTGTACATTACGAATCACATATCACGTGGTGTATGCAATATATTACTACCATTTAATATATATCTTTGTTTTTCATAGTTAACTGTTGTACAACCCAAAAACTATCTTCGTTCAATGTCTCAGTGTTCACCACTTATTAAAAGCATGTCTTGGGGTTCCATTACAGTGGAAACAGTATCCGAAGATGGAACAATCAATCCAAACAAATTAGTCACATATCGAGATGCAAAACTTTGGCCAAACGGCAGCCGTGCTTGGGATTGGAACGAGTCTGGCACTGGTCATTTTGCAGGAATACAGAACCAGGATGTTGACGAATTACTCAGATATAAACCAAATATTATTATACTGAGTAAAGGAGTATTATCTCAGTTAAAAGTGCCTCAATCATTAATTGATTATATAAATCAATCTGATCCACATATTAAGGTAATGGTACAGACAAGTAAAAAAGCATTCGAATCGTATAATCAATATGCGATTCAAGGTGAACGTGTTGCCGCTTTAATACACACTACCTGTTGACAGAACTACCTTTTCACTGAAATTGCTGTTATTTTTCGTTTACTTTTCCATTTATCATATCACCGTATTTTTGATATAGACAACTTTCTTCTATATGGTGAGCTATATTTTTGTCATTCAACTGTTTGCTTATTTGATTTCTTTGTTTGCCTAAAGGAAAAGAAGTACTATGAGTATAATTTTATCGTACGACTTTATTTTCAACATACATTTTGTGCAGTATATATATAATGGGTAAAACTGCAATTAAAATAACTCTGGGTAGCAGCACGACCTAAACCAATGTATTATACATTATTAATTAAACTAATTAAATCACAATTTGACTCCACACAAAGAGTAGCAGCACTTTGTCCATCTGTCATACGTAGGTACGTACATCAGTTCAAGTTGTCACACCACATTAGCACAAAGGCGCTATTTTCAATTCAAATCCCATAGTTAGTAGAGGTAGTAGAAGTACTAGCAGTAATCGGAGAGATTAGTTTGAAAATATTATTTAAGAAGAATAATCTAGTGAGACAAACTGAAAAAGAGGAAAATAAAAGTGATGTAGAATCCAGAGGATTAGGATTTGTGCAAACAATTTTGTGCCATGCCCATATCTAATGTACATGACAAACTCACGTCAGATAGGCAAACAGATCTTTTCTTTCCAAGTCACTTTTAATTAGATACGTTGAATAAAAAAATCGCATGATTATGGGAGAATGTACACGAATGGAAATCAAAAGTGAAAGGAAACCTTATCTCTTGGATGTGAACTAATAAACGCATACGAGAAAGAAGAACTATAAATAATTTCGATTAATGCAACCGGTACTTCAAGCAGCAGTTCCTTAGGTTTCAAAAAGCAGAAAAAATATCAAAAGATACGTAGCATTTAGACCGGAAAAATGGTCAGTAAACGACAACAAACCACTTGAGAAACAAGAATGAAAATAACTACTTTTTCAAGAGGAAGAACTGTTTTTTTCCCTAATGTTTATTTGACTCAAATCAAGGAAATTAGTTCATAATAGATGAACAATACACATTGTATCACAAGTTTTATAGAAAAAACAAACAAACAAATTCACATAAATAGGGAAATAATACCTAGGATATCCCTGAGTGAAGTACAAAACGTGAAATTCATAAACATTTGTACATTAATTCTCATTATAAAATATTCATTCATTAGTGTTATTAGAAAAACATAAAAGAAAATATAACAAACATACACATTACCGAAGACAAAATTGAAGAGACAATAAAGCAGTAATTATGAATGCATATACAGTTACCAATTAACCTGTTTTAAATCAGACCAATTAGTACCAATTTTCAATTTTACAGGGAGTGGAACATTAATATTACAATGTTTATTTGTTTGGGACATAGTTTGACGAATTAGTACGCCGAATTGTTTAACAGATGATTCAGGAAAAATCTAAAATATAAATGTATAACGAGTTAGATATAAATGAGTTGATTGCAATTAAAAGTGTAAACAGTCAAATAGAGGAGCTCAGTGGTTCGCAGGTCAAATGCTCACTGCGAAGCCTAAATGTTTAAGGTTCGATACATGATGGAGACGTGGGGGCATATTGCTGTACTAAGTTGGAATAAAGATCCTGGGAGTTTTGTTATAAAAAGAAATAGATTATTTATGCTTACTTCATAGATTAGTTCATCATGTTCATGTAGGACAGGATGAGCATAACCAGGAATATTAGAGGAATGAATTGCTTCGTCAACTGCTAACATAGCAATCTTGGCTATTTCTGATGCACTCCCTTGAATAATACTATTAACAGCTTGACGTTCAGCCTAGTAAAAACATAAATTAAAGATGAAGATATTAAGTTGGGTTAGCCTACACATGATTTTGGTTATTCAGCTAAAAATTAAAATCCTAGACCACCATATCTTTAAAATTATAGTGTCATTACCCAACTATAACTCTTAAAGCCTAGTGATCCCATAAACTCACACTTGGTTATTGAGTCACAGCTATGACTATTTTACTGACAGTAATTAACTAACTGTTTTTGTTCGTGGGTTTTTGAGAATAGTTGTGCCTAGGGGATGTATGACTTTTATTCCGAATATGCCATTTAAGTGTACCACCAGCCCAGTTTATATTAGTATTTCCACTAATCTCTCTGGGCACTAACTGGACCAAGTTAGGAAATATCAATCAGTTTCGACAAATGCAGGTTTGTGTGCCTGAGTTTGAGCTAACCATTTTGTTTGAGACTATATGGCTGAAAAATATTGAAATCAGCGAAGTGAGATTCGAAACTGCTAGTGGTTGAAAAAACAAATAATCATTCAGATAACAGAATAAGTATTGAACAATAACTCCACCAGTTAGTCAGGTAATGAAGTACGAGTTATGGTGGCCAATTTCGTTGACGTTGGGCTCACCATTATGTATGGTGGCCAATAACTGCGTGTTCTTAAGCTCGGTTTATAAATCAGAAGATGAACTCCAAGTATCGTATACGTTTATTTGAGGTACACCACAAAGCGAATTGGAGAAGGCTAAGAGCCAACTCTTTGGATTACAATGCGAGCGAATGGGCGAAGCGAATTGGAGAAGGCTAGTGACCCAACTCAAAGAGATAGAACATGACTCAGAATATATAGTCAGATAAAAATAAGACAGACATATGACAAGCGAAATAGATATGCACACACATGAATAAAAGCGACGAATGATTGACAAGGTCAAAAGCAAGCGATACAAATCATGTGAGTTCACAGGGATATTAAGAGATTAACATTAAAGCGAAAAGGATGAGTAAGTGCGTAAGCGTAAGCAATGCTCAGTCGTATAAGCTCATACAAAGCAGATAATAAAAAATACCAATGGTACATATGAGTTGTTGCTATACAAATGGCTTGGTTAAATAAATTAATCGAAAGGGCTTAAGCAAATTAAATGTAAGCGGATGCAAATAAATGTGGAGGCACTACAGAGTTAGCTTCAAATTTGTTCTCAGAATGGAAAGAGACAGGAAACTACCCTATGATTTAAAAGTAGAAATTGACAGCTGACGAAATTTTGAAAGCTTTGGAACAAATATCAGCTAGTAAAATGGAAAATTCATAATTAAAGTGAACTATAAACACTGTAAAAGCAATAAATGGAATTATTAACACGTTAGAAAATACTAACTTTAACAACAGCAAAATGATGCCGTATCTCATGTTTTCTCGACCAATTATAGTTGGATTCAAAAGCCGTATCGTTGTCAAATACCGTTTTCGAGTTTAAAGCAGGTAGAAGACGGACATGACCATTAAGTGTTTTAATTTGACCCTCACGATGAGCATTTGAAACTGTAGTTGAAATAAACTTTTGAACACCTAAAATTTTAAAAAAGATTGGTTGGAAGAATTAAACAGAGAGCAAGATAAAACACAACAACTGCCGATAAATCTCAGTGGATTGTGAATTAGAACTCTTTTTCCACCCTGATTCCCATAACACGAAAACTCACAAAAGTGCTTTGTATTGATTATCTCGGAGAGAACGAGAGTCTAGAATAAAAGCTCAGATGCTAATATCATCATGAAATTTGTCCTGCTTCGCTTAAGAATAATTAACTTTGGGCAATTGTTTACGTTTTAAAAGAACCAGAAGCATAGAGATGTGCATTGTATCAGTATTATTAGTAAATAAAAAGTAACCTTGGTCAACCGATATGACAATGCGTTTATATGCTATTTGTGACAGTGAAGTCAATCAGTCAGTCAGCTACAACTTGAACGTCGTACGTATGTACGTCAATTCAAGTTGCTATACAATATTAACACAGAGATGTAGTTGCCAATTCAAACCCCATAGTAATAGAGGTAGTAGAAGTATTAGTAGTAATGGCGAATCGAAGATACGAATCAAGAAGCATAAACTGGTAAAATAAATCTTAAACAAAGAAAATTAAGGTTATGACGAATTCCTAAGATTAGAATTCGAAAAAATAAACGAAGAATGGATGCACCTGCGCCATTGTAAACGATTTTGGGTCATGTCATCCAAGGTTTCTCACCATCGGTTACTATCATCTCGCGGACTCCAACCAGATAGTCTACACTTACCAACATAAATCAGCCCAGTTGTAAGTGACATCATGGATTTGTGCCATAATTAAGTTTGGCCACTCCTTATGAGGATTTTGTGACAAGTTTTAAATATCTGTTATAGTTGTAATGAACATATAGCATTAGTAGTTGTGGTATCGAATGAAAGCTAGTTATCAAGTTATTGATAAAATCTAAGTGCCGGGTCAAATCGTTTGGCATTGTAAACAAACATAAAGTCGATGTGTGTAATAGACATGATAATGACGAAGAGGACCGAAAATGTAATTAGGTAAATTACTCATCCAGACATAAGAATATTTGATCTTGCCTGAAAGTTAAATATGAAAATATTGCCAACTAAACAACTTCCAGAGTAATAGTGAGAAGCCATAACTTTATTTGGTTCAAATGCATATTACCAATGATATTGGGTAGCGATTGTGAATGAATGGAGTTTGAAATGTAAACTACTGCATTTTAACACAACAGCAGCCTAAACATAAAACATTACCATATTTAGCGATCGTCACAAATTCCTCTATAATGATGGATAATTTTTCTTAAAAAAAATACAGTCAACGTTAACCGTATGCATGTTTTAATTAAGCAACTATGTCATTTACCTGGATAAGCGTTTAAAAAGCTATCAATTAATTTTTGAGCATTTTGCTCAGTTATATTCATTTGACTAGCCAATGTTTGACAACCCATTCCGTATAGAATAGCATAGCATAATTGTTTTGCTTGTTGCCGTTGAACATCGGTTACTAGATTTGGATGTGGTATATTTAACCAACGAGCAGCTAACTTTAAATAAAATATGAATTTAAAAAAATGTACTTTTTTTTCCAAAAAGATTGATCACAAAGCTTACAGCAAATTGTAAATAATAACGAACTAATTCTGACAAATAGCTAATAACTACATCCATATCAAAGTGGACATCATTCATTTACGTGTAAGATAAAATTAACAATACACTAACGTTAAATGGACAAATAAGAAGTTGTTCGTTAAATAGAAATATAAGTCAAAAACCGAATAAAAGTTTATTTCCCCACCTCATATGACTCATATTTGATTGAAACGAGTGGGAATTCGATTTACAATGTAGTAATATCGACTTAATTTATCATACATAAAAGCAGGTAATATCACCAAAGAAACTAAATTAATGAACAATGAAACTGATCCGCTTAATGTCTACCTTTGATTAAGTTCCTTGTTGTTCTATCATTTTTTTCTATCAACCAATGAATAGTTATCGAGAAGTTTCACGTTAGCTAGAGAAAAGTGATAAGAATCACGGACAGGGGATAATGGACAACCACTGTGTCATAGATTGAGCCTCAATCTCAATGCGGAACCAAGATTTAACACAGAATCGAACTCAATGTCTTCAAACCTCACGACAAGTTTGATTTCTTCCCACGAATGACGGTCTACATTTTGAACGCAACAACTATATGGCAAGTACTGGAAGGTTTCGAATTAAAACAGCAGGCAAACAACGTTTATTGACTCGTCAGTTGTTACTCTATTCGATTAAGGATATCTTTACACATTATCGATCTAAATAATTATCAGAGCTTAATCAGAAAAAAAATTGTACATTTGAATTCTGTGGAATAAAAACAAATAACAACTATATAGCTTTACCTTTTTAAAAGCGTCTGATTCTGAGTTAGGTGCAATCGATTGATCAACAGTTTCATTTGGATGTTCCACTACTGATAAAAGTTTTAGAAGTTCTACATCTTTACTGAAATACGCTAAGAGTCTTAATTCAAGCTGACAAAAATCAGCGGCAACAAGTAAACCACCAACAGGTGCATGAAATGCACAGCGTGGTCTTATAGTCTAAAAAACAAAAAAATCCAACAGTAAAATATTAATAAGAAAGAATAAGAGAAACAATGCTGTGAAAAATTACAGAATACATTCAGTCAATAATAAGAATGTAGAATTTGGAAAATATATGCATGGCTCATAGTTTTACTGTAATTCAGCACAGACAAATACTTACTTACTTACTTACGCCTGTTACCCCCAATGGAGCATAGGCCGCTCACCAGTTTTCTCCAACCAACTCTGTCCTGGGCTTCCCTCTCCAGTTCTGTCCAATGTTTGTTCATTCCTCTCATATCTTTCTCTATTTCACGGCGTAATGTATTCTTTGGCCTTCCTCTTTTCCTTTTGCCTTGAGGGTTCCATGTGAGGGCTTGTCTCGTGACGCAGTTAGGTGCTTTTCGTAGAGTGTGTCCTATCCACTTCCAACGCTTCTTCCTGATTTCCTCCTCCACTGGAATCTGACTTGTTCTCTCCCACAGTTCGTTGTTGCTGATGGTGTCTGGCCAACGAATACGAAGTATTTTGCGTAGACAACTGTTAATAAACACTTGTATCCTCTGGATGATGGCTTTGGTAGTTCTCCAAGTTTCCGCTCCATACAGTAAAACTGTCTTCACATTTGTATTGAAAATCCTTATTTTGGTTTTGGTTGAAAGTTGTTTGGAGTTCCAGATATTTTTCAACTGTAGAAATGCAGCCCTTGCTTTGCCAATCCGTGCCCTCACATCAGCATCGGATCCACCTTGGTTGTCGATGATGCTGCCCAGATATGTAAAGGTGAGCACAGACAAATGCCAGGGAAAAATATGCAGTAGCAGTATCAGTGGTAGTAGCAATTACGAAGCTTAGGAGACACGATTCAAGAAGAAAGAGTAAACTCACAGTGTCTAAAATGTAGTACATCATAACGAAATAAATTTCCATGAAAAACTTCTGATGTTTAACAATCTGGTCAGAAAAAAAGATGTTCACAATAGTTGAATTTAAACCGCAAAAGTATAGATATGTTCAGCAAGAAGATAGAGATTGAATTTTGTAGACACAGAGATTATGGTATCATTCTATGGCACGCAATTGTTCAAAACGATTACATTTTATTGTTTCATCAGTGGATAATTGGAATATTGATTAAGATGAAAGTTTTACTACAATGACACCGGTAACTAGATGGCATGATTTTATTACTGCTTATCAATATGAACTGTAATATCTCACGAAACTAAATGATAGGTTATCAGGTCAACAATTAAACATCTCAATATATATATCTATGTAATGGCATTTAATCCGATAAACACTGATTCATCTGATTGTGATAATGAGTGTTAGCAAATAAGACTGAACATATAATTCAAAAGATCGATTATTTCTATTTAGTGCATTAATTAAATAACAGGGAACACTAACACGTTAGCAAACAGCAAGTTTGAATTATTGTTCACATAACATTGGTCACTACCCGATGACCAATCAATCAATGGTTAAGATATAATTTGTATATGTATTGATCTGAATGTTCTGGATAGCTGTCCGCACAATTATTCACAGTAATAGTCTCATACATATGAATTCACTGGGATTCAGTCTTTTGTTTGTTGAATTCTTTTCCATAGTGCATTAGAAACATTATTTAAGGTGCGGTCTGTATTAATACCTGAAATTCGTCATAGTATATTCTTACATTCTTCTCGTCTGTGTACCTACTTTATTCAAATCTGATGTCACACCCGTTGTTGGAAAACTTAAGTAGCTACTCTTACATTTGTATTCTGAATTTTTTGGACATTTCTTTCAATTATTCATTCATTACCTTGTTTCCTTTCAACTCCGTATTAATTTTAACGTAATTTCCCACAAACCACCATCAGCTTTTGAATTAACACACTGACAAATGCCGAATCAGCGGTGTATGTGTTGTTATGTATTCTGGAAACTTTCCGGAATTGTAAACTAATGGCCCTAAGTTATATCAACATAATTGTAGGTATAAAGTCTCACTGTTAGTTTGCAAACTTATGAATCCTGCCAAATATGATAACATGCTTCCTTATCTAGGACTCTCCTCATTACCTGTTTCTCTTCCCAAATTTATTTCACTGACTTACACTTCTTGAATAATTTAGTCGAACCATAATCTTCTCCATTACGGCTAATACTTCTACTATCTCTACTACTACGGGATTTGAACTGAAAATTGCGTCTCTGTGTTAATGTTGTATGGCAACATCAACTTACGTACGTACGTACAAAGTTCTACGTTGTAACTGCCTGACTTAGCTAGGACTCTGCAATATGGTGCCATCGATGTGTGCTGCGTCTCCGAAACGCGCATACAGGAACCCAGTAGTGTCATTCATTTGACCTCACCATGTCAAAATAAAGAACCATATCGATAAACGTTCCGTGAATCTGGAAGCCCTGATGCTGCTTCCTGTGACCTCGCTGGTGTACATGAAGCATTGAGTTCTAAGGCAGAACAAGCCACCTAATATCTTTCTGGATCCCAGTAGACAGTCGCTTGGGTGCTGTCCGACTAAAACGGGACAGTGAGGATACTCAATTACCTCTTCGTTGTCTCTGCCTACGCCCCTACTGACTGCAGCTCGGACGAGATAAAAGATGAGTTTTACAGAAACCTTTACAACCTTCTTTAAAATGTTAGGCACTCTGATATAGCAATAATTGCAGTTGACCTTAATGCTCAAGTAGGTAGTCTAAATGAAAAGGAAAGACAGCTAGGTGGAGCTTATGGTGTCGTGACTTAAAGGACAGATAATGGCGACCGTCTGTTGCAGCTATGCTCAGATAACCGCCTGTTTCTGACAAATAGTTAATTTGCGCATAGTGTGTGACATGTTTAGGCTGGACCTTTTCTAACACCTTCCTTCCATTGTGAGATGGCAGCATCGTTGCAGATTCTGGTTGTCCGAGGGAAACATCTCATTGCTATCATGTCCCTCTACAGTCAGCATTACGACTTCACCCTCGAACCTCCAGTGCTGCTTTTGGTTTCACCGTTCTCCAATCGACCTGCCTGGCATGGTAGAATCTAAAGGGACGTATATTCCAGCCAATATATCTTGGTTGGGTCATCACGATAGGGAAGCTCAACCACTACGTTTAGGTAGCTGGTACGGTCGGGATGTTGGTACGCTACCTGGTTCATACCATAACTGGGACCAGTAGTGGAAGATGTTCGGTGAATCGGCACACAATGGATCACAAATGAACAGATCCAGCAAATCTTTATCTTCGATTAGATCTTAAGTTTCAGTATATTTTTCACATATATTTTTACCATCTATCCTTTTAAACCATATTCTCAGTGTTTGTTTATTCTTTCTGTTGTAGATACCACATTATTTCGGTGTCTTCACTAACAATTTTATTACTTTATATCGTTCTGTTTTGGTGACACGAGCGAACACACATTTGTGCCAGGCTTTATGTTGATTATGACTGGCATGTTGGACACCAGTTCACAGTTGAACTCAAGATGAAAATTTTATCATGTTAGGTGTTCGTTATCTGAATGTATTTACATTCTAGTTTAGGTGATCATAGAGAGATTTGAATATTAACTGCGAATAGTAAGAATTTCGAACTGACCATTCTAAAGTGAGACAAAATATACGTTCACGATTTTTTAAACAACAATCATCGAACTGTTCATGCAGTACATATGTAAATTAGAGCATGTTACAAAAATCTGAATTTTTGAGAACAGCTTTTAACTAACTACCATATTTACTAGAACATTTAATTAATATTTCTAACATTTAATACTTTTACTTCATATCACAGAAAGTTCACAAAATCAATTTTTTCCTTTCTTAATCAAAGAGAAATTATATAGAAAAACTTACTTCGATTGATTTAGGCAGTTCATTTAATATTTGATCGAATGGTGAAGTCCATTTTTCTGAATTATTATTAGGATTATCGTTGTTGTTGTTGTTGTTCTTGTTTAAAGTTGACGATTTATAATGTAATTTAGACCAGTCAATAATTATATCTTTCGGAACAGATTGTAAATTAGGCATAATCGATATAATTCGACCAGTAGCTGTATAAATATCGTACGTAGGTGATATACGTAATAACTGTAAGATTATTCGAAAACAATTCACAGAAGTAAAGAAAAAAAGTTAGCCGGAACATCAAGACAATGAAAATGAATTTGAATGAAGACAAAAACAGCCGATAATAATAATAATCATAAGTGATAATCATATCGAGTCCCATAAACAATTGGAGAAATAATGAAAAGTCAGAATACATATACAAAATTATAAAGTGATTGTTTAGATATGCCAAACTATTGAATATCTGGATTTATTTCAAACTGTAGATTGTTTTGGTTAGGATCCTTACGATCATTGTGATTAGTGATATTGAATGATATGGTTAAGAACCACTGAGAATGATGTAGATGCATTCAGCGTTTATTTTCAGATACCCATTACGCTGAATTCCTTCATTCTCAATCTAGGTTGTCTATGCCTAATATCTTCCTCTTCTACTACTACTACTACTACTGATACTGTCGTTATTTCTACTAGTTTCATTTTGTTGTTTTGATGTAGTTTGACAATTTGAATCGATATACATATTCGTATCATGTTTTAATTAGTTCATAACTGACTGAAATTGTTTGATGTGAAATACATTGAAATTGTAATCAGAGAAGGAATCTAATTGTGAATACACTAATCAACTATGAATTATTATCAGTATTGAACAGTAAAATTAGATGAAGATACAAATTTCTATTGTTTAATTAGTTGGTCAAATAGAAATAAGAGAAAATCAACGCTTTTTACCAGCAAACACTCTGAACAGTTCATACTGGTCGAGTTTACATTCATAAATCTATCGTTACTATGAATCTGTACAATATGTACTATTAATAATATTACAAAACACACTGATGTAACTTCATTTTTTTGATTGTTCAGAAATTCAAAAAACAATTGATTCCTTTGATAGATTTGAGTAAAGCGATGATAAACACTCTCTCTTCTCATTGCATTATTCATATTTAGAAATTAATACTACTCATTGAGTGAAATAAGCTGTTTATTTATTGAAATAATAGTTACTATAAACGAAATATGTTGAAAATGAATACTATTTGTAAAATCGGACATTAGATTTACATTACTTTTGAGTGTACGTTTCAAACGCTCCATTAAAATAACCAATTAGCAGTATGTCTAACATGTAACAACTAATTCAGTGTACCATAATATTAAAAAAAAAATTATCATTACGGTTGTACATGTCAGATCACGGATACAAATTAACATGCATTCAGCAGCTGTTTTGGAAATCGTTGTTTAAATATATAATCACTTAAATGTTTGGGAAGATAGGACAATTAAAGAGTGAACCATGCAACAAAGTAGAACGCTAATGATATCTCAAATGTAACAGAATTTTCATCTGCTATAAATTATAAAACAGGTTCAATCAACCCAGGTAGATTTTCTTTAGTTAAGAATGTCTATCTCACGTTTACAAAAAATATGATAGAAAACTATCAAACGACTGACACTGATGTGTAATTGCGTGAGTCATGCCTGGAAGTATCTCAAGCCGCTAGGCCACAAAATGTAACCACGCGGTTGAAGGTGAGAGAACACAGATCTTTTCCTTGTAATACTCTTTAACGACTATAGGTTTAAAAATACCTTTTCAGTGTATCAGAAACGGAGAATAATACTAAAATACAACTAATGTTTATGATGTGCCCATTGAATACTGCTGCTAATCTAAAATAGATTTGTGCTTTCCTGATTGAAATGCATTACGTGTTTCTAAACTTTTGTTTTGATCATATTAGTAACTAAGAACACGGAATGCAGGTTACTTTTTTCAAGAATAGTTAACAGAAAGCTTTCCTTTTCCAGTTTTATCAGAAAACATCCTTTGTTTACAAAATTAAAAACGCATAAGTTTCACCAAACAGTCAAAGTTTAGAAAAGCTACAAATCTGACCTTATTCTCTCCACTAGATGTACACGTAAGACGACATGTAGACACTAATGAATTCAATACTTTTTCTAAAATGCCATTGACATGACGCCATTCCATAATAACAGCTGGTAATGGATGAAGATTTGTAAGTTTTGATAGATTAGCATTAGTAGCTTTGGGCAAATGATTTGAACGATTACGCCCAGTCAGTAAATAGGTTTGATTTCGTTTTTTATTCAGTATTAAATCATTGGGATCTGTTATTTGAGGTAAACGAAGCCATTTGAAGAGAACCTTTTAAAATAGAGAAAAATATTGTTGAAATAAGTACCATTAAAGATAAGATTATTTGAAGTGCATTATGTCTGAGCAATTATAGGTGACCAAGATTGGTTAGTCAAAAGTGATAATACTTTGTTGTCAAGATAGAGAATGAAAACTTTCTGCTGGAACCATTTACATGCGAGAACACGACTTCGTAAGTAGTGATAGGCATCAAACTCAAGTAATTCAGAAAGCCACAGTCAAAAAGTTATCGATAAATAATTTAGGACCCAAATTATTGGTTTCAGACTAAGAAAATTATCACTTAAGTTCATAATCAAAGACAAGATAGTACATTGTGGACTAGCGCTTGGCTTTTAGATTATTACATGAAACGTAAAGCTACCATCTAGTTGATTTGGTCGTGGTAGTAGGTGAATTTGGTTAGTTGAAAGTCATATTCAAAAAGTAATGAGTGATTGGATGCGAAATTCATACCTATGGAAATAAACATTAACCGGTTATCAAAAGTGTAATCGACTGTAGTATGTGTACCAATATGTTGAGTCCAGAAGGACCGAGTCATTATTGCTCATTACATGTCTAGTCTATTTTTGCCTGACTATAAATACTTAGTCATGCTTCATCCCAATCAGTTATCTCGCTTGCCTCCACTTCACTTTATATCCTCAAGTCTGTCTGCGTGAATAATTGCATGAAATGAATTCGTCCACAAAACCGCATTTGGTTTCCAATTACCGTTGTCGCAAAAAGGGATTTACTTCATTGCATAGTAGATAATTCATCCAAATTGAAGTCAGATGGAATCGTGCTTCGAATTTAATGCAGCCACTAAAGGACTCTCGAGTAATGACTTACACTGAAGATACTATGGATTATATCACTATAAAATATACTCCGCGGAAATTTGTTTTTATCATTTTGATCTGATGATTATCGATTGACCAAATAATTCTTAGCGCTTATGTTTTGGGAAGAAATGAAAATATAAGTTAGAATAGATTTACGAGTCGGAGGGAAAATTTTTTATTCTTGATTAAATTTTAGATAGTATTTAGCAGTTGAATCTACAAAAGAGTCTTGTCCTATTTGAGATTTAAAAGGCTGAAATGTACCAGGTTGAAATTCACACTGCAACTAGAAATTAAAGTCCAATTCTAAGAATACCAGATGGTAATTTTTTTCCTTTTAAGTATGATATTTAATATCATCGAAAAATTCAACAATCCATAACGTTTTTTGAATTGAGATAGTAGGTAACGGAAAAATTATGTCACTATACCATATGTTGGCAGCAGTTATATATGAATTCAGAACAAAAGAATACTTATTTTGCAAACTCTTCAGGTGGACAAAGTCATTACAATAAGGATCTTATTCAACAAGCATTCATTACTTTTGAAATAATTGCTGTTCTAATTCATTACACATGACAACATTTTAGACCGACACAACTTGTAGCATTCATGATAGAAGAAAACAATAACTGAAATTATTCACAACCTTAAATTTAAAAAAAATCCCAGAAAATTCAATTTAAAAGTATTGATATTGGCAAAAATCTTTACATCGAACCTTGGATATTTCTTTAGGTGAATCCATAGGAAATGACTGACCAGCTAATCGATAGGCGACATTTTCCAGCAGTTTACATGCATTTAACAATAAATGTTGACATTTATTTAATTCATCCAGGTTAAGCACTGGGTAAATGGAAGTGAAAGAAGCAATGATTAGCTAGGAGAGAAAGATGTAATGCGATACAGAGGATGATATTGATTTTACGTTATAAACATGAAATTTTATGCAGAACTCCAGTGTAGTTTGCTACCGTCACAAAAGTTTCTAAAACTTTTCGAGACATTCACAAAAAAATACAGTTTATTTCATTTAGTATATGACTAGCATTGTGAAGCATTTCATGAAGCGCGTTTCGACCTAATTGGAACTTATTAACAGGATATATGTGCATTTCAGTGTTGAAGTTTAAATATATTAGGAAACTAACTTAGTTCTAGTTACATCGAATACTAACGCATTATGCATTAAACTGTTGGGTTCAAATGGCTCATTAGCCTATTCACGAGATACTTGGGAAATAGTAGGGATACACTGTTTTCCATTATCAGATGGATTGACTGATTATCGACTTTAAGTTATAATTTTTAGTATATATATATATATATATATATATATATATATATATATATATATAACACGTTTAAATGATAATGGGCATAAACTAAACATATTTTACGCGAAGCGTAATAAACCACAACAAACCTGAAAATAATTGATTTCGGTGACGTTAATAATACAAAATTTTTTATACGAAGGCAAGTTAACCTACTAAATATGATAAAATATTTTAGAAAACAGTTCAATATTTAGTGACAAAAAATGATGTTGACAAGACTTTGTAGATTTCAGAGAATTGAACGTAGTATATGCTGGAATGAATTTTACTTAATCACAAGATGAGTGATAACAAGAGTTCAAGAGTACAGTCTTTGATTACACCGGAAAATATTCTTTACTTTAAAATATTGTTTGAATATGAACAAAAACTTGAAATACACTTCACCTACTAAATTTACAAAAATAATACTCCTAGTATACAATTGTCAGGTATACATAAGTACTAAAGTATAAAATAGAATAAAAGCTACTTACTGAAACCGTTTGACTCCATGCGAGCTAGTAAAGACTGACAAGGTAAGTCAATCAAATCAGGTAGTGAATTTTGGGCCACTGAGAAACAGTTGTTAGAATTAGTTGTCCATAAAGATAGTAAGAAACATTGAGTTGATGTTATATACGCATGATCTGGTAGATTGGATGATAAGTGTTGTTCATTCAGATAATTTGCTGGTGAAGGACATTTGTTAGAAGATTCTAAGCTGGGAATTTTCGACCAATCTGAAAATTGGTTTGGAGGCTCTAAAATTTATTGAACAAATTATCAACATTAACACAGGATTCATCCATCAAAATCATTCTATGTATTCCTGTGAATTACTTCAATAAAATAAACAATAATTTAAGTGATCATAATGTAGCACAATATTCGGGTACATAACACAAAACTTTGTGTCACCAACAAAAAATCTTGTATGAGCCAACACAATAAGTTGTGGATTTTGATATGCAGTCAAATTGTTTTTCAAGCTAATAGTGTGACTAAACAAATAGTTAATTGTTATGCAATAAATGCCAATGATGGTGATTAACTGACGGGTCAGATTATGTTTTTAGGTAGAATGTAAATAATTTATATATATATAGAATTAGATACAACGATTTACAATAGACTATTTTTTGTAACTAAGGCATTAAATGAATTTGTTGCAGCAATCGATAGACATATATAATGAGCATAAAAGGACCATAAACACCATTTTGTTAACTTGTGTTGCTATGCCTTTTTTTAAAATAAGGGTAGAACAACTAGCAATGATTAATAATCCCTTCACTCACAAAACCAATGAACTATGTATCAGTCGTAAGTTTTCACTAGGTACTGGTCAATAATTAGCAATAATATGAACATTCCCTTGTCCACAAAAGGGAAAAGAATTTCTCATGATTTTCATTTATAAAAGCACAGTACATAATGAGGTGTTTGTGAAGATTTTCGCTTTTAAAGTTAATATCATGCGTTGATATTATCCAAAGAAAAACAATTGTACATTTTTAAGCCTTGAGGCGGTTACTCATCGATGAAACAGGGGGAGAAAGTGAGCAATAACACGAATTAACTAAAGTTAAAAATACAAATCATCGTGTATTAGTTCAATGGTATATAGGTTAAGCGCTTGCTGAGAGACCTCAATGTCTTGGTCTGATCTCCGGTGTGATATAGAGTACAAATTGCTGAGGGAAATCGTACTAGGAAGCTGTTCAAAGCTTTCCAGTTTTAAAAGGTTTGTAGTGCCTCCACATTTATTTGCATCCGCTTACATTTAATTTGCTTAAGCCCTTTCGATTAATTTATGTAACCAAGCTATTGGCATAGCAACAACTCATATGTACCATTGGTATTTTTTATTATCTGCTTTGTATGAGCTTATACGACTGAGCATTGCTTACGCTTACGCACTTACTCATCCTTTTCGCTTTAATGTTAATCTCTTAATTTTCCCATGAACTCACATGATTTGTATCGCTTGCATTTGACCTTGTCAATCATTCGTCGCTTTTATTCATGTGTGTGCATACCTATTTCGCTTGTCATATGTCTGTCTTATTTTTGGTCTGACTATATATTCTTAGTCATGCTCTATCTCTTTGAGTTGGCTCTTAGCCTTCTCCAATTCGCTTCTCTGCTATCCTTATTGTGGTGTGCTACAATAAACGTATACGATACTTGGAGTTCATCTTCTGATTTATAAACCGAGCTTAAGAACACGCAGTAAATCGGCACACTACAGGTTATACAACGAAGATAAGTAGGTTAGGTTAGTCATATTATTCAAACACAGTTTTCATCAAAAACCAAGGTAGGAAAATATTTTCAAAAATCAAGCGATGAAAATAAACGGTAGATTATAGGAAAGAAAGAGCAAAATACGTTTATCCTGAAAAATGGAAACATGATAATCAATAGTGCCTAGTTTACATAACTAGTGTATGGGGGACTACCTATTTACTATAATTTATTTTCCTTAATCTCAATGAAAACATGTTTATTCTTCTTAGGAAAAAATGAATTGACTAAAATACAAAAAAAGTGCAATAAACAATTCTAACATTGTCACGAACATAATTACATATATATATATATATAGAAAGATTACATGAATAACGAAATGAGACCTGTTGAAGTTAAGTTCAGAACAATATTCTTAGTCAATAAATTAATTGTAAACAAATATATTACAGTAAAGTTGTATTAGTCGAATGAGAAACTATGCACAATTTAGAATAATACTTTACTTCAGGCACTTATAAACAATGTAGAACCTGGCATATATGCGAGTCGATTCCCATTGTAACATCAAATAAACACTGTAAGATAAAACTAACAAGATAAATCCCAGAGTATAAGAGGTAGTCACGAAATTAGTGGTAGCAGAAAACATCGCCGAAACCACTGACTAAGACAATTGCATGGACTCCACCCAGATGGGCTACTTCAACAAGTAAACTCAGTCTTATATGTAGTGCTTTGGTTGGCCATGCAACCAACAAAGTAGTTTGCTTAAAGCAAACGTTTTCGAGAAAATAACAGTTCAATTGTATTGAATGCTGAAAAATCACAAAAATTTAAATATATATTCCGGTTATATAGTGGAACTGAAATAATCAGATTGAACGTTTAAAAATATCTCAGGGAATTTCTGTTTAATGAGCTCCAGGATACTGTACTATACAGTACGTAAAAATAGTTTTTGTGTGCTGAGATGATATATTAATTTATCGAGTTAATTGTATTTTCGAAACTAGAAAGTAATACGTCATTTGGTTTGAATCTTCCCGTTGTTTTTGCTATGTTAAGGACTGAAAATGATCTGTTTTTTGAGGCTTACATGCATCCTTTACAAAGTACCTTGCTGTTGCAATGAAGTTACAAGTACTCTAATCAGAGTTGAGAAAATTAATACTTGGAAAAAACATCAACAACTTTATAAATAATATACTTACCTAAGTATTCAACGGATGATGTAACTTTAGCCAGCATGCTGTTAACAACATGTGGATTCAATTTTTGCGCCTCAATTAATAGCGAGCTTTGACCTTGATCAGGATTAGTTAACCAATTTGTAAGATTTGGACTATAAATTTGGAATTTTATTCGATTTGGCAATTTCAGTAGATCATAGGCAATTCGATACCACCATTTAACATCCCATACGATCAGACCAAAATTTAATTGATTCATACGAATCAATAAATTGTGTACATCAAATAAACATTCCTGTAATGGAACTCTATTTGAATCTTGAAAAAGATTCGATGCATTTGTTTGATTGGTCGTATAGAAAAGCAGTTAGTCGAGAATGATGTAAAAATAAAATGAAGACAGTAATGAATATCTTTTTTCAAGAATATGATATATCGGTACAAATTTAATTGACAAAGGAAATATTAGATTGAGAATAAACGAAAGTCTGTTTAAGTAATTTTAAACTAGTTTTGGTACAAAACTAGGGTGATTACGGTTATCATTAAATTTTAAGAGGGATTTCGACAGAATATACCAAGTACACCTGAAAGTATTCAACACGATGAAGAACGTAGTTGAACGACATTTTCTAGCAGAATACACTTATCAATATACATGGTAATCGATAAATTGAGCGATTTAAAAGTTAAGGAATTGGTTGGATTTTACGCTTGCAGACGTTAATGGTGAGGAAAATGTAAAAATCTTAACTGTAGTTGTAGAAATATATTAAAAGACCTAGTGTGGTGGTAAGACATTTATCTGCACCTAATAATTTGCAGACACATTTCAGAATGTGTCGGATTCACACTGTTCTATGAAACGTTGTTGTGTTAACAGTCTCTAGACCTTCGTTCAGAATACTTGATAATCGGGACTGAAGAACCCGCACACACAAACAAAGGGTTAACGTGGATTATCTTGAAGTATCTTAAACTGATTAAAGGCCGAGATTGTTAATTATCATATTCTGAATTACTATAAAAATTAATCTTTTTAAGTTTGGTGTACAGTGAGGTCACAAGTGAGCTTCAAACTGAGACAAAACAACCATTCAGTGCAAATAAGATTTCAATGGTTCTACAGCAAACCTCAGTTAATAATAATAATAATAAAAGATTAACATTATAGAGCAAATTCTTTCTAAAATACCAAAGCTAACTGAAAATGTTTTAGAAACACTAATTAAAATCAGAATCATTACATCAAGATGTACATATTCCACTTAATTATTGATAATAGTGAAACAGTAATAAAAGTAGGTTTAGAGCATAACAAATAAACTAACTATTTCCGGCAAGAAAATCAATCCAAAATACAGTGTTTTTCTTTAAATTATTTGAAGAAATCGCTAGTCCACTAAAGTACAAATTATAATCTATGCAGAGATTCTTTCCACCACCAACAGTTGGATGCCCAGCAGGTCCAGATTTCCAAGATAAGTGTTCATTAAACAATTTAACATCACTATCATTATGATTATGTGAGTTCATGTTTAAGAGCCAGCCAGGTTGAATTGCCATATAATTTAATTGAGATGGAATGAAACTTTTTGATTCTTCAATATGATGATTTAATTCAGCAAGAAATATTTTCCATAATGTGTAAGTTTGTGTTACATCAATAATGGAGAATAAATTCTCATTATCGTTGTCATCATCTTCGTCAACATCATCAGCGGCCATTTTCAGTGAATCCATAATGGAATTATCATCATTCCAAAGTAGATTTGTATCTAGAAAAGAATTAAGTAATCATTAAAGCTTATCAGCTATTGATTGAAGACAAAAAATATGATTAACAGACTATTGAACGTATAGATTAAGTACAGAAGAAGAGTTTATGTAAATGAAATGTCGTTTTCTATAGGGAAGTTAGTAGTGACCTATCAATTATAAAAATAACAGATAATATTTCAGTCATTGAATTTCACAGGTCGTCATTAGAACTGCTTCGTTACACAACAAATCGTATTAAGCAACAATTATTTGGAACTGATAAACGACAATATCATGTGGTTATTCATGGCACAAACATGATGCGTATTCATCTACGAATGAGAAAATATCGATATCTGGCAGTTCGCTATGTATTGCTTTAGGCCTATAAAACATGTTTATTGAAAGCTGAAAAACCTACCTGTAAGAAATATTTGACTATAGATACAATTGAAACATCGTTAGGTTACAACTGAACAACACAATGAGTAATGCTGTAATTATTTGTAGGGTCCTAAGTACATGTAATAAGTTGTTCAAACAAAATGCCTTCAGCAGTTTCTATTATACGTGCAATACAACCTTAATCCTGATTAGCAATGGTGGCCTGTACAAATACAGGATATAGGAAAGATATATTGTGAGTTGTATAATTTTCAGTTAGTTTGTGCGACAACAGTAATTTATATTTGAGAACCTCAGGTAACATAACTACAAACTTGTCGTAGATATTTTCAATATTTATCTTTTTAACTAGATGTTTAAAATATCATTTCTTTCAAATTTTGTGACTTCAGGTGTTCTTTTCTAATTATATTACACCTAATTGCATTTCCACCAGTAATAATTGTATTAATCTAAATTCCCTGTTATTAATCTCTATGCTGGCTATTTATTCTGCTAATGTGAAATGTTAGCAATAGAATTAAAAAGAATTAGTGTCAGTCCTCGGATAATAGCTAGCTGATTGAATAACGATTTTTGTCAACGAACAACTTACAGCAACTATCAAGGTGTAGATTTGTACATCATCTCACCACATATGATATGAACAGCCAGCTCTAAAAACAAATAGTATGGCTCAAATTTGAATACATACAGCTTAGACAGTTGATAAATGATAAGATTATGTGAGTTAGAAATAGCATATTTTATTTGATGGAAATACCATTAACCACTGACTTAAAATTAACTGACCTGTTTTACAATCAACAGTTTTATTTGACTGAATAGAGTGAGAAGTTGACGATTCTCTACAGAAAGAATATAAATAAATAGAGATATCTGAATTAATTAAAGCAGAATAGAGTCATATATAACTGAAAGTAAAAATTATCATGATGATATAACCAAGTTAGATGTTTTTAATTCTTTAAGTAAATAGATACGGTTACGACAAAAGTTACATTAGGATGATATGTGCTAGAAAACTACACAATAGCTATATGGTACGAAAATATTGGTTGCAAACTATTCGGTGTGTTTAGCGTAAACAATATCTGTAAATATTTTAAATTACATGGCTTGGAATCAGTAGCTTTTATTTTCTATTCTATTGTTAGATCTTGGATTTAACAATAACTTTTGTAGTATATAAATTTGTATTGTACAAATTAATTCTTTCTTCTGTAATCCCATTGTCTATGTTTATCGTTTTCTAGTACTGTTGGCAGAGTTGCGATCCCCACTAATCAAGGCATTTATTGTAACGTCTTCATGTCACTTTGGTAATGTGATGTGATAGCTTAAGCAAGTGCCAGAATCTATGTTGATCATGACTAAATAAATTATCACATGATTTGATTAAAAAGAATAATACTATCTATCACCTAACAATATAGAAAATTTAGTGTAATAGAATAGATATTTGAATAGAAAAAAATAACAAGTTCCATAACTATTTAATTTCAGCTGTTTTAAAATTTATATTAATGTTTCTCAATGTTAAGCGATACGAGTTGTTGAAAACCTAGCACATGATTATTGATTTGCATGAATTATCGTTATTAGGATTAAAGAGAAGTTCATAACATTAAAAAAGATAAGAAACATACTGTATTAATTGAACTTCATTAGTTGGTAAACTGAATGTAAAAGAAGTATTGAACAAATCTCCAATACTTTTTCTTTCCATATTCAAAAGTGATTCATTTGTATTGATAGATGAGTTGGATAAATTAGACTGAGGTTGTTGTAGGTTAGATATGGATTTTCGTTCTTCACCAATATCAGTATCGAAATTAGTGTGAGACTTGAAAATAAGGAAGTGTAAAAAAGATTATTTGGACTTTCGGAAAATTTCACACGAACACAAATACTTATGATAATAAGGCATTTATATAAATGGGGTTGAGAAGAAATTATATATCATGTATTTCAAAGATGTTGGAGAAAAAATTGTGGGCAGACAGTTTTAGCAATGGGAAATAAATAGAGTTTTCGATAGCAAAATTAATTTCAACAAAAAGTATAAACCTGAACCAAAGAAAATCTGATATGGATTTGTTTTGAAATGCTTTTTAGAATATTTAGAATATCAGATAATCTACTGATAATCATTTCAGTAAGAAAATGATTTTATATGAAATATCAAATACAAATAAGTTGTATTTGTGTGTAAAACTTTGGTTGAGTATGATCTTCTACTTCATTGTACATTTATTTAAAAAATTTACTCAAACAGCCTGACAACAAAAAGGAGTAGAAATCACTTGCTAAAAATACACAATGACTAACCCGATAACTTTGTTAAAACGTGTCTGGTGAATCAATACATCGCAAAATCAAACTCAGAAACCAGGAAACAGTGTTTCCGTATTTAAAAAAAACCTGGAAGTTACAAACGCCAAACACTTTGAAATTACTGTCACACACAGAGTAGTGGAATCATTCCACTCCATTGTATACAAATTAGAAAACACGTCAGCGAAAGATAAATGAGAAATAATCTGCAAAATAAAGTGAACCGATTGCGATGAACATAACACTGAACAAAGTGGACACCATCATCTTTACATGCACATACACGAACATGAGCTATAAGTGAAGCTATATGATATATCATCACTGATAGTAGAGAATGCAGACAAATATAGACATGAAATCGACTGGGAAAACATTGGAATTTTAGGAAAATCAGAGAGAGAGAGAGAGCCCAACCTTCACATCAACATATATTCGACGGTTAGTTCGAAATGGACCAGGTCTAGTAAACTACTCAAAAAAGGTCGGCAGAGAACATGATCAAAGTTTCATACGATAAGGCAGTCACACGATTTAGAACTAAATCAACCATATCTGTATCAATAAAAAGTTCAGTAGGACAATGGAGAACATGCAAACCAAGAGAGGAGCTAATATAGCCTCAAATCATCACTTGCTGGTGACCAAGATGTAACTGAAGCACTGGACGATGGGGAGGGCGGACATTACAGAAGTTTAGTACGGCCTTTCTTCGGGATACTGGATAGCTCAACGAATTCAAGATAGCCCTCAGTAATTGGTTCCAGACTGGAAACTATCGTAAACCAGAACGACCAGTGAAAAGCAAGGAAGGCGAAGCAATCAGCAAAACCGAAGAACAGAGAAAAAAGTGGGAAGACCACTTTAAGGAACTCTTGAATTGACCATTCCCAATGAACCTACCAACATCGAAGCAGCATTCACGCCTCCCAATCGATGTTGACACACCAACAAAGCATCGCCACCAGATAAATTAGGGGCAGAAAAGCAGCGGGACAAGACAACATTACAGATGAGGCATTGGAAGAGGACGTGGCAGCAACGGAAAGAATGTTCCATATTCTCTTCAATAACATTTTGGGATGAAGAACAAGTAGCAAAAGATTGGAAAGAAGAATACCTCATCAATATACCAAAGAAAGGCGATTTCAGCAAGAGTATGAAATACAGAAGCATCACTCTCCTCTTACTACCAGGATAAGCCTTCGACAGTGTATTTTTAAACAGAATAAAGGACTTCGTAAACGCCCAACTTCGAGATCAACAGGCTGAAATTTCGTAAGGATTGATAGTGCACTGACCAAATCACAACATTACGGATCATTGTGGAACAATCAATTGAATGGAACTCACCACTCCACATGAACCTCGTTGACTAAGAGGACGCATTCGATAGCGCGAACAGGACAACACTATGGAGGTTTCTTCAATACTACGACATGTCTGAGACGATAGTCAACATCATACGGAACTCATGATGGATTAAATTGCGAAATCTCGCATGGAGGACAGCTGACAGACTCGTTCGCAGTGAAGAACGGTGTCAGGCAATGATGATTACTCTCATCCTTCCTCTTTTTCCTGGTGATCGACGTTAAAACCTTTACATATCTAAGCAGCATCATTGACGAGCTAGGTGGATCTGATTTAGAAGTGAAGGCACTGATTGGCAAAGCAAGGGCTGCATTCCTACAGTCGAACAACATCTGGAACTCAAAACAACTATCAAAAAACACAAAAATCAGGATTTTCAATACAAATGTCAAGACAATTCTACTGTATGCAGAGGAAAATTGGAGAACTACCAAAGCCATCGTCCAGCAGATGCAAGGATTCATTAGCAGTTGTCTACGCAAAATACATCGGATCCTTTGGCCAGGCACCATCAACAGCAACCTACTGTAGGAGGGAAGAAACCGGAAGAAATCAGGAAGAAGCGGTGAAAGTGGATAGGATACACACTACGAAGGGCACCTCTCTACGTCACAAGACAAACCCTCACTTGGAACCCTCAAGGTAAAAGGAAAAGAGGAAGGCCAAGAAACACATAACGCCGCAAAATGAATAAGATATGAGAAGAATCAACAAAAATTTGACAGAAGTGGAAAGAGAAGCCCAGGACAGAGTAGGTTGAAGGCCCATGCTCCATTGCATGTAGAAGGCGTAAGTGAGTTAGTTAGCTAATAGGCTGATTCTAATAGATATGCTCACTTCAAAAGCGCAGCGCAGTCTTGATTTGAGACCCAAATCAAAAACTACACAACTTGATTAACCTACAGCTTACCATCAGAATAAGGACACAACGGTTTAACAATACATTACACTAGGGTGAAGAAAAGCATAGACTGTAGAATTCAGTAGTAAATCGACTGTATTTTTAATGGCAACTTTATATTTGCTCAGTATAGCTGTCATTTATTTGCTTGAACTTTAATAATACTTTAGATAATCTTATCTGAGGGAAATGTTGGGAAAAAAAGAAGTTACTCAACTAATTAGAAAAATCTCTAGAATTCATTGTGGGACATAATGTCGAGCTAAAAGTTGCATTATTTATACGATATTGTTCGAAAGCTTGTGATACGCCTAATATCTTCATACAACATCTGTTTTTGCAAATCATACATTGTCTTGTCATAAGTAATTACTTCTTTGCTTTAACTATTTATGGCTATAGCAGTTATTATCCAGTGTTATGGTCTCCGAAAAGCTGAAATTCGTGTTGCAATAGTGCTTACGAAATCTGAATAATCATAAGGGTTCAATTCGCAAGAGTTTGAGGTGAATATAGTCCTGGAATTTGAAGTTTTGTTTATCGATGGATATAAAGTAACGTTCACTTGATCGGAACACAGATAGCGTAACCTCCTGAACATAGCTGATACCTAGACGTGGTGGTCAGGCATCGCTATCGTGATTACACAACCAAGCTATATGGGCTGGAACATACGTCGCTTTGGGTTCTGCAATGCCAGAGATGTCGATCGGAGAATGGTGAAACCACAAGCAGAAACTGAATGTCTGAGGACCAAGCTGTACTGCTGACCGCAGAGGGGTGTGACAGCAATGAGGTGTTTCCCTCGGACAACCAGAATCTGCAGCGATGCTGCCATCTCACAACGGTGGGAAGGGGTTAGAAAAGGTCGAACTTAAAAGTGTCACACCTCACTTTACCCAAGAGATTCCCGACTTCGGAGACAAGGCCACTTGAAGAACGGAGATTACACATTAAGGACTTTCTATAAATAGGCGGTGCGTGACCGACCTCAAGCAGTTGTTCCTTCAGATTTGCGGTTACGCACGTAGGTCTCAGAAAAACGCCAATCTACTTCCTATTTCAGGTTTCTCAAGAAATACCCTTCCACAGTGTGACTTCTGCTCTCATTCCCGTGACAGAACACGAGACCGAATCGGTCACAATCAAATCCTTTTAACAACCGCCAACATCTCTTGTATCTCCACGACTAACCCTTCTCACGTTACTTTATCACACACAAAACGTTGATCCTGGTCTCCTGAAACCCCGTACTAAATTAGATGTTTGAGCTTTTAATGTCCGGATATCGTGTTAAATAAGATAACAGGTTTCCTTAGTCAGGAAGCTCGTGCGATTGATGTATGCTGCGTCTGCGAAACGTGCATACAGAATCCTGGTCAAATCAATATTTCGATTTCACCTTGACCAAATAAAGAATCCGCTGGATTCACTCTTCGTGTATCTGACAGCCCTGATACTGCTTACCATGACCTCGCAGATGTAGGTATAGAATTATGTTCTAGGGCAGAAATAGCTCTCTCAGACTGGATCTCGGTAGGCAGCCACTTATGCGCTGTCCAACTAAACGGGACAATACGGACTCGGAATGATAGGGAAACTTGCCTTTGCCTCTTCGTCGTATCTGCCTGCGCTTCCACTGACATCAGCTCGGACGAGATGGAAGATGAGTTTTACAAAAACGTCTCTGAACTTCTTCAAAAAGGTAGGCTCTCTGATAAAGAAATAATGGCTGGTAACTTTATTGCTCAAGTAGGTTGATTAAGTGAAAAGTAAAGAGACTTCGGTGGAACTTATAATTTTGTCCAACGTTGGGTCGGCTTCAGGGGTCGTCACGTCAGAAGATGCTTTTCCTTGTGCTTAAAGTTAGTGTTTGCTAAAAATAGGTGGTCATCTCAGCAGATCGTCACCATTATCTGTTTGATCGGCTGCGACATCATATCACATCGCCATCATCCACCGATGGAGGGGTTCGATGGTGACCAGTCCTGGAGCACATTTTTTACCTAACGGTAGAAAAGCTAAGGATATATTTCCCAGGCAACTACAAAATTGTTTAGACAGACATGTGTGTGATACCCACCTCCAGGCAGCTTGGAACGATATCCAAAAAGCTATGGGATATCTGTTAGTAAGGTTAGGGATAAGAAGTGACTCTGAACATGATGAAGAGCGAAGTCAGCTTAAGCGCAGGCTGATAAGAAGCCGACGACATGATCGCCAACAGTGGTGGATAGAGAAAGCTAGAGCGATGGAAAAGGCAGCGGGGATGGGCAACAGTAGGCAACTATTCAAACTTATCAGGGAAACCGGTATTAGGGACCCGAATGTAAGTCAGACTCTTTCGGAAAAAGATGATCTTACTATTCATTCTTAATCCAGGAGATTGGATCGATGGGCAAAACAATTTAAGGATCAATTCAACTGGCCCTCAGCGACATTTCAGTTACCCACAGTCTCCTGTCAACCTGAATGACGAATTCACGTACATCCTTCGGCTCTTAATAACGTTGAGATAGCTACAGAAAATCTAAGGTGAGGGAGAACAGCTGGACCTGATAGGCGTCGACAATAATTGTCTTCTTGGACCTTAAAGCAGCATTTGACTCTGTTGATCAAGAGGTTCTGTGGCAGTGCTTGTCATCAAGAGATGTACCAGAGAAGTACACTAACCTTGTAAAAGCTCTCTACTCAGATACCGCGGGTCGAGTTATAGTCTATGGTGAACTATCATCGGAATTTTCTATTTAAGTGGTATCCATCAGGGCTGTCCAATCTCTCCATTCTTGTTTAACTTTGTCATAGATATCGTTTTAGAGTTAACATCATCCTCGTCAGATTTTTCAGGGGTAGGCCTTCAACCAGGAGGATCGCTTATTGACCTAGAATATGCCGATGACATAGTTCTACTTAGTGAAGTCGCTGAAAAAATGCAGTCTTTTGATGACCCTAGGCAACAATGAATGTTCGGGATGGTGAGTGAAGTAAACGGGAGTCTGACCGTTTCACTTAGTTCAGGAGTCTCATCAGTGCCGATGACCCAGTGACTGATGAAATCTAAGCACGGATAATGAAGGCTCGATTGGCTTTCGCCAACTTACGTCATTTATGGCATAGCCGAGGTATTCGTTTTTGTTAACCAAAGGAAGAGTTTAATGAGCAGAACTTTGCTTCGTCCTAATTTATGGTTCGAAGCATTCCTTGTGTGTACGAGACAACCGAGTAACACTACTGTTGTTAGGAAACGGGTACTAGGTAAGTATAGCAAATCAATTGAAGTATTCAAACTTCATTAGTTGATGTGGTTGGGACATGTGTTACGTATGCCTCACCACCAACTGCCTCGTCGAACTGTTTTGCGATGTAGGTATAGATTGGAAGAAAGCTAGGGACGGCCAAGCCGAAACATGGCACAAATCCATGAAGACAATGACACCTGCATTGAATCATGTTGGTGGGTGTCGACTACCTGGTTAGGGTCCGCCTGATGATAGTAATCGATGGTTAGAGACGCTGAATGACATTGCTCAAAACCGCTTGCAATGGCGCAGGTGCATTTATTATTTGTGTTCTCTCAAATCGTGGCCTTCTGAATTCCTCGTCACTTTTATTTCACAAGATTTTACTCCTTGAATAATATCCCTTAACCCTAATCCATCCGATTATTGCTAATACTTTTACTACCTTTACAACTATGGGATTTGAACTGATGTACGTACGTACGAAGTTCAATGCTGTTGTTGATTGACTGACAGAACCTCTTTCATCCATTGTGAGATGGCAAAATCAATTCAGATGCTGATTGTCCGAGAGTAAAACCTTACTGCTGTCACACCTCCCTCCAGCCAGCAGTACAACTTCACTCTTCGGACCTTCACTTGGTGCTTTTAGTCTCACCGTTCTCCAGTCGACCTGCCAGACATGGTATAACCTGCAGGAACGTGTGTTCCAGCCAATATAGCTTGGTTGGGTCACCACGACAGTCAAGCCCGACCACCACGTGAAGGGTGCAGCCACGATCGTGGAAGCCTATGCGTGTCCTATCATGTTTTACGGCTATTGAGAAATATAGAGTGAACTGTTTGGAATCATAGTGTTTCTCTCGTTGTCGAACGGATGCTTCCCTCCTCTAACCCGAACGTGAAGGCTGTAAAAGGTACACTGAGCTCAAGGGTGCAGTTCTTAAAAGTCTTAATTCTTGATTATTTTAACAGCTCTTCATGTAGGCTTCGTATAAAAGAGTGCATAAGAAACTTGGGAATATTACCAAACTTGCCATTTGCAAGAAAAAACTGATAAAATGTTTGTCATTTGATTACAGAGGCATTGTGTGTTGTCATAACGAATAAATAAAAAGACACGTATAGGCAAATCATATATATGTAGAAAGGATTATTAAATGTTTGAGTTTATTATTCATACACAGATGAAGAAGAGCAGAAATTCTATCTAGAACTAAACATAAACTTTTATGTGAGCTTATGGAACATAGAAGTGAGTTGACGGTACATTTAACAACAAATATTTCAATCACCGATTAGCTATTCCATAATCATCTCAAGATGAAGAGTAAACTCTTATAATAGAATATGTATTGTATGATGATCACTTTTCGGAGCATATAAATTTCTTTCAGTGAACACAATGTGATCAATAGCTTTTAACGATAAAAAATCTCTATGTTGAATTTCACCATTAGTTTTATTTGGATATTAATAGAGAGTGGGGCATTTTAGCGTGTCAGCCGCTTCACTTATCTCGGGAGTCTAATCAGTGCCGATGACTCAATGAATGACGAGATCTCAGCACGGATGATGAAGGCTCAACTAGCATTTGCCAACTTGCATCATTTATGGCGTAGGTGAGATATTCGTCTGCTAACCAAGGGACGAGTGTACTTTGCAGCAGTTCGATCCGTCCTACTTTGTGGCTGAGAAACATGCGTAGGTTTTTCGATCATACGTACCTCCGAAGCATTGCTCGAATATACTGGGACAACCGGATAAGCAGTGCAGTTGTTAGGAAACGGGTACTATGTAAGGATGGCAGATCAATAGATGAAGTATTGAAACTTAATCAGTTGAGGTAGTTGGGATATGTATTACGAATGCCTAACCACCAACTGCCTCGTCGAACTGTTTTGCGATGTAGGTATAGGTTGGAAGAAAGGTGGCCAGGCCAAAACATGGCACAAATCCATGAAGTCACTGACATCTGCACCGAGTCCTGTTGGTGGGTGTCGACTACCTGGTTAGGGTCCGCCTGATGATAGTAATCGATGGTTAGAGACCTTGAATTACATGGCTCAAAACCGTTTGCAATGGCGCATTTGCATCTTCTGAATTCCTCATGACCGTTTTTTTCTTTTTTTAACAGATTCATCTAGGTTTATATCTCGAATGATATATTTGACCACTAATCTTTTTGATAATACTTGTACAACCTCTACGACTATAGGATTTGTATTGACAATTGCGTCTATGTGCTAACGTGGTATGGCAATTTGAAATGATGTACGTACGTAAGATGTTCTATGTTATTGTAACGAACTGACCGACTTCATTTGGACTCGTTTTATGGATGATTAGTAAATACTAATCAACCAGAAACTGAAGTTTTTCTACGAAAGTATAAAAATAATTCTTGCAAATTAATAATGAAAATAATAATGATACTATGGATAATAATTCTGAATACGTTTGTTGTGTGATTTTCAACAATAAACTGAATTAGAGCATTGAAGATACACTATTGTAATAAAAATCAGTAGTATATTTACCATTATTAAATTGTTTAGAACTTGAGAATCATCATATCGTTCCTTAAATGGTTCAATTGCCATTGTTTCACATAAAGAGTGATTATTATTATTATCATTAATACTGGAAGTAAATGATTTATTATTGAATACTGTAAATGAACTTTCAAACATTGAAAATGTAAGTGTATCGTTTAATTCGCAAGTTTTATTATTAATTGATAGAGACGATGGTGTCGATATTGTTGTGGTTAAAAATGGTATGCTTGCAGATTCACATGAAACAGGTGTACGTAATAGTTCTGAATTTACATTGGATACGGATGACGATGATGAAGCTGGTTTACCAGTCAATACAACTTGATTATCATCTATAATAGCAGCCAGTTGACTAGTTAATATAAACGATTGACTAGTTTGTGTAAAATTTTCGAAATCCATCAGGGTTTTAGCATAGGTAATTGTTGAATTATCAGATTTTAGGACCGGAATTTGTGCATTGGATGTAGTATTGATATTATTATTCACATTGTCAATCTTATTGTCGTCACGTGAATTATATTGCTTGTCTATCGAACAAATATCATGATCACCATTACAAATATCCCTGTGGTCATCGTTGTTAATAGGAGAAGCTGTTATTGCTGTTGTATGCAATATTGCATTACTATCTAATGACAATTTTAATCGTTTTACCTCAACGTCTTCTGCTTCGTCTTCTTGTACAGTATGATGATGATACTTTTTATCTTCGTCCATATCATACTTACAGTTTTTGGTCACATTTAAGTCATGCAATGAATTATAACTGGAATTAACAATCATCAATTGTTTATTTTTATTGTCAACTATATCATTTTTATGAATAATATCGCCAACATTATCATCATTTTCATTTTCTAAATTGACTAAATTATTTTGTGACTGATGAAACGATGAGGAATCGACATCTTCATGAATACGTTTTCCAGGTTTTATGGATTTATCTACTTCATGGTTCTTTGATAAAATAATTAAATCTTTGCCATAAACCGAAGTTAAATCTATTTCCAATAATAATTTAGCTTGTTCAACTATTAATGGGCCAGCTTCGTGTTCATTAATTACACGACCATCATCAAGTAGAATTGTGCAACAACTAGATGCTTTTACTTCATGATTATTTTTGCTGAAATAGCGAAAAGAGAAAAAACTGTAGTTATTCGAAAAAAAATCATTTACTATAGTATAAATTTTAAGATTGAACACAAAGTGGACAAACCATTGTGAAAAAATGAATATTTTCCTAAGCTCTAGGTTTTATATGTTACTTAGAATCAAACCATTGGATAGAGATTATAAACATTAATAAACAATAACTTATAAAATATTAGCCGACGAAGTTCGTAGTACATAAGGTGGGTATCATAGACACGTTTTAAATTACGATATTTTCCAGCAAGCTTCTTCGTTGTATCATATAGTTATCGCAAGTTTCAGTCACTCACAGCTTTTTCTGCTATCACGGCTAGATCTTCCACATATTTACGTTTATCACCTTTAATTATCCTCTTCACTTTCTTGTTTGCAGATCACGTAAGGCTTGGGACTTATTGCTGAGAGCTATTTTGAATTCACAGAGTTTGCCACTATCCTGAAAAAGGACCGTATTATACTTTTGTGACACTGTTCGCCCATTTATCCAGTGCTTCTTCTGCTTTAGTTTCATCCCGTCCACCATCAAATGATGATTGGAAGCTATGCCAGCTTCTGACTTTTGTTTTACTTCCCCTATGGTCGCTCTGAACGTTTTGTTGATGCAGATGCGATGGATTTAGTTCTGTGGTGTGATCCGGTGAAACCCAAGCAGCTTTGTGCATGTGTTTATGTGAGAATATGGTGCTGCCTATCACCATTTTTGAATGCACACACACTTGCGTCCCGTGATGTCTTCATATCCGATATTGTTCATTCTCACCATGGAAGTTTTATGTCTTCTGTCAAAATGGTCAAATCCCTTGCTGGGAACTTCTAGACTGCTGACTCCCATAGCATTGGTCTATATTGTCTTCATTGTTATTGTTGGTGGGTACAAAGCAATGAATCACACTAATCGTAATCCCCTCTTTCCTTGTCTTGAAGGATGCTTTGATGATCCTAGGTCTTTGAGATTGCCCAGAATCAGCGCAGAACCTTCTGTGCGTAAGGCATTTTCTTCTTCGTGGCCCAAGTTTAACAACATCATGCTTGAAGTTAGTATTTTTTGTTCAATCTGTGTTCAGTGGGTTTCACTCATTCTAGACACCATTGGGTTGTATTTATTAATTTTGCAGCAATTTGAACGATTCTTCTAATCTCCCAGATTTTGCAAACACACTCGACGTACATATATTAAATGTTTCTCATGTTGGGATAAATGGCATCGGTTTTCATGAGGTGTCATAACTCTTCTTGACGAAGACCTTGAGAATCCTAGGGCGGAGTTTAAATGGTTTGAATTATTTGTTTTGGTTAGCGTTTTTCAAGCGAGTTGGTTTTTTACGGCATGGGATCGCTAACCTCATACCTAATCCTCCTCTTTTATTCGACCTTGCGACCGGCAGTAACCCGAGAAAGACTCCAAGCGGAGTGGTTGACGCATATATTCAAAAGCTACCATATAAATATAAAGCCATACCGTTCGAAAGGAATTGCACGCTGTAAAATTTTTGAAATCTCTTGAGGCCGCGCAGTAGCCAATGAACAAACAGAACTGTAACCCGCTGCATATAGAGCACGGGCCCGTTCAGCGTTAACCAAAGGTAATAGACGAATTAAATCGACAAGTTCATCCGAAACACCGTAACATAGACGTGATTGGAAATTAGCGATTACCCGTTCCATATGATTCCAGCCAAGACGATTACAAAAGATAGTAACCATACCTAAAAAGAAATTATTGAAGGGAAAAAGGTTATTTTATGTATTAAAAGTTTTTCTTTTGAACATACAAAAATCTACTAGTGTACAGTATAAAAGCATCCAAGTGGTTTCATTGACATGAACTGATATAAAAAGTGTGCTTAGAAAAAATAATGAGGCCACCAACCTGATTGATATAAAGCCACGATTATTTGTATTCAGACTTAAAGAAAAGTATTAAAACTGAATTCAAAAACAGTTACAAAAATGGGGGTTATAATGTAATCTCTTCTAGTCTTAATTATTGAAGGATAGTTGGAAAACTAGAGGACGTAAATTCAAGTTCAACCGACAGCAAAAAAATTTATGGAGTCTCATTGACATAAATCAATATATTTGGTTGGTTTCAAAAGTCATATTAACTGCAAACGAACGGAGATAGGAATACAGGTAACTACCCAAAGATTAGACCTACCGGCATAAGTAGCAGCTTGTTGTTGCAAACTCTGTAAAAGACCACGATTAACACCGAATTTCTTTGCAACAGTTTGTAACCCGTCTTCATTGACTAAGCGATACAGTACTAGTGAGGTAAAGAAGCGTCGATGTAAACTTAGACGACGATTACCAATATTAGTATTACCGTAACAACCATAAGCAGATGGAGGTGCCCCAGCAGCACACCTAGTAATAAAACGCTCTTCAATACCAATCAGATCAGCAACTCGACGCTCCGCAGAAGATAAACTTTGATACTGTTCCAAATAGCATAACCAATCTAAATCAGCACCGACGTCTAAGTAAACAGGAGTTAACTAAAACAAAATTTCATTGAAATACTTTGTGATACAATTGAAATTAATTGACGGGGAGTAATACAAACGGTTACGAAGGATGAACATGTACAAAACGAAATTATAATTGTGCAATGGTCGGTTGTAAATAATAACTACATTTAGCGCATAGGATGAGGAGTGAAAATGGTGCATTTGAGTATCGTATGTAGTTACAGCATGAAAAGTGAATGACCGAATCAATTGCGCCATTAAACAGGAAGGTTACGGATAAGAATGTGTAGAGGAGTGTTGAGAACTGAAGACAGGGCTGTAATCAATGTACGTACCAATAAGTAAGTACAATTATCCACGAGCACAAATTTTATGGGAATTATATGAAGTGATGTAAAAGAATGGACATAAGATGTAAAAACACCTTAAGTATGTAGACTGTTGCATCCAATCTTTAATTTTTATCCGGTAAGAAAAACAAACTAGCAACTTAGTAGTTTGGTATTATGTGATAGTTATTTGATCATACAAATCTTGATGGAATCGAACAAATTTTTGATCCTAGGAACATAGAACTGAGAATCTACAACGTCACTTGAGAAGAGTGACAACTAGCTGAGACTTTTAGTCATTTGAATTAATAACTCGTAAAAAAAACAACGAGCCTGCTTTTCATTTTCGTTTGTTAACGAAAACCAGTTTGCTTTAAAAGCCGATGCATTTACTAAATATCACTATACAATAAGAACAGGAGATATTTTAGAAGTGAGAACAGACATATATTAAACTGTCAAACTCTTACTAAATAAACAAGATGTAATTCAGTATCAAGTGCAATTGATCGACGTGCACGATCCAATTCTTCATAAACAACTAATCCATGCACTGGACCTAAAGAAGAAGACAGTACTGCTCTCCCAAGAGCCGTTGGTTGAAGACGAGCATTATCCGACGAAACCTCGAATGACTGAGAATCAATAGACATGTTTATAACACCGTCAGACCCATTTGGACAAGCAGATTGATCAATATAGATGAATTCATGCTTTTGTAAATCTTTTATACATGTGAACAATAAACGTTTCATCTGAATCGTAAATCGATCGTCACTGTCATTACCACTGACATTACTTATTCCTTGTTCTAAGTCAATTTTAGGTTGGGACAAACGAAGAGAACGTCGTCGATTTTCTCTTTTGGAAGTTGATTGAGAAATATTGAATTCATTTAATTTCTCACATGTGATAGTTGTTGCCAATAATGTACTAGACAAGTAAATTAATGCGTCAGCTAATGTTTCTACAAATCCATTTACGATAACCTAAAAAAATTGTACAAAAATAATAATAATAATAATAATAATAATAATAATAATAATAATAATAATAGCTAAAATACAGTATAATGACCAGTTCAAGCGATTCTTTCAGTAATTGTAGTTTTTAAGCAACTTTTCAGTCACTAAGAAAAGAGTTTGTATTAATCAACAGTATTTCCTAGCAGAAATAATAAAGCCTGCTAAAGTAGTATTTATAAAAAGTCTGTTGGCTTTTTAAGGCTAATTATCGAATTTTTGATACAAATATCTAAAAAACGACTACATAATATGATGATTTCAGAAATAAAGAGTACGACTAATTTAAATAGGAAAAGACAAGATCAAAACAATTTATACTGGTGAAGAGCAAGTTACTTTGCACTGATGAGTTGAGATATATTTCCAACTTTTGTTATTTCACGATAGGGCAACATCATTATTATTCAGTGTTATCCATAGGATCCATATTAAAGTATTTCACAAATTGCCTTACTACTAAATGCATTTTAGTTTTGAACTAACAGATTCATGCTAATTCAACATATACGGTGTTTAAGAAGTGAAAATAACTCAGTAGCTACCACACGCAAAACTTGAAATCAGCAGCTGGAAGTCGCATTAGGCATTAATTAAATGACATCAAATCGAATGGTTACACTAGTGAATAAAATACACCCTTGTAAACTATTTGGTTATGCATACTTATTCACCTGGTTTTTCAAAAAATCATTCAGCCGTTGAAAGATTTTGCTTTTTGTATATTTTTTATAAATCATTTAGCACAAATTTGGATCCAACTTTCACCTACTCATCATCATCACTTCACTGTAGTTTCATATTTTACCGAAGTAACAGCATTGACAAATTGTAGTAATTTATTCATCTATCTATGTGTATTTGATTGGCTTATGCTTAAGGTCATTGTACAAATAATTACGAAAAGTAGATACATAGCTTTTTTATTATTCTCATATTTGATTGATCTATGAGTCTAAGATTTAACTCTCTAGCTCCAAGTAAATGACATTGAATGCAAACACAAAAGGAAAAGTTATCATTCACTTACACGTCCATGGTAGCGAATATTTATGAAAAATATTTCGATGGATTATAGGGTAGTATAAATATATACTTTGTAGTATTCATTAGTCTTGAAAAATATGCGTGAAAATATTAAACTGAAATTTGTGTAACTAACCAGTTTCATAATTTTCATGTGAAAACTGCTAATAACACATGAAATCATCCGGTACTTTATGTGGATAGATATGTCTGCTTTTATTATTTTTCCCTGATCGAATGCAAGTAAGACCATAAATTTATTGATTACAGAAATAATATGAATAAATATATAGGTACAAACCTCTAGCAAAGCACGTTTTAAACTAGATTCAAGGCTGCCTCCATGACCCATCAAACATGAATTCACTGGTGGCATGCCGTTCATTATCAGTTGACGAACACGTCCAAGATCTTTTGGTTTACATAATAAAATACTTTGACCTACATTAAACATGTAAATAAAATGAAATAAATATAAAATAAGAGCAGATGGAATCATTTGGAAGTCACAGCCATCAAGACAGCTTTAAGAGAGGTGGTTTACTGGTTAAAGCTTTGACATTTAATAAATTACGTCAAAACTCTACTCCAACTATTTCGGCTTTTTAGTATAGGCTTTTGAGAATATATTTGGAAATCGTAGTTTTACAACACGAACTCATTTTGAGCCAAACAAATAATAGCAAACAAAAGGAACCAGTCAGCTGTTTTTATTTAGAAGTATTTAGAAGTCTTCATTCATGGACTCAAATCGATACGTCCGAGCACCAGTATGAATGTGCATAAACACATATTTAATAATAAATGTTATACTGTTTTATACTGTAAACTGTTTAGTTATAAGTTGTAGTTGCGAGAGAAAATAAAATAATACTATTTGGTAGCGTAGATGGGACTAGCAAGACGAATCAGATTCTATTCAACTCAGAAACACACAAATCAACTGATAAGTACAAAATATTAAAGCTCCATCTACGAATTGATAGTCATAAATGACACAATCTATATATTCGATTGAAAAAATAATTGAAGTATTAAAGATCATAAAGGTGATCAACCTTATCTGGAGTCCGAAATCAAAGGAGTTGGTGCATCAGAGTCGTGAATTAAGATTCAATATTATCTATTAACCAGTATTCTACTCATTTACTTCACTAATATAGAACTCGTTTGCTTACCAAATTCGAATTCACAAAAACTAACAGCCACTGTAGATGGTACTAATTGTGAAACAAAAGTTTAAGAGATTAGTAAACCACGATTATAATGCACGATTTGAGTATTGGTATATTATTAAGGTTATACAAAAATACATACCACTAGTATCTACACCTTGACGACCTGCTCGACCAGACATTTGTTTGTAAGTAAGGAAATCTAAAATCTTTCCATGAAATAGCGGTGTTCGGATGATAACACGACGAGCGGGCAAATTTACACCAGAGCTTAATGTCGATGTGGCAACTAAAATACGAATAAGACCTTTTCGAAATCCAAATTCAATAATCTCACGTTCTTCAACTGTAAGACCTATAAACACAAAAAATACTCAATAAAAAAACTACTAAAACGAAACAATCAATATTAAAAGTTAACTGGAAAAAAATTCAGATAGGTTATATACATAAATCTGTTCAATTTGTTTTCACCAAAAACAGATATTCATCAAGCCGTCAAAATCTAGCACTGTGCCTAGGGCTCCTTCTGAGGTTACTACCGGTCTGAAGCTCGGATAAAAAAGAACGGTTGGGAATGAGATTAGCGATCCTATTCCGTAGAAAACTAAGTCGCTAAAAAAATGCTAATCAGAAAAATAAATTCAATCAGTTTAAACTCTGCCCTGGGATTCGCAGAGTCTTCGTCAAGAAGAGTGATGACTCCTCACGATGTAAGCACAGTTTCTTCAGAATTCATAAAGCCGATGCCCATTCTCACAGCTAGAGCAAAAAGCATTAGACGCAGACTGGATGAAGCAAACAAGCAAGTGAAGAAGTGAATCACAACTGACAACATAAATATGTGGAAGATCTAGCAGCTTTAGCAGAATAAGCTGCAATAGAAGGAAACATGAGACAACTATGTGGTATAAAGAAGAAGCTTGCTGGGAAGAATCTCTTACTAGAACAACCCGTTAAAAGCAAGTAAATCAGAGTAATCACCGACAATGAAGAACAGCGAAAAAGGTGGATGGAGCATTCTGAACAACTCTTGAATAAAACAGTCTCACTAAACCTACCCAACATTCGTCCAGCACCCACGAACCTCCCAAGTGACGTTGACCCACCAACAATTGAAGAGACCAGTTTGGCTTTAAGACAAATGAAGAGCGGCAAAGCAACAGGTCCAGACATCTTTCAGGCTGAGGTGCTGGAAGCACATATAACAGTAAATGCAAAGATACTCCACGTTTTCTTTAGCAAGATTTGGGAGGGGGAACAAGTATCAATAAACTTGAAAGAAGGACAATTCATCAATATACCAAAGATAGGAGATCTCAGACAGTGTGACAACTACGAAAAAATCAACACAATGTTGTTAAACCGAATGAAAGACCCACTGGACGCCGAACTTTGAGTTCAATAGGCTGGATTTCTTTAGGTCAACCGCCTACCGACCGAATTCCGACAATAAAGATCAGTTTGGAAGGATCGATTGAGTGGTATTTACTTCTCTACATCAACTTCGTTAACTAACAGAAAGCATTTGACAGAGTGGACAGCTTAAAATATGGAGGCTTCTTCTACACTATGGTGCACCTGAAGAGATATTCAACATCATACGGAATTCTTATGATGAATATAACTGCAAAATCGTGCATGGAGGGCACATGATAGACCCATTCCAAGTAAAGGCCAGTTTCAGACAAGGTTGATTACTCTTATTCTTTCTCTTTCTCCTGGTGGTTTGCTGCATTGTGAAGATGCCAACACAGCACGAGAAGCACGGAATACAGCGGACAGCTGGAGTTTAGGCAAGTGTAGCAACAATCTCAGCAAAAGCACGTCTTAATATACATAAAAGGAAAAGCAAGGTTCTCTGATACAACACAACATGCGCCAACCAAATCACTCTTGATGGAGATGTCTCGGACGACGTTAAAACCTTTACATATTCAGGCAGCATCATTGACGAGCTAGGTGGATCCAATGCAGTTATGAGGTCACGGATCGGCAGAGCAAGAGATGCATTTCTACAAATAAACAACATCTGGAACTCAAAACACCTATCAACAAACACCAAATTCAGAATTTTCAATGCAAATGTCAAGACAATTCTACAGTATGCAGCGGAAAATTGGAGAACTACCTAAGCCATCATCCAGAACATTCAAGTATTCATTAAAAGTTGTCTAGTCAAAATACTTTGGATTCGTTGGCCAGAAACCATCAACAACAACACAACTGTGCGAGAGAACAAACCAGATTCCAGTGGAGGAGGAAATCAGAAAGAAACGGAAGTGGATAAGAAATACACTACGAAAAGCACCTAACTGCGTCACAAGACAAACCCTCAAGGTCAAAGGAAAAGAGGAAGGCCAAGAAACACATTACGACGGGAAATAGAGAAGGATATGAGAAGAATGGACAAAAATTGGACAGAAGTGGAGATGGAAGCCCAGAACAGAGTAGGTTGGAGAACATTGCTCGGTGGCCTTTGCTACATTGGGGGGTTACAGGCGTAAGTAAGCAGGTAAGTTGAATCCAATTATTACTTCATTCATATATAGTACTTCAAGCAAAAAATAGATGCGATCGTTTTACTGCGTGTTAAAACATCTATGTGAGCCTTGGGAATGACTAACTGTATATCGTTAAAAAATTTATAAAACCACAAATATAAATGTTATAATGAGTGATACCACAGAGTATTTACACATCCTGTTGTCAATTAATTAGCCATTTTTTATTACGACAGAGAGAAAATTAAGAAACTTCTTACCAAAAACGTAATTTCCATGTTTTCGCTATAAAACTTACAGCGCTTGAAAAAGTAATGAATAGGTATTGAACATTCATTAAAAATGTTAATCATTTCACATTAAAAGTGTATTATCAATATTTACTAACCTGCATGATGAAAAGCCACACCATAGCCCAAACATCTGGCTAGAACTGTATCAAGACCAGCCGGGCATCGTTTTAATTGATCTACACAAGTGGCAAGACCAACTCGATCCAGCTGTAATGCCAAACGCGTTCCAATGTTTGACTTTAATAAATGATCATTTGAATTTTTTTCATTTAAATCTCCGATAGTTGCCTCAGATGAATTATGGTTGTTTTGATGTAACGCTAAGAAGTAGGGCTGTGTGAGGATGAAAATCTACAGCATAAGATGCACGAAAAAAGCAGTTACCATAATTAGGGAGCAGTATCGATTAAACTGATGGCATCAAAAATTACATACTTTCTATTCATACTACAAATTAATAAGAAAACTTTCAAACTTCACCACATCTAGGAAATATCACGGCTTAAAATCAATCATGGCGTAATTACTGCTTATTTTTTATCTTCCTGTAAACTCTGAATATTGTATTAAAACATACTTTTCATTTCCCGATATATTATTATGATACATTTGGTAGTGAGAAGGCAAAACTTTAATATTTGCATTTGCAATTTTTTGCATTTATTTTCTCTCGTTATTTTAAAAGATTTAGGAACTAGGATAGCTACATATTAGTCACAGATTCTACAAAATAACTATAGATCATTGGCTGATGCTTAGTAGATTTATTTTGATAGCTATCAGTTAGAAAACAAGAGGAATAAACATTTAACTAAATGTCACAGTGACAATTGAAGTTGACTGACTTGACGTGCCATTGTATCAGCTAACTGTTCACACCATTGTTTGGTTGGACAAAACACTAACACGCCATGTCCATTTAAAAACGTGTCAAGGCATAAAGCTAACACACCATCTTCATCGACCGAGTTTAATTCCATATCGGACGTTAACTGTGGATCCAAAGGTAAGTTATCAGCAGGCTTCAAACATCTAAATTTTTACAGATAAATGTTAGGAAAAGGTCTAAGCAAAGAAATTAAAACGGATGAAAATGAGTAATAAGAGTAAGGCAATCAGAAAAAGGACTCCATTTAGTCAGTAAAATGAACGTATGATTTATGATATTAAGATTGTAACTTAGAGTTAGGATAAGAATGGGGAATTCAAAGTTTATGATTTATCACAGTTAGGGTTTAGGAGTTAATTTGGTACACTTAAGATTGCGATTAGGTTTTAAAATTATTCTATGTGTACTTTAAATCTTAGTCTACATGCTAATTCGAAATCTTACCCCAAAATCTTAATTCTAAATATAACCCAAATCTCTAAATCTTAATCATAAACACTGAAACCTATTTTCAACTTTTATCTTAGGTAGTTAGCGAACTAATCACCTCAACAGATAACATTCTATTTTTATACATACACTGTACCTTGAAGAGACTTACTTATTTGTGATTAGCTCGCCCTCATATGTTAGCATAACCGAATTTTTAGCTCATATGTTTAAATCTTGAAACATGAGCGAACAATCGATTTTAGGCACACTTTATTATAGATTATGACCTGGTGAAAGATGTCAAGTTAAAATGAATGGAAATAATGCTTTAAAGCAATTCAGTAACCTATAAGAGAAACATGGGTTGGGTTTTGAACACCATTTACCGCCTAATTAATAACAATATTGTACTGACGTCACTTGGACCACAGATTACTGATGTACCCTATGAGGTGAGAACGACATTTTAATACACAAGCGTTATACACTAAACAAATAAATAATGATAGTCCCATATATTTTGGAATAACCATTCTTTGATTTAAAACACAAAGATCGGAACAAGATAGCACCAGAATATATCTGAACTACAAAGTGAAGTTGCGGAGACAGAGAAAGGAAGATGAGTACAGCAAAAAATGAATAGAAATTAGTGTATAAGAATGGACAACTACTAGTAGTCACTCATACAGATTAATATTAAAAGCATTAAAGTTACGCGTTAGGAGAAATATCAATCACGCGCTATATTCACTTACTCCGAAAACTTTTTTTGAGTAGAACTGTCATCCGTGCTATCAGACTTGACTACTTTATAATACTGGTTTGTTTTCGAACGCAGTTCACAGGACAATATGAATTCACTAAGTGGTACAGGACGAAAATTTGTAATATAAACTTCCGCATTTAACCAGTGTCCAAGTGATTCCAGATTTGGCAATGTAGCACTCATACCAATAATTTGGATACCATAAGTTTTAGAATCACATTTGTTTAATGAATCATTTAACAAATTTTGGGAGCTTTCCAGAATTCCAATTTCATTTTTAGGTTTTGAATTTAATACACGACGTGAATAAAAAAGTAATTTTGTTAACAACAACTCTAATAAGTAGCCACGATGAGTATCACCAATAAGATGAAGTTCATCGACGACAACAATACCTACAAATCAAATTAGTAAAAATAAACGTTCTGGTGAGACATTACTTAATAGTTACAACTATAGGTAGATGTTTGCCGTAAGTATAAAGTGAAAAGCTAAAAAATAAAATACGATACAAGCTGAATAAACGAACTTTTCTTAATGACATGAAATGAATTATGAATTCGTGTTAGAATACAACTCCTATTAATAAGGATCATTGATGGAATTATCTTGTACTATTATCCAAATAAGCTTTCACGTAAACATTTCCTTCTGAATACAGGAAACAACATGATCAATAACAATATATTCTAAAAGATATAGATTATTCAGTTTAACCAGAAGTACAGTGAGGATGAATGATAATGCAACTTTTGTGTGCATCAAAAACCGATAGCTTGTTTGAAAGCATAAAAAGTACGATATAGAATCCGAATAAAGTTTTATGTACTGCTCCTCTGTTTAAGTTTCAATAACTAATAGAAAACGTTGACTAGTTACTCATACCCTTATGTTCAGATAAAACCATTAGGAAATTTTGACTTAATTATATAGGGTACCTGTTTCATCTAGAAAGAAGAACGAACAAATTGTTCATAAATTTCATACATTTGCGAATGAGCGAAAGTAGATATTGACTCGTCAGCTACAAAAGTGACTATGCCCAAGAGTTATGGGCCAAAATTGATCATAGCATTACGAGAAAGCGGACTATGAGCTATTATTATTCGTAAGTTGATTTAATCATAACTTTAATACATAATTAATTAAAAATAAACAAAAGAATACGTAGAAAAATTTATTCTAATATAAATCTACTGTCCTAGTAAACTTGTTCCGATTTACAGTGAGCCAAAAATAAGAAACTTTTCACAAAAAACAGTATATACAACATCTGCATACCTAATTCATTCAGACGTTCTTCTTCAATTAATCTGTTAACTAAACTATTAGCTTTCTCAATTGTACAGACAGCAACATTGATAGCAGATAACCCCCCAGGTGGGCTATGACCAGCCATATAACCTCCAACTCGAATGCCTAAACTGTTAAAAAGTTTCTAAAAAATATTTACAAAAAGTAAGCGAAAATACTATTTTGATTAATAGAATAAATAAATGTAGATGAAGAATTCCGAAGATATTGAAATAATACATATGACTTAACTAGAGATAACCTGTTGTGTTTAACTAATCTGTATAAAGACTGGATTTCAAGACATTCATCTTTATATACACTAAAGTATGAGCACTCACGAAAGCTCATAAACTTATAAAAATCCAGTAGTTAAACTCAAAAATTCAATGGGCCGAAATCATTTACCATGAATCGAGAGCATGGAAATCATAGTAAAAATGAAAGAAATCACAAACTAACCTGTAGATACATCATTTTCTCTCTTGAAACAGAAACATACGGTAGAATGATGAACGCTTTAAGTGTAGATTCTAAAATGCGCTTTAATACAATAATTTCGGCAACCAAAGTTTTTCCAGCACTTGTAGGAGCTGAATAGACTAAATTCCTACAACCATCTGAAATAATGCTTACAAAATCATATGGCTTACCAAGCACACCAGGCAAGCTAAGGCATTCCGCTTGCCAGGAAAATATACTCGATATATTCATCTCTTTGTACTGACGATACAATTCTTCAGGTACGTAAAATGCATCTTCAATCCTAATAGGGCTGCCGACTTTGATCTCCATTTTTTGGAGGCTACTCTCAGCTAGTGTGTATTAAAGCTGAGTTCCAATGGAGACATCTAAATAACCATAGATTTAAACAGTGGTAATTTACATGAATGAAGTGATAGTTTGAAATCATAATATATGTACGATAGCGTATAAATATTGTGAATTTCGGCTAAATCAAATATAAGGCGAATCTCGTTATTGTTTGCAACAACCATATAATGGCAACATATGTACACCATTAAGTCTATTTTTACTAGATTTAAATGCTGGTAAAGTCATATTCTTGAAAATGAGAAATAATTCAAAACCGCAGAATCCATAAAGTCACGATTCTCAATCACGAGGTAGCTGTGAAAATTGTCAGTCAGTCAGTTACAACATCGAACTTCGCATGTACACGTACATCAACTTCAAGTTGCCATACCACATTAGCACAAAGACTCAATTGTCAATTCAAATCCCATAGTAGTACAGGTAGTTCAAATATTAGCAGTAACCGGATAGATTAGGGTTTGAATATATTATTCAAGATGTATAATCTAGTGGAATAAATTTGAGAAGAGAAAGATAAATGTGATGAACCATTCAGCAGATTAGGATTTGAGAGAACATAAAGAATGGATGCACCTAACCATTGATTATCATCATTTCGCGGACCCCAACCGGTAATCCACACTTAACAACATGGCTCAGTTCACTTGTCAGCGATTTTCTTCCAACCTACGCTTTAAGTGTAGATTCTAAAATGTGCTTTAATACAATAATCTCAGCAACCAAAGTTTTTCCAGCTGAATAGACAAGATTCCTATAACCGTCTGAAATAAAGTTAACGAAATCATTTGGCTTACCAAGCACCATAAAACATAGTTCGGCGAGGCAGTCAGCGGTTGTTCATTCGTAACACATATCCCAACTACCCTAACTGATGAAGTTTCAATACTTCATCTATTGGTCGCCATCCTAACTTAGTACCAGTTTCTTAACAACAGTATTGCTTACTCGATTCTCCGAGGATATACGAGCAATGCTTCGGAGACACTGATGATCGAAAACCAGTAACCTATGAGTATCTTTTACTCTTAAGGGGAAAGTATGCACTAACTAACTATGGCATAAGCAAAAACCCCAACAGTTGTGTATAAGTGCTGTTCAGAGAATTCCGTTTGTACATTAAACAAATATCCTCTATATGTAGATATAATGGTTGTATTGATAGATCCACTGGTTATGCAACCCACTATTTTCTCAGTCGCACCTAGATAATGGGAATTTTAAATGACAACTTACTGTGTCAGACATACTAAACGGACGGGAAAAGATTCAGGAAATATTTTAATAAACTTCATTTACTTTTTCGTCAGTTGGTTACTAAGCTAAGGTGCTATCCTTATAAGTCTAAAACCTTCGGTCAGTTGTCGTAGGCACATCCAAGAATAGCCAATCTGAGATGCTTTTACCCCTCTAGGAATCTATTGCAAGGTTTTTCTACTTATTTTGATATTTTCTTATGACCACTATTGCATTCAGGAGACAATTTTCGGAGTATAAAAATATCCACATTGTTTGATTCAGTTATATTTGATGTACCTTCAAAACTTTAATGGGCTATTGACAAATGTAAACTGTATTATTATTCAGGGTTGTCAGTATCTCCGGTTCTATTTGATGATAACCAGTACAGGTTGTTGTAACTGTATGCGTTTATACTACGATGTAATCAGCACCTGAAGTTTCGGAATAAGAATGTAGATAAGCTGTCTGGAAGTTTAGGTGTTGTGACATCCGGCAAAGGCGTGCAGTATAACACGTTGGAACACATTGTATAAAGATGTAAACTGAGAATATTAAGTGTTGACACACGAATGAGGCTAGGGCGATGAGTGACAAAAATTGTTCACTAACCCTATTTACATATTACGGTATCGAAAAAATAGTATTTTAGAAGCATTTTGTAAGCTTTATTTTTTCTTCTTTTCCCGACACCTTTTCAAAAACAATATATATTTACATCATCACTAGGACGAGTTGTCGCATAGAAACACAACACAATCGTATATGGCTAATGCTTAGAAATACGGTGACCGACATGAAAAATAATATGACGTTACGGTAGAAAATACGTAGGGCCTTATTTTATACGATGCTGTAGCTAAGAACATAATTCAATAAAACTGGCATCTGCTGGTCAACTAAAAATAATGATGGTATTAACAGTGACTAATACCATGAAAAATCCGAAATGAACAGACTAACGTACAAGCTTGCTTATCAACCGTAGCATCAACCCTACCGTTGTCGCAGCGAAGGCGGCAGTCATACTGAACGCCTGAAAGCATGAAAAATAAATTTAGAATCAATCATATTTCTGACGCTAAATCATTTTCCAGTGTCAATAGGGCAACTTTACGGATAATGTTATTACAAACCTGAAAGTAAAAAATATCTGTACTATCAAAAGAATATTGAATTCACCACTGAAACGTGTTTTTTAAACTAGCAAGGTACACAACAGTTGCTGCAGTGTATTTGTGTGCGTGAAGGTTATTCTGCGTTTAAGTAAATCTAAATGCTACTGATACATAAATCACGCAAATATGCTACCTATTACCTTTCCTAAAAGCTATACTTTAACAGATACATTCCATTTTACATGCGTGTATTTACGCTGTAACATAGAAACAGACTAACTTTCGAATGTCCGCCACGAAGCTCATAACCAACAGACGCGGTTTCAACCGTTTTAACATGATTTGGCACAGATAAACAATCGGTTTTGCAGAACTAATATGAAATGAGTTCTACAGTTGCTTGAACAATTCATTGCTCTCTATGTTCCGTATGAATCAAAACCTAGAAATACCTGTTCCCTCTGTAGAGATTTTATTACAAATATGGCGACAGCTGTAACCAGTATCCTCTGAATTAGTGTACAACAAATGATTGCATTGTACTTGATTCTCGGTCCAATTGATCACATACGAGTGCAAGTCACTGAGATCTTCCATGGTTTCAATGGCGGTCAGTCAGTTTGCTTAACGAGTTTAATATCTTATTATTTCTCCAATTTATATTGTGCAGTCATATAACTACTATGTATCCTTTCACATTTTTGCAAAGAAACTCTTATTTCTAATCTGTGTCACACTATTTACTGTTTCCCAATCTTTGCTTGATCATTTTTACCTTCCACTGCCTATTGGGAGCTTTTGTTACAATCTTCATTGCTAGATTACTCAGACCATTTCATTCTTTATAAACTCGTTAGTTCTTACGTGAAAAAAGGTTATTCATTAACCAGTAATTTGCTTTTTAGTAGTCTAATCTTTTCGAGAGAAACTTTTTCACTTTTTAATATAGATACCTCAAATATAACCATAAGGATAAACCTTTCTCAGATGATCATAAATTATTGTTTTGTAAACGAGATAGCCTTCTAGCCCATTAGTTCTGGTCCTGAGATTCTATATTTTGAATTCTGTCACTTCGGTGTTAACACGTCAAAGTACGGGATGGTCAAATGAAATTTTGAAAGGTTCACATTTTCAAATGAACAGCCTTTTTATGTCAATACTTCGTTGCAAGAACAAAAATGAGATACTGTTGCAAAGATTATATTTCAGCAAAGGATGAAGAGATATTGTCTAAGTTATAAACAAAGAGGTTTCAATTAAAGAAATATTTATTACTCTCGCAGTGACCTCTGAAACCGAAAGGTGTAGGTTCACACGCGTCTCGCCCATTCCAAGTCCAAAAATGATAAATCTGGGAAAGAACGGTTCTACTTTTTATCAAAAAGGGAAATACAAACAATTACCAAAACAATATAACACCTTCGAGTTTCTAATCACAACAATAAGTTCAGATACTGGAAGAATAAGTGCTTCCAGTTAGTTGCAACGAGCTGCTGCTAGAGTATCAAATCCAAAAATGACTGTAGCCATATTAAGTATAAATTTTAAACAACACATATAATTCAGAAGGAAACATAGAAACTTCAATATAAGTACAAGGTATAGAAATAATAACAAGATACAAATGATAAAATCCCAAAATGGGATCAAATAGAGTAACGAAATATCGAACAGAAAGAGTCAGTCGGATCATAACACAAATATATATACATGGAGGGATTTTCCTAAAACAAGGACTTCAAAATATATTCTACAGCAATGTCCTCTTTTTCGATCGAATGAGTTACTTCGCAGTTGTAGGTTTCATAAACAAATAATCAAACGTGAGAGTGAAAGTCCTAGTCATTTTAGGATAGTCGAAGTCGAAGAGCTCAACCCGCAAATTTTCGGAAGTTCACGCATTAGATGGAATTGAATTGAGGTATGATGTTGAGGCTACCGTAGTGGTGGATTTCAAAGGAATTACGATAACGCACGGATTCGTCTTGAACCTTCTGTTAAGGTGCACAGTCTACCTTGATATCATAACAATACTGTAAATGTTTTTTTGTTGGTATTGGATTAAAACTAGCATGGTCTAAAGAAGGTTTAATATGTCCTAAATGGACAAAAATCGTATGAGAAGAACCACTAAATCACAGGCGTTTTCATCCACATGTTAATATGTTCCACGCTTCATTCGAGAAATTCCTCAAAGGGATACCATCGGTGACTAACTGTGTGGCACACCACATCTTCACCCGCTGATCACCAGTCACGGCACGAGCTCTTCACTGGCACCGGAAAAATTAGCTTTCGCTAAACGTGGGCTTGACAATCTACTAACTACAGGTATTATTCGTCCTTCCCAATAGTACCTGGGGCTCAAATTTTCACATGGTTTGCAAAAAGGATAGGGTTAGTTAGCGGCTATGTGGCGATTACCGACTATTAAACGTAGATACACGTATTGACAGCCACGTCATCCTCCACAAACAAGACATCACTCAAAATCACGATTATTTCCCTGAGATCGATCAGCAGATACCATTAGCTCCTGAAGATATAGAGAAAACTGCTATCACGACTATCTTCGGTCTGTCTGAGTTCCTACGAATGCCGTTTGGATTACGGAATGCAGCTAAAAATTTCCAAAGGTTTATCGATAGCATATTAGGAGACTTTGCTTTTGTTCACGTCTGTATTGATGATCTGCTCATCGGATCATCAAACGTAGATAAACATTATCAACGTATTACACTCTTATTCCAAAGCCACTCCGATAATCGATTAGTAGTTAACCCAGACAAATGTGAACTTGGCAAGGCAGAAATAAGGTTCTTGGGTCACATCATTAAGCATGAGGGTATTCTACCTTGTCAGGATAAATTACGTACAATCATGGAGTACACTGTACCGAACTCACTCAAGGAACTAAAGGCTTTTCTCGGTTTGCTAAACTTCTACCGAAGTTTCAGTCCTAGCGCAGCAGAACAGTTACGACCATTAACCGGCTTACTTCGCAGTAACCCACGTAAATCAGAGTTGAACGATGCCGCGCGTACTGCTTTCTTAGAGATAAAAGAAAGTATTTGCTGAAGTCACGCTCCTCGCCTATCCTGATCCATCAGCCACGCTTAGTATAGCGGTTGATGCTCAGATTTTTCAATTGGAGCCGTTATGCAACAGAATATGTCTGGAAGTTGGTAACCTCTCGAATTATTCTCACGAAGCCTTACTCTCACTGACTCGAGATATAGCGCTAGCAGCTTACTGTGTTATCAAACATTTCTGGCACGCAGTAGAAGGTCGTAACCTTATCCTTTTCACCGACCATAAGCCTCTAACGTATGCTCCGTACCAAGAGGTACGGAGCGCATACACACTACCACCTAACACCCAGCTTCGAGTGGTTTAGTTGAACGGTTTCATCGCCAACTTAAAAGTGCTCTTCGAGCACACGAAAACAACAATTGGTACGAAATATTACCTCTTAGGTATCAGAACAAGCTTAAAGGCAGATATGTTTCGCCGCTGAATCGGTATACGGCACGACATTGTGTCTACCTGGCGAATTTTTTACACCACAGAGCAGTGATAAATTTAATAAATCAGACAACATCCAACGATTGTCTGAATTTATGCGAGCACTGCCTCCGGTGTCAACTCGAGTACAGTATCAACAGGTCACTCTCCCTCGAGAGTTATCTATCTGTTCGCATGTTTTCACACGATTCGATCCTGTATGCAAAACTTTGCAACAAACTTACCAAGGACGATTTCACATTACTTCTGGTCATGAAAAAACCTTCAAGGTCGCTCGACATGGTCGAGTCGAAATCGTCAGTATTGGTCGTCTCAAGTCAGCACACGTCGATGACACGATCTCGGTATTATCTCGATACCACGAGATCACCAACAAATAGATATTCAATTATTGATCCTACCTTCTTCCTTATTTCAATCCTACGGAAGCATATAATCTGGTAATTGGCCTGTAATAGTGAGCACAGTCAATTTCGACTGGACACGCGACAGTGTGATGAAATCTCTTCATCGAAGGATCAGATTATGATTGGTTATTAACTTGACTCGAAGGAAAATATTGTTATCCTTCTCACAGAGTGTCAGTAGGATGCAATAATTACTTACCACAAAAAGGCCTCACCAACAATGTCATGGACTATCAGTTTAGAGAATAAAAATTGTTAGGGAGGTAGGTTATTTGGAAGCCAACCCTGCGACCAAGGTTGGCTCATCCATCACAGTTTGGGAAATATACTTGAATCCAACCCAATATTGTATCCAATGTTTACAGATCGCCTTTTTAAATATAATCTATGCTATCTGTAACAGAGAGCTTCGAGTTAAGGCATGGCAAATAGATGAGTTAGATCAATATGTATGTATTATAGTTAGTACTCATATCTCAACACTAATATGAGCAGCAAAGAGACGGATTGATGAGGTGATAGGAGCTGACTTCAAATCATTACGCCCTCAGATAAGTACATTCTAATGAGTGACAAATTTACCAGACTTATTGCAACTGAGTGGCTAAACTAACGTTCTATAAAGCCTAGTAAGGCTTTTGAAAACTTCACAAACATGAAGGTGTTAGCGCGAAATAATTAGTACAAAAACAATGAACTACTCACATATGGTTCATATCCAATAAGATAAATACTAAAATATTTAGTTAGTTGCTGTTGATATACAATTAGAAAAGTTTGATTTACCTGACATAACACGCCTCTATGACAAAGCTATCAAAAAAGAAAGACAACGTAAGTTCTTAAGAGCATGAATTGAATTTCCAAACGTGAAGCGAATACGCTGAGAATTAAAACAGAAACATAAAGCAGAAACGACTGTAACATTTAAAATTTGAAACGAACACCACATATATTTAATAGTTTTTGTTGAAAAATACATTTATGGGGTTATCACAGACCAAAAACATAAAACAGGAATCATAGTTAAGTAGAATACAGCAGAATATAACATTTTTGGTGTAAAAACTGTCCAAATAAATAGATGTGATTGTAGAAAGAAACAAAATGTAGCACATAATGTAATAGGTAATACTATAAAGCCTAAAACAAGGCAATTAAACTTTTCACCGAAATGTTTATATCTGGATAGAACGAATCGACAAAAATAGGCTAATTGCCAGATTAATGGTCCAGAGTAAGTGTAAAAGGCTAAAAGTAGACCGGCTATTATTGGTTGATGATATCTAAGACCAACATATGCAGCAGAGAGATCGATAGTCGATAAACTCAAGGAATTCCCCTGTAATAATATTTTAAGAAAAAATGAAAAGTTAATAATTTCTCAGTTACGTCAATTAATTTTTCAGAATTTCTTTTCATTGATTGGACAAGACCTCTATATTGGTTTATGATATAAGTATTAACAGTACATTAGGTAAATTGAAAGAACCTTTGTGATAAACTAAAATCCGAGCACAGTATAAGTGATGGTATAATTTGAGGCTTATTTTCCTTCGCACCAAAAACTGAGAGTGATACGTCAGGATCAGTTTTCAGTGTATTTGTCGTATTTGTTATTGTAATTGTATCCAGCTTTATTAGTTCTGTTTTACTCAAGATATTTTATGATAACTACTTTATATGTAAATTTTGATTTCATAAAGTGGTTAGATCGTGTAAGTCAAAATCCTCAACATTACAGGATTCCTTCTGATACTGCAATCAAACCTTGATTATGTTTTCTGCCGATTGTAACATCTACTTTTCTAACTATCAATAGAATTATGCTATTTGGCATTTTTAATGAAGAAAAGGAAACTCTAGCTAATTCCTTTGAAACAGAAGAAAAGCAATTAATTTTCATATAACGCTAATATTATTACATCATCATTTGATAATTGAATTATTTCATTGAACAATCGAAAACATCAAATTTGTTTCAAAATTTACCTAGTTACTGGTCCGCAATACCGATCGATTTAATAATTTTTTTTAACATCAACAACCGGTTAATTCGAATCTGTTGATTGAAACTCAATTTTCAATTTCAGTATAACTCAACAAACTTTATTATCTATTCACTAACTGAATGGTCACTTGGTGATAGAAAAAAAAGGCATAAAACTTGGAAGGAATACTAATCAATCTAAGTTGCCACATATTAAATCCGTATAATAACAGAAACGTAGCAAGAGGTGAAGTGAAACAATTATAGCATTCATGATAGTCTAAACTAAGCATATTCAGAACCTAAATCAAAAAGAAACAAATACAATGAATGATTTCACTTCAAAGCTTTGATTGTCGTCTGCGATGTTTACTTTATTGAGAGATAAGCTTTCTAGTTATTTTTTATAAGCATCAAATTATTATAATGCATATATAAAACTTACTTGTTGAAAAAAGCTCACCCAACCTTGAGTCCAGTAGATAAGCCATGAACACAGTGGTAGAATATAACGAAATGCGTTATGTGATGAATGCATACCGGAATAATGAAATATTAATTGTATCGTTTGAGATGTTAATGCTTCTTTAATCCATATACCAAGCCATAAAATTGTAATCACAGGTTTACCAAGTAAACACATAAGTATATTTAATGTAGATAATGGGTGAATTAATGAATCCCAAAATGTTTCTGATGCATTCGTTGCTGTTTGACCAAATAAACGATTAGCATTTTTATTTAAACGTATACTTCTTGATTTATATAAAAGAAATGCATCTACTAGGCATAGTAAATAAACAATTCGAGCTGAATGTATTGCATCGTCACTGAAAATAGAATAAACATGTATTTATTAGGGAATAAAAATACTATGCAGCAGTAATATGATCATAATGATCTCAAGTCTAATCTTAAAATATTTATTAAATGAAAATTAACATTTTGGATTCAATACAGTACAGTAGATGTTGAAATAAGTAAAGAAAAGTAATTAAACAAGGTGACCGATTGTTTGTTTTAAGATCTCAAAGTGACAAATATTATTATGGTATAGAATTTATGGAAGAATAAACTCAATGCATCTATCATTAATAACATGTCTAACAAGTCACTGAAAACCCGTTGAAAGTCCGATGTTTATTCACAGCTAAATCCACTACAACACTAAACAATATCTTGTAGAAAGATGAGATCATATGGGATCAGGAAAACGTATTGCTACTAACAGAGCTCCAAATCTTTCAGAACGAATGGATAAACAGAAATAAGCGAAAATGATGCTATTAAAAGAATGCAGATGTCTTGGAGAAAAAAATGTTCTTTTTCTTGATATTATGTTGTTAAGATGTATAATCAGTATTTATAAGTCATTTTGTACATGTAGTAGTCTATCTATGGTAAAATAGTGGAGTTTTATAAAATTATCAAAAATAGTGAAACTTATTCAGGTATCGAATGTAAAAGTCTGTAAAGATTAACATAAAACTTTTAATACTTATGAAAATTTTTCAAATATGAAATAAAATAGGTGTTGGACCATTCAGCAAAGTAATTGAAAATTTCGATAGAACAGTGAGAAGACGTAATTGATCTGAAAAGTGTGATATATTTGGGCTATACGTTTCGAACAATCTGGTCTCTTACAAGTGACATTTTGTGTGAAGATCATTAAAAGACCATACAACAAACATCGATGGCACGGGATTCCAGAGTCCTAGCTAAGGAGGACTGTTGCCCTATTTGACACAACGTTCGAAGATTAAAAACTCCAACATGTAGCTTAGAGCGGGGTTTCATGAGACCAGGAATAACGTTTCGGGGACTCCAATCGTTTGCATTAGCAGATCAGGGTGATAAAGAAATGTGAGAAGGGTTAGTCGAGGAGATAAGAGAGATTTTAGGGGGTGTATGAAGCATTTGATTGTTGCCGAATTGGTCTCGTGTACTGTTACGGGTATGAAAGCGGACGTCAATTACTGGCTGCCCACACCATGGAAGGGTGTTTTTGAAGAACATGAAAAGGTAGGTAGATTAACGGACAACTGCTTGCAGTTCACGCACGGCCTTTTTATCAGAAATTTTTAGTGTTAGCTCCGCTCTTGTTTAAAAGGTCTTAACGCCGGAGACGGAAATCCATCAAGGTGAGGTGTGACATTTTTAGGATCGACCTTTTCTAACCCCTTCCTTCCTTGTAAGAAGGCAGCATCGCTGCAGATGCTGGTTGCCTGAGGAAAACACCTTACTGCTGTCACATCTCTCTACAGTGATCAGTACGACTGTGTGGGAAATCTTACTACTTGAGAAAAATTAATTGTTTGACAAAAAGAACACTACCAAATAGGTACTTTAATGTTCGTATGATTTTAAATTATTTCTTCACATAGAAAATGATATCATTCGGGGAAAAAATGAAAACCAGGTAACACTGAATAATGTATATTCTCTACCTATGCGAAACCCTCGCGAGAGCTATCACATAAAATTTAAATCTTTTACCAAATATAATTTCTTTAAAAAAGTAAGTAAAGTCCCAGCAGTTCGCGTTTTAAACCTAAGCCAACTCGCAACAGTAATAACTATCTCATATTTGATATGATCGAACTCCAAAAATTATGGATTCCTACTAGGAACTTGAAATATCCAAAAAGCGCTGGTTGCAAGTATCCCATGTAGTAACGAATTGCAATGGCAATTTTTACGAATAATTTATACGCCATGAGGAGAATAATGACAGATTGGGAACTATTGAAAATCAGAAGGTAGACAGTTCTACCTTGATCATTATATTCACTGAATAAAGATGCATCAAATATCATCATAAACAAAAACTTTTTTTCGTACGTAAATGAATCTTAGAGCTATTTCGTATATTTACACATTACACAGATGTTTTTGAAAAAAATTACAAATAAAATGAACGTACTATTCGTATTCAGATACTTCAATTCTGTACAACAATTGGTTGAAAACTAGAAAAACTCCACTGATCACTGGAGCATAATATTTGCATTTTTCCCATAACGAGCAATTAGGACGTAGGTAAATGATTGCTTTAAAACGAAATAACAGAAATATAATCCACCAAATCAATAAACAAGTCCATAAAATTGCAACATGTTCAGACCTGAAAATTATTTTAACAAACAGAAAGGACATTGGTACGTTTTCTGACTAATTATAACATTTAGTATTGTAATGTACAGGTAAATCAAGATAACATCGATTGCTGTCAGAGATGTGAAGGTTACTACAACTAACCGACTTCTTCTTGAAGGGTCTGACAAAAAAACTGGGTTGGGAGAGCCCTAGCTGACCTGGTGGCGTGATCGCAGAGCCTAATGGACAACTGAAACTTGTCATACGACGCTTTACAGAGTAGTTCTGCAAGTTTTGTCCTTTGCAAACACAACTGTTGGTGATAAATATATATGGGGTGAGGTGAGATGTGTTGTTTTTAATGCTTAAACTCTTTAACTCTCCTGTTGTTGTGATAAACCAAAATCATCGTAGATTTCAGTTGTACTAATCACCATTGTAGTCGGAGAATGTTTTTGCAATTCCAGATTTAGTTACATATCGTAGTTTTATTAATTATGCTCTATTTCTACTTGCATTACTTTTATTAAATTAATATTTATTTTATATTGAGGACTCCGCAAACATTTTAATATTTTTTATAAGTTTGCCAAATGAACTAAGATCCGATTTCCTTTCTGCTTCTAATAATTCCAGACTAAATCTACACTGTAACTTGAACACAAAAGAAAAGGCGCAAAGTACGCTTTACTACAAGATTAGTCATCAGTAACACTATAATTACCCTCATTTTTCTGTACACAAACTAAATATAGTAGCCGTATGGCTAAATATCCAATTCACAAATCATTTAGTTAATCAGAGAGCACTAAAAGTAGAAGATTTCTAACGCTAGAAATAGGATACACGATACAGAGTCAGCTCTTCATCATAAACTGATTTATCAACTCTTGAGAGCGAATGTTAGTATGAACTCTAAACTTAACTAACTAGTGATGCTTTCATTATCAAAACTGTTTATCTATGTTCTATAGGCAATATTTCGTTGTCATACATGCATAATAACCTTGAAGCTATTTACATATACATCATTAGCATGTCTTAGTAGTTTAGCTTTAACTATGATTATTCATTGTCTTGAAAATACAAATTAATTGTCTGATAGAAAAGTAAACGGCACACTAAATGGATATATAATCACTTCTAATATATATATATATATATATTCTTGTTTGAACACGTAATGAATAACCCATGTTTATCTCCTAGAAAATCAATATTCGTTAACTATAAAATTGAGCTAATTGTTAATTCAACAAGACTTGACGAAACGATTTATTAACTTTTATGACTTATTGTGTAGCTGTCGTGCAATTCAAGGTGTGGACTACAAATAGGACAAAAAGAATTAAATTAGTGAATAATGAAACAAATTATTATTTCCTGGAATTCGAATGTTTAAAGAGTTTCATTAAGTATTATTTACTTTCGACTTGTTTTTCTCTGCCGATAATTATTAGATCCTAACAGAAAACTTAAGAGAAGTTCAACTCGGTTGAGCGAGATGATTTAGTGAGAAGCGTAAATGAATCTGGATTATTTCATTAGGCATCGTTTAGTTTTGATTTTGCTTTATTTTCTGTATTACAGATCGTTCAACTCTGGCCACAAAATTACCAAGCATGATTGGTGACCGAGTATCGACCAACTCCAACGACCATGATATCTTTTCAGTTCAGGCAATTACTAACCATTTAGTAAATTATTTATTATTGGATTGGAGTTATAATTGCAATTAGGGATGTGTATACTATTAAAATGTCGAGGGTAACGCAGCCGCCCATTGAACATGTCGGATGAAAAATATCAATACATATCGTAAATGTTAGAGCTGACAGTGAAATATTTCATGAAAACTACAGAACTCACTAAATTAATGGAAGAAGAAATTACAGCAGTAATTACGATATACTTAGTGAGAGTATCAAAAAAAACAAAATAAACGACAACATTCAGTAATTTATAAAGTTTTTTTTTTCAACTTATCCACTTACATTATTCATTTACATTTAATGAAATGAAATTATTTTATATGACAGTTTATGAAGAGAACAATTCCATGGTAATTGATAAAATTAAAGGCGAAATCGGGGCACTACACTTGAAATGCACTTCGGAAATTTTCGGCCTTATTCAATTGGTACGAACGATTGATTTATAATGCAGTGAAATAGTATACAAATAAATTATTTCTATATTGAACTCTATTGAACTTTCGAGATGGACTACACATGCTTCTGAGTTTAATTCAAAGGATATTTGATATAGCAGAAGATGAGGGTTAAGTTTAAGTTTAAAACTAAACTTATGAATAGGATTTAGAGTAAAGCTTAAACCCTAATCATTAATCTCAATCCTAGTTCTTAACCTTATACCTATTATGATGTGTAGGTTCAGATCTACAAATTAATGCTTAGAAGCCAAATAATCTAAATACTGCTCTTGATAAAAACCTTATAAATAATAATAATAGTAATAATAATGGTTTTAAACTTACTTATATAACCAGTCAGATATGTCCGGTAAGTGTAACCATTTATTACCAGTTTGATGTAGTCTACGCAATAAAAAACGATCTAGCAAAAGTATTTTAATAATAGTTTTTAAAATGATCCACTTTACAGTTGAACTAACATTTCCAAGTAGAACTAGCAAACTAGTTAATAATATAAGACTTGAACTAAAATAATACCACAATTGATGCTCTTCTTCAGCCCAACTGCTTGATGCTAAACTGATTGAATGCAGAATTAAACAAGCTGTACCAAACCAACATATAATTTGAACTAATAATGGATCGAATGAATAATTCAAGTTGGCTGTATCCGAATAATAATATTGAATAATTGTTTTTTGATTCTGTAGAAAAAAAAGTGAAGAAAAATAGCTAAGGAGGAGGTCGGAAATTATGAACAGACAAAATTTTGCTTCAATTATGGATTTGAACAAGTTAGATCTAATCAGAATTGACATACTGAAAATAACTATAAATGATGACGCTCAAGCTGCATACGAAAAAATTATTCAGCGTGGAAAACCTAGACAACTGAATTTTATATCAAATGATATATGCGGCGTACTAGTGTTAAATTACAGATTATGGGTCAGCAATATTCAAGTATTGTAATATAATAGTGATCAACACTGTTTAGATTTTAGGCTACTAAAATGAAATTGTAGTAGAGGAAGCTGAATTATAAGTAGTGGTAGAAAAGATTAGGGATTGAAAATATGATTTGAGCAGTATTTGCCAATGAAATGAATTTAAAAAGTAATGAGAAATTCAGAAGTTTACAGTTCGAAGGAAAAGGAATGGCTGTACCTGTATAATTGCGAACGACTTTGAGCAGTCATTCAAAGTCCATAATCATCGATTGGAACCGTGTCACGGACCCTAACCAGGTAGCCTACATCGACCAACATGACTTAGTCCACTTGTCAGTGACTTCATGGATTTCTGCCATGGTTTGGTTTGGCCTCTCCTAGCTTTCTGCCAACCTACACCTTCATCAGACAACATCGTTTGTCAAGGTAGTTGGTGGTTAGGCATTCGTAACACAAGTCCCAACCACCTCAACTGATGAGTAATCACTACTTCATCAGCTGATCTGCCACCCTACTTAGTACTTATTTCCGAACTACAGGATTGCTTACTCGATTGTTGCAGGATATACAACCAATGCTTTGAAGAAACGTATAGTCGAATACTTGTAACCTACGAATATCCTTTAATCTTAATGGCCAATTTTCACACCCGTAAAATAGAAAAGAGGTGTAGGAACGACCTGAATGTGACCAAGTTGATTTCGTATGTTGTTAGGGATATGATCGCAAGTGTCACTCTCCCTAGTTTCCCACATGGTGGAAGGGTTTTTTGAGGAACATGAAAAGTTAGGTAGATTAACGTTGATCTTAGAGACCTGATAGCGTGACCGCAGAGCCCAACGGAAAACTGCTTGAGGCAGTTCACGCACGGCCTTTTTATGAGAAGTTTGTAAAGTGTTAGCTTCGTTCTTGTTTAAAAAGCCTAACTGCCGAAGACGGAAATCCATGAGGTAAGGTGAGGTTTGGCATTTTTAGGGTCGACCTTTTCTAACCCCTTCCTCCAATTGTGAGAAGACAGAGTCGCTGAAGATGCTGCTGTCACACCCCTTTACAGTCAGCAGTACGACTTCGCCATCAGACATTGAGTAGCTGTTTTTAGTTTCATCGTTCTCCAATCGACCTGCCTGGCATGGTAGAACTTACGGGAACATATATTCCAGCCAATATAGCTCGGTTGGGTCATCACGATAGGTACACCCGACCACCACTTCAAGGCAGCAGCTACGATAAGGTTGATTGATGAAAACATCAACGCATAACATCAGTCTATGGAATCATGAACCTTTGATGTCAGCCATCTTCTAATACTACCTGATTGGAAGATCTTAGGTGATATGACTGGGAATCAGTTGCAATAACACAGACACATTCATCCTAGGTCTTTATTCTGTAATTCAACTGGATAGATCCTGGTCAACCCTTTAACGGGATAGCTATATATTTTAGTGGTTCGTAAACCAAACTTCAACCACTTGTAATATGCATCATTCCTATATATTTAGAAATCTAGTTTACAATCTCTTACAAAAATACTAACATGGTATTTTGAATCCTAAGTTTTTCGTTTTAATATTGGTGTCATATACAACGAATATCGATAGTTCATTAATTTATCACCCATGAACGGTAAACAAATTGAAAATAATAATTAATGACATTCAAAAGAGAATAGTGTTACCTAAGGGAATCGCTCTGATATATAACATCATATCACTTGAATAGGTTAATATCTTTCTGAAATCAATAACTGAGTAGATAGTGCGTTGGCGTTTCGAGAAATATTTAAATAAGTTTCAGTCTTAATTTAAACATTAACATTGGGACCCAGATATACCCAAGTAGTATTCAAAAAATGATGAAATTCATACTCTGAATTCCAGTGCTAACTCTAACCCATATATATTCCGAAACAACTAATGAGTTCAAAAATTGCTGACAATCAGGTCCATACAAATACTATTAAAACAACTGTTTTGAATTATGTCAATTATAAGTAAGTACTTTCATTCAAGAGTAACTATTCTGGTATGATATTTCTTCTCTTCTTATAATATTTTTGACAACAAACAGTAAGCTATTCACATATATATAGACTTATAGAAAGAAGCATTGAGAAGAATAAATACCAAACCATTAAAATAGAATAATACAGAATACAGTATGAAAATCACACTTGAAATTTACCATAACAAAATTTACTAACTCATTAAATTGATAGACAGAAGTATTTATTAAACAAAATCATGTTAACGAAAGAAACACGTAAATACATTAATAGAATGAAGAAATATTGAAGTAAAAACAAACAATATTAATATAAATAAACTTCACTATACATGGAATTCTATAACAGTAATCTGTTATTTATTTGTTTATTTAAATAATTAATGAAATTCACTGAATATGAAGATACTTCTTAAACTATAAGCCGATATATGTATGTATATATATGTACTTCAATGTAAGTGGGATATTGTCAATACAAAGAGAAATCAGGCAAGTTATATGGAATAGTAAGGTAAAGTAGACGGTTAAAAATTACTGGAAAGTAGAGAACCATTCAAAATTGAAAGTTAATTCAACAGCTGTTTATCGAACTTTAGGACTAAGTCAGCAGTACTAAAACATGGTTGGTTACAGAGATATACATTACTGTTGAGGAGCTCCAGCAAGGTTGTAATGGTTAATTAACTGATCTTAGCCTAACTAATTGTACATGGAATACTCTACGATAGTCTAATTTAAATATATTCATATATAACTCTGATATAAAAACCAAACACTATTATACTGAAGGTAAAGCTGAGATAATTACACATACATTACTTACTTTCTTATTTGACAAAGAACTTTTATCATCCGACGGGAAAATTACCAAATTGACGATCTTGTGAAACAGTAACAAAGTAACCTAAAATACATGTTTTTTGTGGGTAAAAAGAGATAAACAATTAGTCTTGTAAATATCTGTGAGAAGGTATTCATGAAAATTACCATAAATACATTCTGATCTGAATCAACTCTCCTGAGTAATAACAATTTCTTTCAAGCTTGTAGATATACTATCCTGGCGAATGACCAAGTGTCACAAAACTAAAATTTAAGGTTGAATCTAAATTAACTTTAGCGATATAATAGTACTCACGTTACATCGACATGTTGACACTCTTAAGCTAGTAGACATAAAGAAACGTGATTGGTAGAATACGATCATAACTAAGGATTAAACATTGATATCTGTTACTACTAAGTGACAAGTTAGCATACATTTATATTTTACTTGCAGTTTGGAGAAAACTGAGTCTATAATCCATCCCTTGGCAAGATGGGGAGTATTATCGTAGAACCCCAAAACTAAGACACAACAACTGACTTCAAAAACTGAATACAGAAATCATTGGAATTACCACCTACAAATAAACAACTTACAATCCACATTAGAATACCACCGAATATCATTTGTTTACTATTTAAATGTTCAATTCTTGCCAAAGATTCTGACTGTATCTCATTAAGTAGTTTAATTGCATTATCGATTAGTTCTTCACCTATTAAATGAGAACCTGATTTTACACAGTCGATTTGTTTGAATTCATCAGTTGAATTTTCTTGATTCTTTTGACAGTGTAACCAAGTGGTAATTTTATTTGACAAACTATTATAGTTTGTTGCTGTGAAAATATTAATTGAACAGAAAAGAACGAACTGATGTAGAATAGCATGATCAAAATGGAAATTAAACAGTGAATAAAAATCATTCACATGATATCGTGTTGATAATGAAAGTTTTTTCTTCTCAATAAATTAAAATCGGTATCAAAGATATTTAGAGACAATGTAATAATTGTATATCACAGAGTACCTACATTGAACTGTAATCTCCTTTGTCATATGTCTTTAGTGGATGTTTGGGACCTGAACTATTACTTATTAGGCCAAACTCAACAGTCTACTTTTATGGATTGATTCTCATTGTAACGGTGACGGATTGTGAAGATTTTTCATTTTGAAGTTACTTTTCATTGCGAATGGACGTCAGTGGAAGAAACACACAGAATCTAAGAACATTTATCATAAGTATGGTGAAACATGTCAACAGTGTGAGCACATAGCCCTACAAAAGATAGGATCCAGAACCAATACGTCTCGGACAGAGCTTGATGTTATATCATATCGAGACACCGATAATGAATAACAAGAGAGATGAAGCAGTAGTAGTGTCAATTATAGTAAAAAAATACTAAGTATACACATTACGGTCCAAGGAGAAATAATTTATTAATAAAACAAAACTAGGAAATAACACTGGATCTCAACATTTAGTGGAAAACAGTAAAAAAATACGTATGCACCACTGCTACCGATTTTGCTTTATGTCCCTAAAGGTCTCCCAACCACCAGTCACAATTACTAAGCCAGCTCTTTAACAAGACAGTTTGAATTTACAAACACGGCTCACACCAACAAGTCAGGACTTCATAGACTAGTGTCATGTTTCGGTATATCTGTACATAGCTTCTTCCAATCCGCTTTTTTCTATATACGCCAATATGAGACCACTTATTCATAAGTTCAACACTGAAAATGATACACATAAACCGATTAAATTATTTAACCTGGAGTCAGTCATAAGCAAAGTAGAACCTGGTAGATATATACATCCGTTTAAGTTGTGATACCACATTAGTACATTCACAAGGTATATTGAAATGCAATAAAGGTAATGATTATTGCATTTGTTCATCATTTAAAAATGAAGAACTTACTCCGTTCTTTACTCCATATATTTGATATACAATTTTTATACGTTAATGTATGATACGATGTCGATGAAAATACACATTCACCAGATAAATAACCAATGTGTTGTATTAATGTGTATAATACTTTTAATCGATCTTCATTTGTCGACCAAATATTATACAACCATGTAGATGGTAAAATGCCTAAACTTTTCACTGGTATACCAACTCCTGTAATTAACCCAATTAATGTGGCTAAATCAACTTGTTGTGTTTGTGGTAACTTTTGTAGATCTGTGGTTAAACATGTGTTCTTGAGCAAGAAATATGAAAGAGGAAAATGGGGGAACACGTTAGTAAATTAAAACAGTTATTTTAAAACAGCTTCACCTTAATTGATAAGTATAACAGAAAAAAATAACCCTTAGTTAGTAATATAACTACGACAAGATCTAAAAGATCTCAGTATGATTTTGGAGTTCTGTATAATAGGAGTTAGAAAACAGTACAACTAAGACATCTGCACTGTAAACATGGTTTTGGATACAGAGACCCGCTCAAACATCTGGAGGCCAGCTAATTTTTCCAACAGTACAAATACTACAATTAACCGGCCTGTTTTAGATTTTCTGATTGAAATGATTGTGTGAATGCTAACTCTGTATGTATTGAACGGCTAATGTTGAGAAGATTACAAGTTACTGTGATACTAATTACAGGAAGACTTAGACAAAAACACTGGAATTCTTTTCATTTCTGTCTAACCGTTGGCAAAACAGGAAACGAACATGCCTCAATTCAAGCATCTTAAACTTTACAAGTGAAAAGTGTAGTTAATTCAGCTGAAATGGTAGAAAAATTTAATGCTTCAATATAAGTGAACGATACAGAATGTTAAAAATATATTTCTACAATATATTTTGACTAATTTCAAAATTAATGTATGTTAAAAAAAGATATTATTTGTATTATTGTACATTTGGAGCAGTAAATCCTTTTTCTTTTTGCTGTGTCGAAATTTATAGTGTTGAAAAAAGCCTTTATTATTGAACACTGTTTTATTTGTTGACATGGTGGTAATTAAATGTAGATTTTGTGAGAGATTGAATTATGTTTAAGATTAATTTTTTAAAATCACAAATAACTCATTTACTTAGTATCTGATTCATATACTTAGTTTGGAGTAATATCTCTGTTATTGCTAGCAATGACTGGATTTTCATAGTAAGCCAATTAACCATTGTTATTATCAGTTATATAAAATAAACTCAGTCAGGCAATCTTATAACCTCAAATAGAAAATTTGTGTCTTGTTTAAGATTGATTAAAAATCAGGAAACAAAATGTAATAATCATTGTTCAAAGGTATATATATATTGTTTTCAGGCATAGTCACCTTTGTTGAATGATTATTTTTTTTATGCCAATTAGATCCAAGCATAAAGAGACCAGTAGTTTTCTCACCACTTGTAGAACCACCATGACTGCCCATATCACTCATTCCATGATCACCTGTTAAAATAAATAACCAATTTTTATTGCCGATTGATGAGGAGTTTGTCTGAAAAGAAAGTATAGAAATATGTAAAATTATCTGGTACTATAATTTGTAAATTTATTCATCAAGTATAGATATATGTGATTAATATTTGAACTACATTATCAGGGTGAGGTTTCGATCATACTAACCAGAAATTTAAGGTTAAATCAGAGAAAACAGTTTTATTTGTAACCATGACTTATGAATAAAAATCTGATAATAGTTATATTTAGTAAATGAAAAAAGGATTTCTAAATCAATTCCCCAATTGCTGAAAATCTGATTGATCAATAAAACAAATCAAAAATGAGACAAATTTTCCACCAGGTTTATGTACCATTTCCCATTAACTAAGTTAGGGAGTTTTAATTTTGACAGTAAAACGCAGCTTCATTAAAAATTGTAATAATATATGTAGCGAGAATCGTCCCAGATAAGTGATATCGAATATTTTTGCACACTAGACAGGATTCGATGAGGCATGATATGTGAAACTAGAGATTGAAAAATCGAAGTCATTTTTATTTAATGTCGACATTTGACTAATGTTAAGAGCACACTACCAGAAACTGATTATATGCAGTGCTGCATAACAACAACGAGGAAATACAAACCTTTACAAAATATATTTAGTTTAAGTTTGTGACTTCTTTAGGTCATTATAAATATCCAAATATGAACATAAAAACATTCAAGATTTTAGTTGCTGTCAAAGTGTGATCGGTTTATTAATCGCCAATCAATAGCAAAAACACTATTCATATTTTCATTTAACGAGTCAATTGAATTTCTCTTTGACTACCATCGAACCAAACATCCATCGGTATTTCAATTTACTGATACAGACTTTAACAAACATTAGTTGATGAAGGAGTTCTGGAGAGTAGACCCTTTCGACCCCATATGAAATAGAATTCAGAATAAACACGTTTTGCAGCAGGAATAATATTATGGATATAGTAGTTTAAAATCAAAGAAGTTATGATTGGTTACACTCACTAATATACATGTGAAATATTTTAATCAGTTAAAATAGATTATTGAGTATGGAAGAGAAATTTAACTTTCAAAATATACAAACGACAGTTCCACCAACCTTGAATAGTGCTACTTCCACTGTACAAAAATGGTGATAGAATATCAATAATATTCCAACAATGTTCATAAGTGACATTTATTTCTTACAATTAAATTACAAGTGCAAAAAAAACATGTGAATAAAACATATTTACAGTCCAAACAGTTAAAATAATGTGAAACAATCAATTTACGAACGAGAATTTTATCAAGGTATTGATCTATCATAGAAAATGTTTCTCACATCTTTTAAACAAGAGTACTATTTTAAACATATTTTTATGAGAATACTTATTAGAAAAATAATAGTTATGTGATTATAGCCATGAGAGATCCTTTTGACCATAAAAACAATGATATAGCCTACTGAATGTAAACATTGGAGATGAAAAAAATGGAAGACGAAGCAAGAACAACAATAAAACAAATATATATGCAAATTACATTTAAATAAGTTTACTAGAAACTAAACATGAAACGTACCAGCATTTTAAGTATGCTGTAGATAACTTCATCCATTTCTTTAATTTTCTGGGGGATGCTAGATCCATTAGGTCCTTCAATGTGCCCGATATGATCTAATCCCAAGTAATGCAAAATAAGACCATCCCATTTATCAAGTGTAGTCATTAATGTAGAAATATGGCGTGTTACATTTATATCTACCTATAGAATTAAAAACATTTAGGTTTAGGTGATTTTACTTCGTAAAAATCATTAACATAGAATGAATTCGTTCCTTCGTATTCCTGAAAACTTTTGGGGAAAAGTTTTATCCAAGTATCGTCCCCATAAAAATGAAGTTTCCATTGACGATTTGCCATACGAGTTACCCAGTTATCATCAAGCATTGCTTCTGCATTTACGTTATGCAAAACGTCGACGAACTTCGGAGTTCTCCCAGAAACGATTGCCTAGATTTTAAAATCATATTGATATTATTCGGTAGACCGACCTTTATTCGCGGTAACGTCACAGTAGGAGGTTGAACAATTGAAGCGGAACATGTAGCCGACTGAAGATTCATATAAGAGCGAAGTTTGACCCAGTGTTTTGAGTACTGTGGTGAAAATAAGAAATCCACTCTTAGTGCATCGATCACGACCATTACAAGTTTATCAATCTTATATGTTTCTTCGATGGGCTCAGCTAAAAACAGAAATACTATTCAAAAATGTAGTTAAACCTACTTTTACTGACGTTTGTAGATTTATCATTTGGTAGAAGGCCATTCATAAATATCAAAAGACCAAAGGAATATACACCAAGCAGAATCAGACATTCGTAAATACTAAGTTTTGCAAAGATTCCCATCTAAATACTTGTCTCCTTCGCCAATCTATAATGGGAAATGCGTCTGAGGATTACAGGGGCTTGAAAACGCATAAATAAACAGAACAATAAAAACGATCAAAAGAGGATGAAAATTCTCATAATCATCACGCTGGTTTTCTTGATAAAACATTAGAGATAAATAAATTTTGTCAGTGGTTAAGATATAATTTATCCAAGACGTACGACAACGACTATAGGTGTAAATGTATGTTTAAAACACAAAGAATGATTATGAGCTTCTACGTACTATGTGAAATATCTGATGGGTAGCTTCTGTCATAGAATTGCTCACAAATGTACGGGTGCGGTAGAGAGTAGGGAGAGTTTTCTCTCCCTTCCCAAATGCTCTCATAAGACCATGCATGTATAACTATTTCCAGGTAAGTCCTACTTAATGCCTTTGCCTTACACAGGTGTTGTTTATGAAACTGAGAGGAGGAAAAGTGAAAGTTCAGTGCTTTCAACAGAATAGTGGGTACAAGGGTTCAATCTAAGGAGAGACGGAAAACCTGGATTTTAAACCGGTGTTGCATATGGACTCCAGAATCCCAATAAAACGAATAGCGTTTCAACCAATTACTGGTCACCGGACTACTATATATCAGAGTCCCCTAACGTTGCTCTACTTCATTGTAGATAGAAAAAATTGGGGCGGAAGCTATAAGAAAACCATCTGTTTCAGTCAAAGTTGTCAGGTAGAATCCCGCTCCATTCACAAATTCAACAATTTCTGCGGCTATTAAACATTTAGGTGTCCCTTTGTTCGCGTCTTATTTAAAATTAATAAAATCGCTTGGTGCAAATCTGGTTGACTGAGACACATCATAACACAAGGAATAAAGTTTGACTTAATTACAATCAAGTGTGTCTATCAAAGCAAACAAATTATTTTCCAAATTTTTAGAAAATAACTTCATAATTTTGAATCATAAATTTGTATCTCAATGAAATAAATTAGAAAAAAGAGGTTATGAGGAGTTCGCAAGATAAGAATTTGAGAGAAGATAAAGAATGGATGCACCTGTGCCATGTCATCCAGTTTCTAAGCACTGGTTACGATTATCTGATGAACCCCAACTTAGTAGTCTACACCTACCAACATGACTCAATCCACTTGTCAATGACTTCATAGATTTGTGCTATGTTTTGGTTTGGTCGCCCCTAGCTTTCTTCCAGCTTACCCCTACACCAGATACCATTACTCTTTGAGATAGTCGGTGGTTGGGCATTTGTAACACATGTCCCAACCACCTCAACTGAAGAGCAATCATTACTTCATCTATTGATCTCCCATCCTTACCTGGTACCCTTTTGCTAACAGCAGCATTTCTTACTCGATGGTCCCAGGATACACGGGCAATGCCTCAAAGACACCGACGAACGAATGCTAGTCACCTACGAATATCCTCTTTTCTTAATGCTAATGTTTCACTCCCGTAAAATGGTGAGCAAACTGCTGCACAGCAGTATATCCCACCTGTTAAACAAGTGACGCAAGATGGTAAAAGATAGTCGAGCTTTAGCTATCAGTGCTGAGACTTTACCTGACACCAGGTCGTCAGCACTGATGAGACTCTCAAGATAAGTGGAGGTCAAGATGCCTAACTACTTCGCGTCAAAAGTTCTCCTGACTTGAATTAAAGAAAATATCGAGAGATGTTGAGGTTAGAGTTAAGTGTAAGCCTAAGCCGGCATTTGGGGATAGAATTTGCATTTGGTGTTAGGATCTGGGATTTGATGTACCGAATTGCAAACGGACTATTAGGCTGAATTATTCCTACGCTAATAAAAACTCCGAATTCAACATCCAAGACAAAGATAGTTGTCATAAAAGCCAGTCCAATTTTTATTCTAACCCTAGATTGAAGTCACAAAACTGAATCTTCAATTCTGTACAAAAGTTTTTACGTCCAATGGGTAACTGTTACGTAGATGGAACAAGCAATAAACCCCGTAAACCATGATTATAATTCAGTTAAAGATTTGGTGAATGAAATAAATTTACATAATCTAAATACTATCTATTATCTTATTTGTGGCACAAAACTTACTTTCATCCCACGTACTACAATCAGCTATAATTCAGAAAAACTTAGAAATAAATTGATAAAGATCGCAGTAAAACACTACAAGTTCTATCATGTATATAACTAGATTATTCCAAAAATGCGATATCTGTCTCAGCATCGTTAAAATCAATTCCAATCTAATATAAAACTGGTTTTGGGAATAAACTTGTAATTTTCTACTTAAATTTCTTTTTTTGAATAAATCACAAAAATAAATATACTCGAAATTGTGATTCTATACGGCTGTTAAAACAATGTACAACTTCGAAGGTACTTAGGATTTTTTTACACACAAAGAATTACACAACATAGAAGAGATAAGGTAGTACAACACTAGAACTGAATTGTCATAATCAGATTTGCCATGCACACTATTGATAGAATAATTAGGGTCTGGAAAACACTAAGAAATACGGTGCACCGCGCATTAAAGAAGTGTAATTATTTAAGGTTTAAACTCCGTGACCTTAAGGATTTCTCCGAGCATTGTCTGAAGATACTTCAGATTATATCATGAAAGCAGGAAAGTAGAAAGCAACTTTATTGTGATCAAATCGAATAGCCTCTGTGAACACAAGGTAATGAAACAACTATCTAGAAATAAAAAAGACAAAACTATTTTGCCGAAAAAAAATAGAATGTGATAGAAATGAACACATTAACCAAACATATCGCTACAAAAATCTTAATTCTTCTATGATAATGAACTGCAGAATACCTAAAGACTAAAATATATGCAGTCCTGATGAGACGCAATAGAATCACTGCTTAAACTGCGCTGATGAGCTCATAAGCAGCGCGGTTCCTTAAGGTTTTTTTCAAGGTTGTCAATCATTGCGCAGGATGTTAAAACAAAAAGCATGCCACATAGTTCTTGCAGTAATCAAAATGTTATTTTCGAGAGACTTAATCAAGAGGTTTTTCTTTTCGTTTATAATTTTTAGGTCAGGATTTCGGAATTTTCAGACGAAGAAAGGGAATCTTAATCAGGTTATATTTCAGTGGCATACTTAAACTCAGTTGGGTTTGCCATCGAGATTAAAAACATCGGACACCAATATTATTATTAGGAATACAAAGTATTATGATAACTACGCTATCAGTTTATGATTAGATGATATAAAGATAACGAAGTAAGTTAATCACTCAGAGTCATAACATTCGAAGAGATTAAATCGTTATCTTGATAAATTGGCAGTGTCACATTAAAATCGAATCCAGCCTAATCTCTGCAACATCAAGCTGTTACTAATGGTATCTGGGCTACTAGCCAGCAATATCTGGCGCAATTGATGGTTGATAAACACATGTACGATTTGAGGTTGGTTAACAAGCCGTTGATGCGAGTTTCATTCAATCGCTTGTTCTACAAAGTGCTGATTTTCTGATAATTTATTGAATTTAACGAATTCAGTTTGCTGATCTCTAAATTAAATGTGAACTGAATATTTCATGAGGTTTAAAATCATCCCGTTTGATTACGAAATGCTACTCAAACTTTCCAAAGTTTATCGATAGCATTATACGAGACTTACATTTTGCTCACGTCTATTAGGTGAGAGGTTAGTCTGCCCTGTGAAGACAAAGTACGTACAGTCATAGAGTACAAGGTATCGAACATACTCAAGGAACTCAAGGCTTTTCTCGGTTTGGTCAACTTCTACCGACGTTTCATCCTGCGCGCGGTTACGAACGGTTACGAGTAATAACTGACTTACTTCGCGGTAATCCAGGAAAACTGGAATTTAACGATGCCGCGCACCAAGAATTTTCAGAGATCAAAATAGATTTAGCTCAAGCTACGCTCCTCGCTCATCCTGAACCATAAGCCCCTATTAGCATAGCATTTGATGTAACAGATTTCGCTATAGGAGCTGTAATGCAACCAAACGTATCCGGGAATTGGCAACCTCTCGAATTTTTCTCACGACTCCTTACTCCCACTGAGACGAGATGTAGCGCTTTCGGTCACGAACTGCTAGTAGCCTTCCGTGCCATCAAACATTTTTGGCGCCATGTAGAATGTCGCAAATTTATCCTTTTCATCGTCCATAAGCCTGTAACGTATGTTCTGCATACCGAGACTGACCGATACCCACCACGAGAGTCCAGACATTTGGACTGTATCTCTAAGTTCGCGACAGACTCTCGTCATACTAAGGTCTAGTCGAACTATGTTTCTGACGTTCAGAAACATGTGTAATTGAATGCAGCTACGGCTGCGGACCAAGCAAGTTATCCTCCTGTACAGAAGCACAACATTCTACATCCCATAAGTGCCGAGAAGTACCCATAGATACTGGCTCAGATACTATATACACTGTAATACATATACTGGTCTTCCTTGACTCATCGTACCCTCTGCTTACCGTCGTCTCGTCTTCGATGCCCTTCATGGATTATCTCATTTAGGTATTGCAACCACACTATTCCTCATCGCTTCAAGATATGTTTGGCCATCCATGAATAGCGATGTTCTTATGTGTGTAAAGCAAAGCTCACAGTGTCAACGATCAGAAGTGCACAGGCAGGTTTGCTACGCCTGATGTTTGCTTCAGTCATGTTCATATTGACATTGTGCGACCAGTGCCACCATCGCATTTGGTTTGATCACATATTCACATGTAGCGATCAGTTCACAAGATGGCCCGAAGCCATTCCCATCATTTCTAGAACTGCAGAGACATTTTCTCGCTGCTTCGTAGAACGATGGATAGCGCTGCACGGTTGTCTCTCGACTGTCACAACTAACCGAGGGCAAAAGTTAGAGTCCGAATTATTCCCCTCGCTAACCCAGCTGCTTGGTTAAGAGCGTAAACTCATAGCCGCCTACCACCCAGGTTCAAATAGAGTAGTTGAACGGTTTCATCGCTAACAGTTGGTACGAAACCTTACCGCCCATCCTCTTACGTATCAGAACGAGCCCAAAGGCAGATATTCAGTGTTACGCGCATGATTTAGTATACAGCTCGGCAGTGCATTTGCCTGGGGGAGTTTTAACACCACAGAGTAGCTTTAATTTTGGTAAATCAGCCTACGTACAACGATTGTCTGAATACATGCGAACACTGAATCCGGTGTCAACTCGAATATAGCGTCGACAAGTCGCTCTTCCTCGAAAGTAGTCTACTTGTTTACATGTTTTCATATGAGTGGATTCGATAAGCAAACGTTTGCAACAGCCTTACGAAGGACATTTTCACGTGATTTCCTGTCATGAAAAGACCTACAAGGTTGCTTAACTTGGCAGCGTCTCCAGCCAAAACACGTTGATGACAGTACCCTACCTGATAATCCAATACCCAGTGTTAGATCCGCAAACCCACTAGCGGGAACCCAGTGTCAAGTTTTTATCACACACCAGATGAATCAGTGACCTTATTCTGACATCCAAGTCAACAGTACGCATCATCTGCACCATCTACGAATGAGATCTCAGTCTCATGTCCAGATCAGCAGACCACGCATCCCTTTACTTCGGATGTCATTGTAGTCTCACGTTCCGATTTCCACGAACGCTTGCTTGTGCGCTTCCGTAACTAACCTATCAATCAACAACGGATACAGTTTAGGACTTTATCCCCTTACTACATGCATGCTTCACGTTCTGTTTTTTTTTTACCTTCAGCTTATGCCTCCGACCATCTCTTTGTTGATACCATCGACTTCAGTCAATCATGGGGAAAGCTGGCCGTAACACCAGCGCTCTTGTCAATGTACTTAGTTTATGTTTTGGTTCTGAATATATTTGGCATGCATGAGGTTTCGAACTTGATCGTTTCTGGTTTCTTAGGCTCAATCTGGTTCTGTCCTACGTCAGCAGCTTTTTCCGGTCCGGACTGCTCTGAAAGCAATCTTCAGAATCTGGATGCGGTCCACGCTAACTCGAGCAACAAACATGGTAGATTACCACTGGTACCGTTCATAGGACTTCGGTGACAACTCCAGCACCATGGATCACTTTCTGTTCGTCAATACCTACGTCCTACAACTACAAGCCTGCCGATCAGTCCACTGAACGAAACTGCGAAAGTGTAAACCCTTTCTAGCGGGGACTGCCGAAGTGGAATACTTTTATGAAGAGAACTGGATCGGTGAAATGGTAACATTTATCATTGTATCCATTTGTACCAAAGATTGTTTTACTATATTCCTTTGTTTATCTGAACCAAAAACTATTATCTTCCCGATAATGTGACCCTGGCATTATCTTTGTATTCCCGACTATAACGTTTGTTTGGACCTTGATATTCTTTCGACACATCGAGATCACCAACAAATGCCCCTCTAACTCCAATCACGACTGATTTTCTTACTTCTGACTATCAAGGGACTTGACTTAGTTATTCCCGGTACATATCTACAATTTGTTGCGTACTAAAAATACAGTCAGGCCTATGTAGTGTTTTTATTTCTGATTTTTCAATCCTCAGACATCGGGGTGAGGTTTTCAATTGATTGAGGTCTGTTAGTACTTATTCTTCTGCTCAAATCTCGCTGAAGAAATTATGTACCATCAACACAATATTTCTATGTTTGCATTAGCAGCACATAAACATTGACTCCTTCTCATCATTTGTGGTCTCGCAACACTGGATCAAAACCTCCCTCCTAGTCTTAAAACATTCTTCGGTGATCCTGAATTAACGATATTCCCATCCTATATGTAGATTTCACGCTCATTAAAAAAAGCAACAGAGCAACTATTTGTGGATTTTCGTCTTCTACATGGCTGAAGTTAAAACATACTTCATCTGTTTTTATTATCTCTCGTCCGTAAATATACTTGACGCAATTAGGAATTCCTCGTATGATCATTTCTAATTTTTATGAGAGCAAACACTGTCGTCGTATCTGAAACAGGACGAGTTTCTGCATGTTATTCAGAAGCGAAATTGTTAAACCCCTGAGCATCTACTAAAAAAACCAACTGTTGGACGTCAGAGCAGAGGTACACTTATGTCAACGCAAGCGAACAAGTTTCTTAACTATTTTGAGTGTTACAATCTTGAGATAATGAGAAGGAACACGATGTTGGAGTTTCGTAAGCCTAGTTCCGCGGATCAGCATTATTAATTCGTACACATCGACAGAATTTTGCAACTAACACAAATTGTAGAAATCGAATAGACAATCGTTGCAAGACGGGTTAGCAACACACTGATAGTGTGAAGGAATCATGACCATCCTCTCCTAACCATTGGATACCAAACATGTTATTATTGGGGACATCAGATCCCCAGAACACACTTAGCGAAGGTCCTGATTTAGAATTTTTTCATGTTTTCGCGCACAAGTTCATTAGTTGACCTTCAACTAACATTTCCAATCCAGAAAACCCTTGACTGTCATTGGTTGACGGATTACTTCAGAAAGTCATACTTTTGGTTCTCTCCATCATGTATAAATAAGCTCGATCTGTGTGTAGTCGATCTCGTATTTTCTGGGTGCTTGTAGGATATACTTTCTACGCCTTATAAAGACTTCTTATTGTAGTTAGCCGGGCCGAAGACAAACGGATTAGAATAGCCTATCGTGTCGCCGCATTATTTGTCTTCGCTGTGTTTACCGAGTAATGTGAACTCATAATAGTTTCAAGTATATCAATTGACGAGTTTATCAGGTATTAAGAGACCCATTATTGAGAAAGCAAGGCAAGCAAGAATGACACTTCAAAACCCACATTCGAAGATAATATGAAAAAATAAGTGACTAGTTAGACGAGGGGTACAGTTTCAGCGGGAATACGGATTCGACATGAAAACCTATAGGATTCATGAAATTAAAAGCTATCTGATAGAAATGTTATGATATGCAACTCTATTGCACGTATGATTCAATGACTGATTGTCTAAAAAGTAACTCAAAATCCAAGAATAACGTAAACATGACCCGGCCTTTCCGTGTTGCTAGACGTTTCGATATCACAAACCGAATGTCGTGCATAGTTACATTTACAAGATGCTGGACAATTTTAATTTTATTTACATCATAATAAGGTTTAAGGGGATGATGGCTCTGATAAAAATCGTCTTTTAAAAGTAGTAGTCATATACGGTCGGTAAACCCATTCAATATCTGCCGTGGCTTCTTCATGTAACGGTCCACGCCAAATTTTGTACACTATGAGTGAAAAAAATCAAACCACAAGGATAACATTCGATTAAATAACAGTGGTTAATGAAAATAAATGTATTCAATAAAGATTTTTCTAGCTCTAAATGTAGCTATAAGAGGGATCAATATCATTACCAAAAACAACTAAAACATATAATAACTGATACCTTACAATTCAACAATTTCTTTACAGATCCTATTACAAATGTTATGAAACGAAACAACTCATTGCTAAATAATTGCTAGAGTGAAACGTAATGGACAGGTACTCCCGTTTTACCATACTACCATTGTACCACAGAACTCCAGAGTCTTTAGACAATACGAAATTAATGCATATTACAAGACAATTGACACCCTTTGTAAAGTTTTAGTTAGTATAGAGAATAAGATCCACTTAATGTCAACGCAGAAATGTGACAACCAATTACGGTGTCGGCGGTGATTCTTTTTGTACTAGTTATTTGGTGAAATCTTGACTCGAGCCAAAAACGTGATGTACACAAATAAACTATCTAATAATCCAATAGAGCCTGAAAGACTCAAAATTAAATCAGCAATAGCGACAAATAACATCTTTAATGACTATCAAGCCAGTATTAAAAGTATCAAAATAATACAAAAAGGTTTTTCCAAAAAGAAAGAATGATGAGAAGCATAGGCTTTCCACATAATTCTAAATCCTACAGCTCTCAAGAGAAAAGCCCTTACTATCTATTCAACTTGAACCATCTACTCAGGTCACCATGTCTGATCTTATTCACAACCCACATTAAATTAAATACAAATTCAACTGTGTCTTCTAGAAACAAAAAACGTCAAATGTCTCACACCTTTGAAACAAATAAATACACAATCAAATTTAATATGGATCACCTCTTCAAATGGCAGACACTGCCAGCGGACCTCTCGACTGACAGAGTCCAATGCCGCTATGAGGTCGAGAAATAGTACTATTGTGCGACATCTGAACGTCTCTTTGTGCTAGCAACTGACGTAATGTGAACATCTGGTGTATATATTCGTGTCCAGATCGAAAACTAGACTGGTTTTCTCTAGTCTGCGCTGCACGATCACTAGTTAGGCGTCAGAGTATTATTGAGGTCAATATTTTAGATACTATACTAGTAAAACTGATTTTCTATGATTGTCTCGACAGGACTTTTTTCCTTATGGACTCGGATAATCAGTGATTTACACCGGTCATATGTGACTACGTCTAGTTCCCAAGCTTTACTAAAGATCTCAGTCAATCTAACTTCATCATCATCCTTAAAAATCTCAGGGGTAAGCCTGTTGGGCCTTGCTTCAGATTTCCTATAGATTTTTCAACTTCTCTGTGCTAGTTTGGGATGCCAACTTGAAGTACTATACATGAGCACCAAGTTTAACGTTTCAGTGGACCGACTGGTAGGTTGGATATTTTAAGTATAATGATATTTGAATACAAAGAAGGCTTTTTTTACTGCTATGATGTTAATCTATCGGGACAGTTGTATCAATAACTTGGTATCCTGAACAGTTATCATATCGTATCAATGTAAATCATCTATCTATCAGATGGGATTCTATCCATTACTTTAACAACCCAAAATCAATTTTGTATACCACATTCTCAAATCTTTGTTTTATAACATGGAATAAATCAAACTTACAACGCAAATCGAATGAGGGCCCATGCTCAGTTAGTTCCAGTTTTTTATCGATATATTTATATGTGTGATGTCTTAAAAAAAATATGAGTAATATATAATAGCACGTTTATTACGATATGGTTGAAAATAATAATAAACAACACTCTAGAAATATGAAATGGGGTAATATGACCTGAAATATAATAAACTTTGCCCGAATCGTCAATAGATTTTGCAGCTTCTGCGCTTACGTAGGTTAAATACTTGTGCAATCTTAATCATCCACCTGTGCTACAAATCTTCTCAGCCATCTCAAAATCAGATGAGCGAGACATGCTTCCCGTTGTTCAAAAATGGGGGAATTTGGCCAGAAAGTACGCTTCTATTCGAGAACAACATCAAGAAGAAGCATTTGCATCAGTTTATACTTGTGTTAGTTGCGGTACAAAACATATGTGATCGTAGAATTAGTGACCTAGATGAATTAGATGAAGTAATCGAAACTCACTCTCTGAAGCTAATGAATGCTAAAATGTAAGTTGATACAAATCATCCGCAACGTGCTCACTTAAATACGGAAAATGTCCCTGAAAGTGAAATCAACTCCGGCAACTTAGAAATGTCTAATACTCAGTATAATAGTAATTTATTACGGCGCAACTAGGGTAAAGGAGGGTTGAGCATAAGGTTGGCGACCCCATTCCGTCAAAAACTAACTTGCCAAAAAAACCAGAACAAATAATTCAAACCATTTTAACTCTGCCCTGGGAGTTGGAAGGACAATTATGACGTAGCGTGATGAAAACCGAGTTCCCTCAGAAGTCACGGGGCCGATGCCTCTTCTGACAACCACAGCAACCATTCTCTTAGGTACATGGAACGTTCGTACATCGTGGGAGACTGGAAGACTATTTCAAGTTGCGGCAGAAATGAAAAGATACAACCTGGAGGTGCTCGGCATCAGTGAAACGCATTGGACACAGACAGGACAACTGAGACTAGCTTCAGGAGAACTGTTGTTATACTCTGGTCATGAAGAGGAAAACGCTTCACACACACAAGGAGTTTCACTGATGCTGTCCAAATATGCACAAAAGGCACTGATAGGATGGGAATCTCATGGACTGAGGATCATTAAAGCATCCTTCAAAACAAAGAAAGCGGACATTACAATGAACGTCATCAAATGTTATGCACCTACGAATGACTACAATGACGACGTTAAAGATCAATTCTACGAAAGGCTGCAGTCAATTGTCGAGAAATGTTCACCAAAGGATTTGACCATTCTAATGGGAGACCTAAATGCCAAGGTTTAAATGGACAACAATGGGTATAAAGACAGCATGAGATGAAATGGACTGGGAGAAAGGAACGAAAACGGTGAGAGATTCGCAAACCTATGTGCCTTCAACAAACTGGTCATCGGTGGCACAATATTCCCACAAAAGTGCACACACAAAGCCACATGGGTTTCACCGGACTACACTACTTGAAACCAAATTGACCATATCTGTACCAACAAAACGTTCAGAAGGACTATGGAGGATGTGAGAACCAGGAGAGGAGCTGATATAGCCTCAGATCACCATTTGCTAATCGCCAAAATGAAACTGAAACTAAGGAAACACTGGACAACGGGGCAGACAGCATCACACAAGTTTAATACGGCCTTTCTTCGGGATATAGCAAAACTCAACTAATTCAAGATAGCCCTCAGCAACAAGTTCCAGGCCTTGCACGATATACTTAATGGAGAGGAAGCAACATTGGATAACAATTGGAAAGGTATCAAGAAGGCAATCACTTTAACATGTCACGAAGTTCTGGGTCACAAGAAGTACTATCACAAGGATTGGATCTCTGTTGATACTCTTGCAAAAAGTGAAGAAAGGAGGAACAAGGAGGCAGCAATCAATGTCAGCCGAACAAGAGCAGAGAAAGTTAAGGCACAAGCTTAATACACAGAAGCAAACAGGGAAGTGAAGAAGAGCATCATAGCTGACAAACGAAAATATGTGGAAGACCTAGCAATGACAGCGGAAAAGGCTGCAAGAGATGGAAACTTGAGACAATTGTACGAAACAACAAAGAAGCTCGCTGGAAACTATCGTAAACCAGAACGACCAGTGAAAGGCAAGTAGGGCAAAGTAATAGGCAAAACTGAAGAACAGCGAAATAGGTGGGTAGAGCACTTTAAAGAACTCTTGAATCGACCAGCCACACTGAACCAACCCAACATCGAAGCAGCATCTACGGACCTCCAATCGATGTTGGCGCACCTATAATTGAAGAGGTCAGCATAGCCATCAGAGAAATCAAGAGCGGCAAGGCAGCAGAGGCAATGAAAGCTGACGTGGAAGCAACTGCAAATATATTTCACATTCTTTTCAAGAAAATTTGGGACGAGGAACAAGTACCATCAGACTGGAAAGAAGGGTACCTTATCAAAGTACCAAAGAAAGGAGATCTCAGCAAGTGTGAGAACTACAGAGGCATCACTCTTCTTTCAATACCAGGCAAAGTCTTCAACAGGGTATTGTTAAACAGAATGAAGGACTTCGTAGACGCCGAACTACGAGACCAACAGGCTGGATTTAGTAAGGATCGATCTTGTACTGACCAAATTGCTACATTACGGATCATTGTGGAACAATCAATAGAATGGAACTCACCACTCCAAATCAACTTCATCGACTACGGGAAAGCATTCGATAGCGTGGATAGGAAAACACTGTGGAGGCTTCTTCGACACTACGGTGTGCCTGAGAAAATAGTTAACATCATACGGAATTCTCATGATGGATGCAACGGCAAAATCGTACACGAAGGACAGCTAACCGACTCTTTCGAGGTGAAGACCGGTGTCAGGCAAGGTTGCTTACTCTCACCCTTTCTCTTTCTCCTGGTTATCGACTGGATTATGAAGACGTCGACATCTGAAGGGAAGCACGGTATTCAGTGGACAGCTAGGACGCAGCTGGACGATCTGGATTTCGCAGATGATCTGGCTCTTCTATCACACACACAACAGCAAATGCAAGAGAAGACGACCAGTGTAGCAGCAGCCTCTGCAGCAGTAGGTCTCAACATACATAAAGGAAAAAGCGAAATTCTCCGATGCAACACAACAAGCACCAACCAAATCACTCTTGATGAAGACTGTTTTCGAGGACGTTAATACCTTTACATATCTGGGCAGCATCTTCGACGAGAAAGGTGGATCCGATGCAGATGTGAGGGCGCGGATTGGCAAAGCAAAGGCTGAATTTCTACAGTTGAAAAATATACGGAACTACAAACAACTTTCAACCAAAACCGAAATCAGGATTTTCAATACAAATGTCAACACAGTTCTACTGTATGGAGCGGAAACTTGGAGAACTACCAAAGCCATCATCCAGAAGATACAAGTGTTTATTAACAGTTGTCTACGCAAAATACTTCGTATTCGTTCGCCAGACATCATCAGCAACAACCCAACTTTGCGAGAGAACAAACCAGATTCCAGTGGAGGGGGAAATCAAGAAGAAACACTGGAAGTGGATAGGACACACTAGGAAAAGCACCTAACTGCGTCACAAGACAAGCACTCACATGGAACCCTCAAGGCAAAAGGAAAAGAGGAAGGCCAAGGAACATATTACGCCGAGAAATAGAGAAAGATATGAGAGGAATGAACAAACAATGGACAGAACTGGAAAGGGAAGCCCAGGACAGAGTTGGTTGGAGAAAACTGGTGGGCGGCCTATGCTCCATTGGGGTTTCAGGTGTTAGTAGTAAGTAATAACTCCGCTCAGGAGTCGAGTTACAATAAGTGCATTAGCTACCCTATACCAAGCGCACAATGCAATGATATGAGCTTTCAAGATAAAGAACGTTTCCCATTACGTGCTGTTAGCACTAATAGTCGGAATGCATCATGTCACTCACTAAACAGTTGGGTTCCAGGCGTTCATCGTTTCAAACCTGTTTATTCAATGAGCAGTACCAACGGTGATAATTCTTTGAAGGTGATTCGAACAATAAATCAACAAGTAAAACTTCAGTCGATCTTAAACAGCATAAAGTATGTGTTGCGTACAATCGTTACTCCCGGACCCAACAACAGCGATTCAAAAGTCGTGTATTGTCAAGACCTCTGTATTCAAATCGTGTGAGACCTCAGTACCTAGAGTATTCTACGATAGGACATGGGTCTCGAAGAAGGAAAAACAGTGTCGAAATGTACCAATCTCGACTCTTTCCGCAATTACGAGGAAGCAAATCTCGTAGGTAATTTAAAGCGTCTACAGGAACAAAGCCATTCCAATTTTTATGTCATGTCAGATACAGACCACCAATCAACTACCCCATGGGGTGGCGAATAGCGGAGCGAAATGGAAGACATAATACAACTAATGATCGCCGACGCACACTACAGGTTCCAAAAATACCAACATAACATGGATGAACAAAAAAGAAAACTAGAGATAATACATCAGAACACTTAAGAATATTGACAGCGGCGATTGAGATGTCAAGCAGACGACACAGAAAACAATGAAGAAATAGCCATAAAGATAAACTAATCAAAATTTCAGAGCTGTCCAAAGAAGAGAACTCAAACAATTTTGTGATCAACCAGTCGAAAAATCATCTAATGACAACAAAAGAACACCTCCTTAAAAAGGACCAAACTAAAACACAAATGACGATTCGAAACTCGAATTTGTCGCCGCACTAGAGTCGTCACTCCAAATGGTCGGAATAAGTGAAGAAACTCAACACGAGGTAAGACAAATCATAGTACCACTAACTCGACGGAAGAGAGACAACAACCAACTAATAGCACAACAACGAAAAGCCTTAAAGAAACTTAGAACCAGAGAAGCTATTGTCACAGTTCCAGCGGATAAACGATTGACAAAATGCAAGACTAATCGATTTCTATTTTCATTCCCAATTAATTCTTTAATAAATGAGTCGTTCATATTACTCTGGATAAACATACTTTATAATATACAAGAAACAGTATTAACTTGTTAACAGATACACTTTCTCAGTTAGTCAGTGATTTTATTTCAATTCGGAAATCGATTCCGTCTACAAATCGGTAGTTAAGCACATTTTATTCATTTTTGTACGAAATTGATTGTACTGTTACAATAGTTTGAATTACTGAATTAGAACGAATCAATTTCGACAATTGTACAGATAAATACCAAACAGAGATTCTGAAGAATGACGGGTATCGAATTGTGAAAATCAATCGAACGTAATAATATCTTATAAATAATTCATCTACTAATAAATAACATCAAAGAATAGAAACGATTTATCAATGATAATACTCTTAATAATCATTCTAACCTGAAACATATGACATCGTCTTCTTCATACCAAGTAACCACACGTTTCGAATCATCCTTTGGTACAGGAAATAAGTGCTTCAAAATGCAACGAACACGTTGACCTAATTTAGAATTTAGTCCCTTAAATACATGATTAGGATAGGATTGTGGCATTTTTGCTCCGGTACCACAGTTCATAGCTTCCATATCATGACGTGTGCGTACATTGTATAGAGTGAATATAGCAGTCGGACCAAAAGGCAAATGACTAATAATCAAAGTGTCTGGGACGCCACGTGATTCGTTAACAATAACTACATCGGTAATCTGTTACTCTCGAGAAAAAAATATGTACAAAGGAGAATGATTATTTCGCAAACATAAAAAATAGTGTATAAACAATGCATTCTGAGAAAATCATTTGAAATAACTTCGGTTATTATGGCAAATACACCATGTTCTGGTTTTAACATGGAAGTTTTTAATATTTCCATTATTTTTTACTGTTATTAAAACATTTTTGAAAACAATAAGATCGAGACTATTGACTTTAGCCTACAAAATATTCAGATCGAGGACCATTAATAAGTGAAAGAGGTCAACAGCAAGCACCAGCTGGTGAGGTTCTTCTACTAATAGGCATTTTATTGGAAGAACTACGTTCACCAGGAATGAAACTGCGATCATAACCTTTCTTGAAAGTATGATATAACTTTCCGAGTTAATTTAAGCGACGTGAGAAACGAGCATGGAGACTAGTACTATTGGATCAAAGAATGTATCATTAGGTAGTATTTTTGACATAACAAAGAAAAACTTGGACGAACTGCCGTCGTTTATACGAATATTCATCAATATTTGAACAAATGGTTTGAAAAAAATTGGGAGCCGAATACATAGAATACATTATTTATGAAAGTTATATAATTGAAATAATCTGTGTTTGAAATTTCAGATAATTCCGTTGTCAGAAGATGAGTAAGCAGAAACAAGGAGACAGCGACGTGTTTCTGTCTTTTCAAGTTCCAAGTTCCCATTTAGTCAGACAGCACACAAGTTACTATATGCGGTGATCCATTCCAAAAGGGCATATCCTGTGGTCAGACATAAAAGCATGCCTATATCAACAAGCCCCAGAAGTATCAGTTCCCCTCTTAATACTACAATCGACTTCGTCATGATACTTTGATCTCTCTTTGTTGGTGTGGCGTGTAAAACAACCGATAAAGCTGTGTCAGGTTCCACTTAGTCTTTAACTGGCTGAAGACAACAAAAAAGTATCTTGCAGCGAGTGTTTCGACAGAAAACCATTAACAAATACAGCTAGAGGAGATGCATGAGATTTGCTCTTCTCGTCTTCTATCTTTCATCAAAACAGCAAGCTCGTTTAGTTGTCAGTAGGCTACCCGGGTACTCAATATCAAAGTACATATTTTATCGATTTCACTGTAGAGTATTTTAAATGCTTTTTTCATATCTGCAAAGTTTATCAAACAACAACTTTATTAATTTCATGTTGATTAAAGTTAATCGGTAAAAAATATTTTCAACGAGACTTTCTAATTAATGAAGATGATAAGTTAAAAACCAACACACCTGTTTTGCTAAGCAAGCCTCCAATAAATTCTTATTTAGGTAATTACCACGATTAATTTTAGTAGCATTCGGAATGAGAAACCGTAATTCTTTGGCAAATTCTTTAAGTTTAGAACTAGGTGAACGTGATGTAGTGATAACAACGCGTGGATCTTCAGTTCCAGCCCAAAGATATTCATCATCTTGATTAATGGCGACTCCTAATATAAACGAATTGTAAACAGCACATACAAAAACACAGTTACCTTCACCACCGTCATCGCTCCAGTCTAATTCTTCGTTTAATTGTAAAGCACCTTCTTGAAGTTCTTTAGGCAAAATTTTGCCTTCAGCCAGAGAAGCTTTTAACAATTTTTTCTTTTTTTCATTTTCAGCATCCCGAACTTCAATTGATCTCCTGTAAATGAACTCTCTGCGTAATCTGGCTTGACGTTTCAACTAAATGAGGACACAGTTTGAGCAGAAATAACATAAATGTGATAAGATCTTGTGCATTTTTTGTGAAAAAAACGACAATGAAGTTGATATTTTCTATAATCTGTGATGGTTTTAATCTATTCACTGCTAATTTGGGAAGGAAATCAATAGCGAAGCTACCTAAAAGAATATCAGGATTTGGAGGAAAAGCTTGTTAGTTTTATATATCGAGAACTACATATAACCTATATTATATTTCTGAATTTCGCCTTTCAGAACTTAAGCTCCGTAATAACAAAGAAAGAGTAATTGAACCCAATGGTCAGGCACTGATTTATCCAATCCTAGATGGTATTTAGTTACGTTTATTTTTCAGTTATCATTCCGCATAAAAGCATACACTTTTCCTAAAAACAATTCTACTGAGCAGCTGTATTGTCATCTGATATTAATTCCTTCATTTTTATACGGTAATTTATCTTAAGTTAATTTCTTGATGAATCATTTAGGCTTTTAACAAATACAATTTTAGTTTCTTAATACCAATAACGTTCCTCTTTCTCAATAAACGAATAAACTAAAATATATGATTGGTACTCTTCGTAGAACCTCATATATCACCAAACCACGGAATTATAAAAGACAAAACATGGTCTGTCGTTGCGAGAAATTGATATTCCAGAAAATGCTATGTGAGAACATTGTGAGGCAATATGAATTTAAAATGAAACTAAATGCTTTGCACCAACTAGTTCAACAACAGAATGGATAGGCTAAAACGGTTGTCCCGATTTTGTGGCAACGTAGATTAAAATTTGGAGTGAAAAAATTTCTGGTGGACTGAATAGTGATAAAAATCACTGTCCATAAACAAATCAATCACTAACAAGATAAGACCCGATAATGGTGAAAATTATCACGTCATCAATTTAGTGAGAAAATCAATAAGATAAGAAGCATAGGGTTGGATGCAAATTTGCATTTGAGGAAATGCTAAACGTAAGAAATACAGCTCAAAATAATATCTGAGAGCGTAAATTTAGTGAAAAAACACAGTCACGTTACTAGCTACTGATTAAGAATATCGCATAACACCAGTAAGGATGTCTGCAATTATAAATATTGTTTCGACCGGAAGTCAGTGACTTTATAGACTGATACTAAATCATAAGTTATTTACTTTTACCAACTTACTCTTACGTGAGCTAATATAACACATGGATTCACATCGTGCTTATGCAAAAGTAACATCTCGGCGGAATTATGAGCGGTTTTTAAAGACTTAATTTGAGATTTTCAATGAGTTCATCGGAGCAAGTAGTAGGCGGGATCGGGTTAAGCTCATGAAACCATAAGGACTTTAAGTTTGTTCAAGAAAACAACGTTAGGAATTCCGAGGAATCCTTCAACATCAATAAATCAAATGCATTAACAGAACATTTATACAATGGATAGACAACTTCTGTTCTGAGTTCGGGCAATCTACATGATTTACATAGTACTCCACTGATCAGTTTTAGTCGCGTAATTCGGACCAAAAATGTCAGAGAAAAACCAAGTATTTTCCAGCCACCCTGCTTTACGAAATCAGCATGCACCACAACAGGTATGCAAAGTTACAGTAATAATATCAGAGTTGCAGAGATCCACAGTTAGCTCCTATTGTTCCGGAAAATGAGCACAGGGAAAATGCAATGTATATTTAAGATTTGCATAATTGTTATTCATGCATTTACAGAAAATGTTGGTGAAGAAGCATTCACGATTCGATAAATGGCTAAAGAATTTCGTTACGTTACATTGTAGTTGCAGAGATATGCAGCAAAGACGGATGCTTTAATTGATGTCGCATTTTTTATGATAGGTTATTCAGTTGCGAAGATTTCAGACCAAGGATACATTTTTCAGCACTTACTTCATCTGGATTTCATATCATTAGCTCTCTGAGGCTACGGAAACAAAAAGATGACCCCTCATTCTAAACAAAGGTCATTCAGTGCAATAGACTCACTAATCGCCTCAAAACAACACAACTCCAAAGTATTTATTTCATTCTGTACTCCTCACACTTAAACGCTGTGTATATTTATATTAAAAAGTTGTAAGCTTTTGGAGCTATAAGTGTAATACTTTACGACATATATTTTTTGCTGAATAATGTGGAGTAATAACACTAATATTTCAGAGTGTGCCAGTAACCTCACCATCCGTAACGCTAACCTTCAAAATGATGCTCTATAAAATTTATTATAATGAGTTCATTGTCCAAAAATTTTAGCAGTCAATTTACATAACATATTTTATCAACTGAGGCTCCATGTTCTTATTTTTCGTAGAGCTCCTATTTCATGTGTTTAGTACTACCCTTGATTGCAAGTAGACGCCGATGACAACTGTTATAAACCAACTTAATTCATTTTATCATAGATTTTCCAACTTTGAGTATATTAAACAGAAAATATTTGTACAGACTGAAATTCCGTCATTACATGTAGCTAAATTTGTTTCTATCACCAGAATTTAGTTTAGCTAGTAATCTATATATAGAACAGCAATATAGAAAAATCGGTTGTAGAGAATGAGTCTAGATGACAGAGAGGAAGTTGAATTAACGGTTTGCACAGCGTTTAGTTAAACTCAAGAACGTAGTAGAATAACGAGTAGTATTGAGAAAGCAAAAATTTCATTAATTTTATCACTTTAATCTCTTCATCATCATCCGTTTTCCTTCGAATGCAAACTCTTAAACCACATCATAGGTGCCAGTATTGGTATGTAAATGGTTTTCTGAGAAAAATGACGAGGCTAACTAAAACTCCTTCATGGTTGACAGTAAATCAGATAATCTATTCTCGTGAAGGATTTTCAGTTCAACAAAAATGGTCATGCGTGTATAGCAAACGATGAGACAGAATTATGTTCCTTTGATCGACCAGGGTTAAACAGTATAATAGGTTCAGGGAACTATCATTCTTTTACAAATGAGTTTAAACAGTTATATGCAGCCTCACAGCAAAATAGAAGACGACCGCAGATATGCAAGAACCTCTGAATGCGATGTCATCTACACGTGTAGACGACTCATATGATGATAGAGGTGAGTAGTTAGGTTCATTAAACTTAGGAAACCAGTGGATATGTGGACTTAGTTCGGTAGCTTTACAAGTTTACGTAATTCATCCGAAGAAAAACTGTGAAGAAGAGTACCCTAGAGTTTCTGCGCTGCATTCTTCAATTCTTCAAAACAGATAGAGTATTGGCTACGATGCACGCGGATCAAGTTAAAATGTATTATTTTTTCTTATCCAGAAAGGATCGATTCCTGGACAATCAAACACTAGCTGAAATTTAACAGTTTAAATATACATATACCCCTTCCATATTTGGTACATTAGCGTAGGTTGAAAAATCCGAACAAGAAGTATTCAACGATATGTCCTACACATACCTTGTAGAGCAAGACGAAATCGAATGGATCCGAGAGCAAGTAAAACTAGTAATAATAATTTATTCTCAAGTAACAGCGTGTTTCAAGAGGTATGTCTACTTACAAGCAAGATAAAAATGTGAAAATTGCTGACATATTTTCTGTAAGAGGTTGTTTGATTGAATAAATCGTGAACAAGACGTACTAGTTTTCTATAGATGGCTAAACGTTTTCTCGTAAAATTGTAGATGAGGTTTCAGACTCTGCAGTGAACTATGCTACAGATGGTGAGAGTTACGTTTGTAGCGTTGGCTGGTTTACAATTAACGTAAGGTGAAAATAAGCGGACGAGGGGCAGAACATAAAATGTTCATGTTTAGAGTTGAGTCATGACAAAGCAGATATTTTTGGATCAAACAAACGTATGATTACTCAGACCTCTTTTCTGCATTGGAACAATAACTAACCTTCCGGGTCAATGACAATATCCGTTTCTAACAAATGTCATCACTAATTAGCAACTTATTAAAACATTAAGACAAAAGATGATAACCCAAGACGAGAAAACGCTGCTACATAAAATACATATGTAAGTTGTGTTATGAAAGTTTGAAACTGTCCTAACTGTAATCTAGACACCGATCTAAATCTGGATATAAAGAGGCACTTGGAAGTTAGCTTGTCTTTCGGTGAATTGCAGTCTTATAATTATATTATTCATCGTAATCAACATAAATAGATACAAAAGCAGACCTGAGAATTTTACTGCTCTCAGGAAGATGATAAAAATGCGATGCTCTTTTTCAGGTACATTGCCGGAAAGTTGTTTCGTTCAAAGATTAAAAATAATGGTTTTGACACCTAGTTATTACACCTGCTCTGGCTTATCCGTCAAGAACGCTGAATTCAAATACTGACTACCCACGACCCAAACAACAGAAATTTTTTATCCAGATACATCAAGTTTTCTAATACGTTGAGTTATCAATTTACAAAATCGGACAGGTCGGGTCGGTATGTAAAAACACTGTTTGTCTTACTACTAATAATAATAAACTTTGCGGACCGCAACTTAATTTCAGTGTTTGTCAATGAATGTAATTTATTTTTCTCCACCATTTTAAAAGTTACGCTCTACATTCAGCAGCGTTTATTCACATCATTTGGCTAATTATATGACTTGATTTTTCACACAAGCAGGACCATTATATTATACGAAAAATTACTGCATTTAAATTCTAACATTGCTTTAATATTTTCCTAAGTTTCATATTCGGGAATTACTGAACATTAACTGAACATACAATTCGCTGAGAATCACTACAGTTCTTCATAGACGTCTTGATAGGTTTTAGTATGTAAAGGAGGCTATCAGTAATGAGTCTAAAATGTTGTAGAATCCTTCAGATGTGTTCACTTTTATCATCTCTCAAGGAAATTCTGGTTTTCAACTCCAAGTTTTGGTAGCTGCACGTACTAAGTTTGTGTACGGAAGAGATTTAGGTCAATGGATATTCTAACACAGGGTGATCCGGTTTTCTATAAAGAGGATTGATTAGTCATGGTCTTCGAGAATCAGAACAATATGGACTGAATAATTTTTAAGAGAAAAGGGTATTTAGTACTCTTTTTGTTACATCCTCGAAGCCTGTTGACATATTCTCTAGAATATGTACCGATAACAGAATAACATTTGTTTGTTGAAGTTAAAATGCACCAGGACGGAAGCTGTAGATATTTTTCATTTAGTTCATTGTTCTGAAGAATCTTCAAAAACTTTTCCAAAACTTTATCTTCAAATTCCTTTAGAATATTCTCCAGGGATTCCGACAATAATAAATGCTTCTTTCAGTATAAGTACAAAGATGATTTAAATGGCCTCACTTTTTCTGTGTTCATGTTTTGGGAAGTGATGTATTGATGTGTTGATGGTTAAGAGTCATACCCACGAAGTTTACCAACTTCAGTTTCTTGTCCAAGTTTATAAGTGGGATGATCTGATCAACACCTGACAATATTTAATGTTTAAACAAGCATGCTGCCATTCTTACTGGAAAACGTAATCTTCTTCTTAATTAACTTTGCAGCGTATATCTGAGTATTAAAAATATTAGACCATAACCAGCATCATATATCGCTGGTCGCAAGAGAGTATTAATAACTTACAGTAAACTAATAGAGTAGTCGTTTACGAAAAAGGCGATGAAATCATCCTGGATGGCAGTACTGACACAACAAAATGAATCAATAAGAAAGAGTAAGTCATGTTTATGTAACTGGTGCAATTTCAAGACTGAAAAAAATCGAAGCATTAGGCAGTCTGCAATACAACGGGTCTTGAGAGGCGATCTTTTAACTAAAATATTTTTGATAGATTCAGTCTCATTGTTATAATCAGGATTAAATGTACTCTGTGTGCCAATTAGTTACACACGGAAATATCTAGTTCGCGTTCTAGTGGTCACGTATGAACCAGTACTTAAGATCTACGACAGCAAAAACGAGAATATTGGATTTCGCATTCGAATCAGGCTCGGAATTATATACAAAGGGATCTCTGTATTATACAACTGCCACATCGGCTACGCCTTAATTTCTCATAAGTCTTTTCGAAGGTTTCATTTTTTGGAGACTTCGAAAAGTTGTATTCAGTGAAAGCTCATTATTGTCATAATTAAAATGGAAAGCTGGATAGAAATAACCTTGATCCTTGTAATCTGTCCTGTCATATGGAGTCAGATGAATATGAACTATCATTGATTGTAGAAGATCAGCTCCTTGATAGTACTTCAAATCAGCACACTGAAAACCGTTCGGAAAAAGGCTTTTATTCCAGTTATCCTGAAAGTATTTCAAAATGATAATGCATTCTTATTTTTGTTCGTTTAAGGACGAATTTAAAACACAGCAGGCAGAGAACGAACGTGAAAAACTGACTTCATCATTGTAGAGATCGCATATATCAGTATTATCTACCACATGGTTCCTTCGCGCACGCGAAGGCAACTGGGCGCTGCTGGACGAAGCATGCTATCCGACGTATCTGTAGAAAGCGAGTCAAGATAACAGACTGACTATGCTCACCACTAAATGTTCCATACGATCCCGTCACGAATATAAAAACAAATCCATGATTCAAGGTTTTATTGAAGGAGACAGTAGGCATTACATCGGAAACAGCAAGTAGAGAAAGATGGCAGCAACGTGAAGAGAACGTTGCGCGCAAGAAGTAGAAGAAGTGTTTTTGGTACAGTTCAACAAAACGAGTACAATAATGTTTATTTTTCACAAATCATATTTTATTCGTAGAAGCGTTACACTACATATCTACCTAAATCACGCACGTTGGGTTTAAACTATGGCCTATAACGTCTTAGAGTCATCATTGCCTTTTTATTGGGTGAACTTTAGCGTCGAATAAACCCCTGTAATATATAGTTCTGTAGGACCCCAACACTGATATTGACCTCGTTCGTTTCGTTAGACATTTCCTACTGAAAAACACTCGGTCATGCATCCGCAGCAGATAATCTTGAGGCACGCAGTGCAACTCATCTCCCCGCATTCACATGCAAGTCCAACTAACTCATCGACATCCCAACCATAAGACAAATATACCCACGATTCTCCATATTCCTGAATTCTGGTTTGATTTGACATTGCATAATCGCGATCTGAATGGTGTTATGGATAGATGCGTCGCCAGTTCTGAGTATCTCTGACATCCTCACGCTGATTAAAATAATTATAGTCCGAAAGATATTTATTTGTATGATTTTT